TTATGGCTTTAATATAGGCGCTTTAGTTAAATCTATAATTAATAGAATACTAGAAATAGAACTATTACTAGTAGTCTATATAAATTCGAAGTTATTATATGAATGCTTTATTAAATTAGAAACTACTCGAGAAAAGTATCTAATAATTAATATAATATATCTTTACTAGATATATAAATAATAAGAGATTATAGAAGTTAAATAAATTAAGGGAGAATTAAATCCTACTAATTCTATAATGAAATTAAAGCTAATAAATACCCTTAAGTACCTAATTAATATAAATACTATATAATTAGATATAGAGAAATAAGTTAAGTATAAATAAGGCAGGAAATAGATATATAAAATAGAAGGATATTATAAGAAGAGAAGTTATATATAAAAGGCTATAGCCTTTAGTATATAACTAAAACCTTAGAAGTAATATAGATATATAGAATATTTAGGAAAATCTGGTACTAGGCCGGATTAGGGAATTTATATATAATTAGAGAGAGATATTATTTTTCGTATTTTTTAGAGAGTTTCTAGTATTAGTATAGCTATTTCTTTAGAAGTTATATATATAGTTACGGGATATGAGATACGGAATATAAGTAATGAAATATAGATAATAGGATATAAGTAATAAGATATAAGATACGGAATATAGTTATATAATCTTATATTTTATTAGTAACTTAACTAGTAAACTAGACCCCTTTAGGCTTAGTAGATTTAGAAATTATATATTAATATTATAATATTATAATTCTTACTTCTAAATAATAAAAACTTTACTAATTATATATAAATAGTATTTTATAACTTGTATAATAGTACTATATATTACTAGTAAACTAATACTTACTATTATTTTTTCCTTAATTAAATAATAAATAAAGCTAAAAGGCCTATAAGAAGTACTTTTTATAATTTATTTAGATTACTAAGCTCTTAAATACTTTATAACTATAAAAAAGCTTTTAGTAAAATAAGCTTACTAGATAAAGTATTTTTCTTATTATTTTAAGCTTATATATTAGATAAGCAAGTTAAATAAATAAGTAAATATCCTAAATAAGAAATATAAAAATATAATTATCTAAAATAAAGTAATAATAGCTTACTAAACCCAAATTCTTTTCTTATAACGGAAAATTAATAATAATATTATACGGGATTTCTAGTTAGCTCTAATTAAGGCCTATATAAGCCTGGCTTAGGAAAAAACCTAGTATAATAGTATTTAGCTAGTAAATAAACTATTAAATAAAAATCGAGAATTACTAGAACTAGAAAAGTTATAGAATAAGGTAAGAAATAAGAAAAAAGATATTTAGATATTATAAGATAGCTTTTTTTTATAATATAATAAATTATTTATATCTAATAATATAATAATACCCGAGATATTCTTATATATTATTCTTATTTAGGAGATATATATATAGCCTCTAATAAAATATCTAGAATAAGCCAAGCTTTAATAGCTTTTTTAGGCCTGCTATTACTAGCTAGACTAAGATATAAATATTAATTAGTATAGAAATAATAACTATATTTATTAATAATTTCATATTTCTAAAAATAAGAAGCTAGAACTTTTATATTTATTACTAGTTTCTAATTATTTCTAGTAATATATATTAGTAAATTTTAAGAAATATTTCAAGAATAGAAATAAGTATAATATAATAATTATTTTTATTAATTATTTAGGTAAGTACTTTATTATAATTTCTATTCGAGATATAATAATAACTAAAGAATTAGTATCTCTATTTCTTATTTATATAATTTACTAAATTAGTATTCCGGAAATTATAGTATTTAATTAAGGCCCCTAGTTTATATTAGATTTCTAAAATAAATTCTATAAGTATATTAGTATAAAGCTTAAGCTATTAATTATTAATTATTTCTAAACTAATAGCTAAATAAAAATTATTAACTAGTATTTTAATTAATAGTTATGTTTTTATATAAACTATTACTAGGATAATTAGAATAAATAAATAGTAATAATTAATTACTAGTAAGTAGCTCTAGTTTATAAGACTATAAACTAATTCCTATTTCTTATAAAAAAGAGCTATAAACCGCAAATATTATTTAATTAGAAAATCTAAATATAATTAGATATTCTAAAAAAAAGAGCTAAATAAGTAAGAAATAAAGGCCCTAGTAATATAGCTTTATAAATTATAATAAAAAATATAGGAGAATATAATATAAATATAAGAATATTATATTATCTAAGCTAATAAGTATTACTAATTAATAGACTTTAAAATAAGAAATAAGATATAAATTATTATTAAGTACTAGAAAAATAATTATTCGAGTTATAAGCTAGCCTATTAAATAAAAGAACTATATGAAATCCTGAAATAAATAAGATATTTCTTTAGACTCAAGCTTCCGGAATTAATAAGAATATATCTGGTATTCTATATAGAGAAGCTATATAAAGACCTAGGTAATTCCCTTTCCGGATAAGCGAATCCGGAGCCTCTATTATTAGAACTATAAGACGGTGAAACGGAATATGAAATTCAAGAGATACTAGCGGTAAAGCTGCTCCGGGGAAAGCTCAAGTACCGAGTCTAGTAAAAAGAATAGAATCCAGATCCGGAATAGTATCCTGTATTCTTATTAAGTAATAGTGCCCTGGCTTTTTAGAGCTTCTATAACAAGAACCCCGAATAGCCAGGACCGCCCCAGAACCTCCCCTATTAGTTAGACTATACCAAGAATAATATACTACCAGAACCGCATAATACGGACGGAAATCCTTGCAAATTACGTACAAAAGGCCCTGGCCTTTAACATGTGACCTGTAACTTGAAAATTTGACAGGGACTTTCGAAGCTCGGGGACGAGCTTACTTCGAGGGAGGGGGTAATATTACGGTTATTATAATATACGGTACTAGTAGGAGTTAGACTAGAGCTAGCGAGGCATCTGGCATCTGAGCGTAATATCTGTAGTTAGCTAATGGTTACACGTGACCCTGAGCTTAAACTAGCACGTGGGCCCGTGCATAGCTCGCGATTATTTAGATCCGAGGCTCCTTCGAGATCCTCTTCTCTCTTTAGCTTTGAATCGTCGAAATAGAGACAGTCTAACCACGCCTTCCAGGCCCTAGATCTTGTGCTCGTGACAAGAGGTTTTGGAAAGGGCAGTAGCTAGAAAGGCAGCTACTGTAGCTAGAAATGCTACTAAAAAAGCCAAACCCTCTCGTATAGTAATATTGAGGGTAGGGTCTTCGATTTTATCGAATTTAGGGGCTCAGGAAGCGGTAATAATAGAGGAGGACGATTCTGAAGCTGTGAGGATAGTACAGACCTCCCGATCGGGAAGGGAGATTGTTCTATCACAACGCCTTAGAAAATGAAAAATCCTGATTAGCCAACTTAATGTGCCTAGTTCAATTGCTTTATATTTTTAATTTTAGGCCGATTAATTGCGTGGTTATTTAATAATTAATTAATTAAGCTCGAGGTCGGCTGAAAATTCGGGGTGTGCATTCGCTTGGGGTGTGCATTGACTAGGGATCTCGGTTAGTCCCTAATCAAATCGTACTTAGTTATAATCAAATATAATTAAGTATATTTAATTCGTTTACTAAGTGATTGCGCACGTGACTATAGAGCCTGGAAAGCGGAAATAAGACTAGAATAAGGTTAGGACTAACTGTATTTAGGGTCACTTAAAGTTGTCCTTACCGGATTTAGCCTAGTGCTTAGCAAACGAAGACGAAGGCGGTAAAAATTATTATTGCACGCGCTATGGCTATACATGTTCCCTGCACGCAACATGCTAGGCTATATCAGACTTGGCTATTTCGCATGCTCACCTGCCGTACGCACCTGTATATCCTTCTCTTCTTAGTTCAGTATTCTCGGAATAGAAGCCACTCTAACCTGCTTTCTAAGTCTAGAGCCAGGCCTTGTAATACTTAAGAAATGTATAAGGTTTTACTTTCACGTGATAATTATAATTAATTATAATTAAATACAATCCTAATCAAGTCAAATTAAAGTTAAAATCAAGCTAATCAAATCATAATTAATTCTAATTAATTAGCTTTGATTACTTTTTGACACACTGCACCCCAGATACGAGCCGCCCGCAGTTTGCGCCAAGATCGTCACAAACACACTACTAGTTATTCAAGTTGCTTTTCTACCAACTCGGAGATGAACTAATTGCCGGGCGGCCTACCGATCCCTGCGTGACGTTGGGACTCTGATGGGGAAGGAGAAGATAATCGCTACCCCGAATAGGAAGCTCCCAAATGCAAGTCTGCAAGAAGCCAGAACATACGTGAAACATAGACTTTTCCCCACATTCTGGTGGTCATGCGCTGACTTTGCTCCTAGATGAGCCTGTCGGCGGCTTGAGATGTACCGAGGGAACCCTGGTCCTGGCAAATATATCGGAGGGAACCATCCCAACTTCAAATTCTGGTGCCCTACTCTTGTCCCTAGATCAGTTAACAAATAACCCAGTAGTCAGTTGGATTGATTACTCTATGTTGGCACAGCTCTCGTGCTTTCAAAAGAGTTTGCATAGTCACAATGTTCGGAAATCCCACTTTCATTTTTATGAGTGGAAATCCACTGTGCCACCCATGTACATCAACCCCGCCCTCGCTAGATTCAATAAGCTGGTTAGTTTGAATTTCTCCCTCAATCAAATCAATCCATATCCAAAAGGCAGACCCACAGTAGTGTGTATTTACCAGACTGAGGTTCGAAACCCCTCGAAACCATTAGGACGTCCAACAAAAAATACTGTATTACCCACTAGAATGGGTTGATCAATTTATTGTAGGTCTTAATGGATGCTAGGATGCTCGTTGGTCCCACTTAAGTGGACACCTTTTACGCAGACCAATGTGATCTGTCGAGAATTAGGGCCTCTAACCAACAGATTTTTAGACAACGAATATATAGGTGGGGAAAAGTAAGCGTGCACAGATGCAGGTTGTTGTATATTGCAACGTTGCGAGCGCCCCCGCCTGACAGTTCTTGGGCTTGACATTCAAGCTGCTCCCGCCGCCGTCAGTCCAAGCCTGCCGAGGATACACACTTCCGGAGGGTATTCTACTTTATCTCAACCGCCTATCCCACTTTCTAGGTTATCGCGGCATGGAATCTGATAGCTTATATCCCAGGTTTTCCAACAAAGTCTTGACCAACAAGGGCTTTAAGGCTGCCATGTTACCTTCAGCACCCTCAAATTTCCAACTTCGTGGGATTTAGATTTCGTTCTGCAATCATGTCTGGGGCGATGGAGATCATAGGCGATGATGGGATCGATGGCATCAATTCCAATGATTCAGATCCGGAGAAGATCCTGCCTCGTGTCATTGAGGAGCGATGGGGAGACCAAATCTCTCACGAAATGTTGGAGGTGCTGGCTCCCAATGGAGAAGGAGAGCACATCTTGAATATAATCAATAATATGACTGAAGAAGAAGCCGTGGCTATCATTTCGGAGTCAGTAAAATTCCATGCAGATGATTGGAACTTTGTAAGTCTATTCAGGGCATCCTTTTCAACTCTTCGAAAATACGAAGGCTAGGAACACATCAAATCAAGAAGACTGACTTTGAGGTTGTTTAGCCTTCAGACATGAGAGACCGCATGAAGCGACTGCTGGAAGGTCCCAAGCTCTACGGTGACTTTTACGATCGGGATCTAAGAATCGATGCCACGATGATGAGATATTCATCTCCCTATCCTGGTGTCCGTGCTGTTGCCGAGCCTCTGGATAACAGCGATGTTCCCGTTGAGACGATCCGAGCTTACTTCCTGGGTATTGGCTGGGCTGTTATCGGAACCTTCATGTCAACCTTTTTCAACAGTCGTTTCCCTTCAATTAGCAAGTCTAGATCAGAACATATACTTATCCTTTGGATTGCCAATGCTGACTTCAACTCAAGGCTTGAGCGGAACTGTGATTCAGATCTTGTTATTTCCATGCGGAAAGTTCCTCACATGGGTATTACCTGACTGGGGGCTTACGGTCGCTGGTACTCGTCACTCTCTGAATCCTGGGCCGTGGACCTTCAAGGAGCAAATGTTCGCGACGATCACTTACAACATTGCAATCTACACCACCAATAGTTACGGAATGATCTTGGTCCAGAAGTCGCCAGTGTTCTACGGCGAGAGCTTCGTCACTTTTGGCTATCAGTTGATGCTGACCTTGTTCGTCCAACTGATGGGTATGGGATTCGCCGGATATCTCAGACGATTTAGCGTCTACCCTGTCAAGGCACTCTGGCCAACTATTCTGCCACTTATCGCAATGAACCGAGCTCTGACAAAACCCGAACCAAAGCAAAATATCTATGGGTGGACAATCTCCCGGTACAAGTTCTTCTACATTACCACATTATGCATGTTTTTCTATTACTGGTTCCCTGGATATCTGTTTACCGCCTTGGCGACATTCAACTGGATGACTTGGATAGCCCCCCAAAACTTTACACTCGCTCTCATAACTGGATCAGGACTCGGACTGGGCTTATTTAACCCGATTACGACCTTTGACTGGAACGTTGCCACGTCTTCGTATGCTGCCCTGGCTCAGCCATTTTTCGCTACGTGCACAATGTACATCAGTAGCATCCTCGGTGCTTTCGTCATTCTGGGAATCTACTACTCCAACATGTATAATACCGGGTACCTGCCTATCAACTCCTCCGCCGCGTTTGCGAACGACGGAACCTCTTTCAATGTTCAGAAGATAGTCGTCAACAACAAGCTCGATGAGAAGCTTTACCAGAACTACTCGCCCCCATTCTATTCTGCTGGGTATATTCTCACTGTTGGGGCCAACTTTGCTTTCTACCCAGTCTACTTCCTCTACATCATGGGCAACCAATGGAGCACTATGAAACATGCGTTCATCGATTTTTATAAAGGCCTTCGATACGGCAAAGGAAATTACGAGGGCAATACCATGGATGTGCACAGCCGACTCATGGCAAAGTATAAGGAAGTTCCAGATTGGTGGTTCCTCTTGATTTTGCTCGGCGCCATCATCGTCTCAGTCATCTTCCTCAAGATCTTCCCATCTGATACTCCGGTATGGCTCCCATTCCTGATGATTGCCATCAACATCGTCTTCGCAGTCCCACTTTCATTCTTGTCAGCGACGACCGGTACGAACTTAGGACTCGGGGCTCTGGTTCAAGTCATCACCGGTTTCATCCTCCCTAACAACCCCAATGCTTTCCTGTTCGCCCAAACTCTCGGCTCCTGGGCTCTCGCTGGATATGGAGACAACTACGTGCAAGATCAAAAGATGGCTCATTACTGCAAGATTTCTCCCAGGGCGGTCTTCAGAAGCCAGATCGGGACGATCATCATCACCTGTTTCGTGGCCGTGGGAACGCAAGACTTCGTGCTCACGAACGTCAAAGGTCTCTGCACACCTGATCAGCCCAGCAGATTTACGTGCGCCAATGACGGATTTCCGCTTTACGCTTCCTCATTGATGTGGGGTCTTCTTGGATCCGACAGAATGTTCAACTCCCTGTACCCGCTCTTCAAGTGGTGTTTCCTCATGGGTACCGCAATCGCAATTCTCTTCCTTGTCTGCCAAGGCTATGGTCCAATCTACCTTCCTCCCATCAAAGAAAAGTTGCGCGTGAAGCTCCGACCACGAACCTTCGAGATCCTAGATAGCACGCTGTTTCCATTCGTCGCCTCTCTGTTGTGGTTAAACCCAATTCTCATCATCCAAGGAATCCAGCACTGGGCACCATCCAACCTGTCCTACAAGACTCCGGGAATGATCTTATCGTTCATTTTCATGTATTGGATGCCGAGACATAGATTGGCGTGGTGGGAGAAGTACAATTATGTGTTATCGGCTGCGTTGACTGCTGGTGTTGCTGTTAGTGGGTTGATTATGTTCTTTGCTGTGGGATACAATCCAAAGAGCTTGAAGTGGTGGGGTAATACGGTCAGCTCTGCTGGTATTGATGGGTCTTCGAAGGGGATTCTTCCGATCCCTGCGAGAGGTTACTTTGGTCCTCCGAAGGGAAGCTTTCCTTGAGGAGGGTAATGGCTGCCACAGGGCCAAGAGACTGAATACCATGATGAATCTTCAATATTCCTCGAAATAGTCGCACAATTCCTGCTTCACATCAAGTTGATCAATATTATCTATCTCTGCTTCTATTCTATAGTACCTTACAACTTTGACACCCCAAAACCTCCAACGTTCTTAACCCCGATATACTCCTTACTTATTATTTTCGTAACACCAGCTAACGCCATCGTCCTCGAAAGCTCTCTCTCCAAAATATTAATCACAGTCTCCACACCCTCCTCCCCTTTATACCCCAATCCCTACTGCACAGGCCTCCCTACCAGCACAAAATCTGCCCCCAAAGCCAATGCCTTGAACACATCAGCGCCAGTTCTAACTCCGCCGTCAAAAATAACTGGAATCTTGTTCCTCCTCCCAGGCTCCGGAGATTTAGTGGCCAGAGCAGCATGAATAATAGGTAAAGCTTCCATAGTAGAACTCGCCTCATCAAGCTGCCTCCCCCCATGATTTGAAACCACGATTGCATCGGCACCATGATTCACCGCTAACACCGCGTCCTCATGGGTCATGATACCTTTGAGAATAATCTTCATACCCGGAGCTACTTTTCTCATAAGTGGAATGGTAGTGTCCCACGTGAGGCTGTTGCTGTGAGTACTCCCACCAGCTTCGCTGAGGATGGTTTCAGCGTCGTGAAGTATGCGCGCGTCCATGAGTCTGCGATTGAAAGTTGGTTTTCTGTCAGTTTGAGGAGACTGGGATGCCGGTTCGATGTTTGCGAGATGGAGACCAGAGGGGAGGACGAGAGGCACTTTGCGTTCGTTGATGCGGTTTTCCGAGGACGGGTGTATCTACAGTCAAGACCAGGGCTTCATAGCCAGCAGCTGAGGTCATAGATATGAGCAGCGTACCTCAGAACAGTTTAAGGTATTTGGGCTCACCTTCAGCCCTTTTGATCAAAGGAACGCTTTTCTCGGGATCTTTCGTGAGATAGAGCTGCATCCAAAATGCAGGATCACCTCCACCGGACGAGCTTTCCTTGCAGGACATAACATCTTCCAAGCTGGTAGTTGATTGCGATGACAAAGTCAAGTTTACACCAAGTTTTGCCGCTGCTCTCGCTACATCCATTTCTCCCTCGCCACCGGCAAGCTTCTGCATCGCGCTTGGTGCGAGACCGAATGGGACAGGATATTCTCGTCCGAAAAGAGTGGTTTTGGTTCTGACCGAAGAGACATCTCGAAGTACTCGAGGGAGGATTTTGAGGCTGAGAGGGGGTCAATTCACATGCACGAAAAACAGGTACGAGGGCCTCACACTTTGAATGCTGCTTCATTCTCATGTGGTGCGGTCTGGCTGTCTGCACCGCAATCGTAGTAGTCCCAAACCTCTTTTTTGATAAGAGACTTTGCTACCGAAGCCACCTCTGATAGCGTGATGGGATCAATTGGGACCTGAAGTCCGGACTTCCTTTGATCCTTCTTTTCGTCCATAGTTGCAAAGAACAAAGTCTATAAATAGCCTTGACTTGAGTGGTATCAGGATCGAGAGCACGCTCGATCAAGAGAAAATAGTAACATATAAAGTCGTTATCAGGCAAGCACTTGTGAAGTCGTCACGGTCGTGGTTATCTCTGAAGTCAAGGATCGTCATCGCAGGCCGATACCGGATTCTTTTCGTGAGCCATCGCCGACCTTAGGCAGAAATCGGCATGGAGCAAATTTACGAAGTGATAAGTAGGCCTGACGGTTTAGGGCGTCAAGTCAATCGATTGAAATTCTTACTTACTATCTGAAGACATATTAGCTAGCAATGAGCTTGTCTTGGAGGGTTTCGAGGAACTATTGAAAGGACATCCCCTGTTGTTGCCGTTTTTCAGGGGCAAATAAGCGAGGCACGCCCGAAACGACTCGTTAAAGCAAGCCTATGTACCTGCCGGGTAAAAGTAAACTTCTGAAGACCTTCTATGACAATCCTCTAGGGTCTTTGCCAAGTTGCAACAATCCATCAAAGGAGTCTTAAAGAGAGACTCCTCAATTTTCTTACGGCAGTTTCCTTTTTCTGACAGCGCGAGATCTGGTTTACATGATATCCAGATTATAGATTGATCGACTACATTCTATTTACCCTTCATATATATCCAGAGCGCTGCAGTGCAGTTTGCTGAGACGGTTAATTGCAAGCGGGGTAGCAGTGATACCCAGCCCAGCTCGTTTATTACATATGACTTTGTTGGTTGAATTGCCGATGAAAAAGCAACACACCCACCACTCACCCGTCTTGTTGAGTGTTGCAAAAAAAGTGTAGCAGGAGCCACATCACATACAACACTTGTTCGATCTTCCGTATGCCCGCTCCTGTATGCAGAAACCACAACCAGCCGCCTCAATAAATAGACTCTGAATCGGTCATAACGCTGAGCCCTCCTGTTTTTATCCTTCTGTTGGCATCGATATCGATTCAAATCTCACAAGCTCTCCACGTTACAAACACGAAATGGGATATGCAGCCAAATCAAGACTTCTTGCTTCAATGGGCATATGACTCCGATGACGTACCCTATATCAGTGACAACCCATGGCTCATCGTCTGGATAAATAACGCCCCGCATGGCCGATTTGCTGGGGGGGGGGGGTCCACTCTACAACTGTACGTTGCTGCCTCATCCTCCTTCTTATTTTGAAAAGTTAAATTGTGCAGAAGCCATCATGTAGACAAACTAATTACTCGCAGTCTTAGCACCCTCTACCTCCACTTCCTACGATTGGCTCATTCCCTTCAATATAGGTGCACACTCCCTATCTCCTCGGAATAGTATTTACAAGGCCCGTCTTCGACGATCAAGGGCAGGTTTCCCCAGCAGTGGAAGTAAAGGTAACGCCGTAAAGCATCCCCCCTCACCTTCCTCACATTAATTTACTTTTGTAATGGTAGGAGGGTCGGAAGCTCAAACGAAGTAAGGCTAAAACACAAAAGTCAGAATCTCGCTCCTGCTACGCCCTCTATCCCTCTTACAAAGAACAGCAAAATCGCAGTCGGCGTCTCCACAGCTTGGCTCGGCATCCGCCTGCTTTCAGCCCTGTTATTCTGGCTTATGAGTCGACAACGGCTTGCGAGGAGGCGAAAACTGAAAGTTTTGGCCATTGAATTGCAGATAGAGGAGACGCCGCTGAGGAGAAATTTCCCCGGAGTATATGGCTGGTGACAATCGGAATCTGGATACCGGCACAAGAGAGACAGTTAGGTTTTGCCGCCTCCGTATGCTCCGCGAAGGAATTGAATGGGATCAAAAAAGAACGCGATGGAATGACAAAGAGCAGATATATATGCAGTACTAAACTAGATCCACTCTGGGTACCTAATCGATCAACGCGACGATGAACAAACTCAGAACCTTATGCATATATTGCCTCTCTAATAATACGTAAAGGGCACAGCCAACGGCTAAATGTAAAAGTTCGTCGACCGGTTGGTGACGCGTTCGTACTTTTAGCGAGGCCGAAGATGCCGATCAGGGGTAGAATACGAGTTGGATCTAAAGTAGACACATCTACCGCTCTTCTTCTCTTTAAACATGCTTTCGATTTTTCCTCGCTTCAAGACCTTTTGTTATAGGATAGGTGGGCTGGTATAAAAGCTTGGCAGTCCGGAAACGGATCCTGGGACACAACGTGCGGAGATGCTGTGAGTGTATTGGAGGCAGCCTATTTTGGAGGCTTGCAAGTATTCTACCCAATGATAGCGGTGGATTAGCTGACAAGAGTATAATGGAAAGGAAGCGAAAGGAACGCGATGGCGATGCGGCGTTTGTCTTTGCGATAATATCAACTTGAATGGTTGATCACGTGAAGCTTGTCTCGTGATCAGCGTGGACTCCGCCATGGCACGCCAACGCCGCCTGTCAGACATCCCTGACTTTCTCCACACCTCGCCATTTCTGCCAGTAGGCACTCGAGGTGACAGCCATGATCCTATTCAAAAAGTCCAAGTAAAGCCGAGCCTCGGCCAAATCATTCGCTCAAAACACTTCCGCACTGTCGTCGTCTTCATCGTCATTGCTCTTGTACTTCTCACATTGCCAACAAAGATTCGAAATTACCACTCCTTTGCCCGTCTCGGAATCTCCGGCCCAAAGTGCTACTTTACCGATCCAGTCACAATACCAAGCATCCCAGAAGGAGAAGTAGACTGGTCGCATTTCGCATACACACAATACGCCACCACCCCCGATGCCCTCTGCTCCTCCCTCATGCTCTTCTCCGCCCTACACCAGCATTCCAGCCGCGCGGACCGCCTCCTCCTCTACACCCCCGACCTCCTTTCTTCCCCCACCGCTACCCACCTTCTCTCCGTGGCCCAAAATATCTACGAAGTAAAACCCGTTCTCGTCGAAAAACAACATAAAAATAACGTCCATTACATCTGGGCTGATTCATATACGAAGCTGTTGGCGTTTAATCAGACGCAGTATAAGAGGCTTATACACCTTGACTCTGACTCCACGTTAAGGGGGAATATTGATGCATTGTTCTTTCTTCCGAGTGCCGAGGCGGTTCTGCCGAGGGCGTATTGGTTGGAGAAGCCGAAACTGAGTTCCCATATTATGGTCTTGCAACCGAGCACTATGGCGCTTGAGAAGATTCAGAAGGCGATTGAGGAGGCGACGAGAGGGACGTATGATATGGAGATCATTAATAGCCTCTTTGGCAACGAATGCGCGATCTTGCCACATCGAGAGTACGCCTTGCTTACTGGAGAATTTCGCTCTCCGGACCCGAAGCATATGGCGTTTGTGGATGGGAAAGGGGAGTGGGATCCCGCAAAAGTTATGCAAGAGGCAAAATTTGTCCATTTCTCCGATTATCCTTTCCCAAAGCCGTGGGAGGAGACATCGGCAGAGGAACAGGAAAAGGTGGTTCCAGCGTGTGTTGTTGATGAGGAGGGGAAGGTTGATTGTAGGGCAAGGGATATTTGGATTGAGCTGTACAAGGACTTCAAGGCAGGAGGAAGGTAAGGCTAGATTCGCTCCTTGGCTACCTTTGCAAAATGATTGACAGCTGGGCTCTAGAACGTATGTGGTTTGGATGACTCCTCCCGAGAGTAAGCGAGCGAAAAATGCCCTGTTCAAGGATTCGACGTCGAAATTTAGATTTCATCCTCTTCATCGTCGAAATCCTCTCGATCCTCGGCGCCCATATCGTATAAGATTCTTCCTCCTTCACCTGGACCTGCAGCCCCACCCTCCCTCTGTGCATCGAAGTAGGGGAGGACGACACCCTCTCTGTCGCGTTTTTGCTTCTCTGTCAAGCCGAGGTTGAATGTCGTTTCGACTTCCTCTTCTCCCTGGCCACTTCCACCAGCCGCTCCAAGACTGGATGGGGTAGAAAAATAAAGTGGGTGATCATCCAAGAGTATAACATCACTCAACGCCACGCCTTTCAAACTCGAGGAAGATGATGTGGCGGAAGGCAGGATTACCACGAAATTCTCCACCACTCCCCGCCCCGAGCGTCGTCGAACCTCCATATTGACAACCACGCCATCCTCTCCTTCTTTCTTGCGAGACAACCCGACAAGGACACCATCTCTTCCTTCTTGGAGCCCGAAGACTGGTTCCTGGAGGCTCTTATCTCGTGCGCGTTTCCTGGCTAGGACTTGTGGAAGGGAGCAAATGGTGAGGATAGCGGTAGCGAGATAAGTGAGTGTTGTGGGGGGATCTGGTGCGTAGGGAGTTGTGGAAGACGGGATGGAGAGCGGGATATCGGAGTGGTATGTTGCTAGAAGGGATATTTTGGGGCCCATGAGGAGAGAGGACAGGAATGTTGAGAGGTGTTGGCTATGTGCGCTGGCGAGCGTGTGGAGATTATCGATTATGAGGAGGTGTTCTGTCTCCGTGTCAGCACCTCAAATGTTTGGTCATATGGTGAAGAGAAGACTCACTGGTGACGTTTGCCGACACAGGAGGTGGTCCAGTCGGTGGCGGGGGTAAAAGAGCAACAATATCCTTCCTCAAATTTGCCAGCGACTTCCCCCTTGTAGAGACGAACAAATCAATCTCATATGGAACCTTCTTACGCAGTGTAGAGAAGGAGATGAAGATGATTTTGGACCTCGATATCTGTTGATATTCGGCAAATTTAGCGCGAAATCTCTGCTTAAAACGACAATGCGAAGGTCAACGAGAAAATTCTTATCCACGCCTCACTTAGCGGCCTATTAAGCGAGAGCGAAATTTTTGTTGCATGTCGCATTCACTTTCAATATAACCTCATTTATTCTGGATTATATTCACCAACGAGGTTGACAACCCATCACGTGATAACCCAAAAATTTCCACGACGACTCAAAACCGTGACGAGGAAGGAGAAGGTTGAGGAACACGCACGCACTCGCTTGCTCTCTCTTATGATATTATACAATAGAATTAAATGAAAGAAGGTCCATACCATTGCTCGTCTCGCAAACTCCGTCACGATTGGCCCGCCACTCTGCTCCAGCGTATCCAGCACGAGCGTAAACGGACTCGCGCCATCCCGAAGGCTCAGCAGCTTCTGAAATAGAAGGGTATTGTGTGTTCTTCTTTGCTGGGTGGGCGAAGGCGCCATATCGACCCGAAGGCTGATTACTGGTAATTTGATGAAGTTGTGACGAAGCACAGAGCCGAGATTTTTGGGGAAGAGGGTGGAGCGGCGGGAGCGGCCGCACGATACGACTTCTATTTCAACCTCATCTCACTCCATCTTCATCTAAGCTTCTACAACTCCAAGTCCAGTTCTTCATATCAAAACTCTGCGAGCTTCCAATGCGTGTCTGTATCAAAATTTGTTTACGAAACTGAACGTCAGAAGCCTCAGTACGGCTCCGGTAAGCAAGCCTCTCGGCCGGAGTAAAAAATGGCCGATTTTCGTACGCAAGAACACCAAGACTCCCTCCACTATGCTCTTTAGTTCTCGCCCTTTAACTTTCTGAAATCTATGCCGACCTTAGGTATACCTCTTGAGAAGCTACCAAATCTAAATAGCAAATAATATAGTGCTATTTGTTAAATGTTTGTTAATAATAAATCGGATTTATCTTATTTGCGCACATCCAAAAATCGGTCACTTTTTCTCTGCCTGAAAAGCCTTGGTATCAACGGCCTGCCAACGAGCAGGGTCGTACAGCTTCGCCAATCACAACCGAAGATCTCCTCCATATCCCAGATGGTGGCAAAAAACTGGGAACACAATTAGATGCTGCTACTGGTCTGAGATTAGTGGCTTCTGAACATGGTGTCTTGGTGCTGATCGAATGACGATTCAGGGACGATCAGCTGAGTCCCTTCGCCCCCAAAAACTGCGCCGCCTGGCTGAAGCCAAGATCTGGTTATTTCTGAGCTAAAGAAGTCCTGCTTCCAACTTCAGCTCGTCCTTCCGTGTTGTTCATCTTTCTTAAAGTTCTTTGCTGTCACTCCCTTTGTTTCATTCTTGGTTTTGGCTTTCTTCAATTGCGTGCATTCAGAGGTCCTCATGGCAAACCCTTCGGTGTTCAAGAGCTTCTTGCTCTGCTACTTGTCATTATTGGGTTTTACACTATCAGCAAACAATCACGGCGTCAAATTCCTCTTCCCCACGACCAACCAGATCCTCAATTACCAGGACACAGTGAACGTAACCTGGCGGTCCCCCTTCAAGAATCCCCTCCTCTATACATTCTGCTACAACTCCGTGAATCATGACATGATCCAAGGTATACTCCCTCCTTCCCCTTCAACATTCTCCTTATCCTGTATTTTGCTGATGCATCGCAGAGGCCATCCAAAAGGTCGCACCTTACAACGGCTCACAACTCATCCCGTTGGTCTGGAAAGGCGTCTCGAGCTGCAACTTCAATCTGAGACCCAACACTACGGCGGGAAACGGCGCCGATAGTCCTTTGTTTATTGTATTACCCACAGCACGGGCCGTGCCCACAACCGTAGAATTGGGTTCGCCGGCCAGCACAAGCGGCAGCACGTCAACAGCAACAGGAGAAGGCGACCCGAGCACGAACGATACCCCGTCCTTGAACACTGGGCTGAGCAGTGGCGCGAAGGCTGGCATTGGAGTCGGTGTTGCTGTAGTTTTGCTTGCCGTTCTGGCAGGAGTTGCCCTCTTCCTCCTTCAACGACGGAAGGCCAAGAAGACTGTTGCAAATCCGACACCGCCGCCAGGATATGTTGAGAAATATTACGGCGGGGGTAGTGGTGGACAGAAATACCAGCCGGTTGACAGCACGACGGGGTCGGATGTACAGATGCAAGAGATGAATGCTGATACCTTGACGGCGCAGCCAGGAGAGCTGAGCGCAGAGGTTGCGCATGAGCTATCTGGTTCGGATGTGCGGAGGGAGATGAATCCTGGGACTATTGCGAGAAATACGGCGGGGGGGGACGGGAGGGGTTTTTCGTGGGATAAGAGTACCACCCCTTGATGTTTTGGTAAAAATGGAGTGCCACGAGCGGTCTCAGGTGCCAGAAAACTTACCAAGAACATGAAAGGCATGTCCTACTGACGAATTATGATAGAACTTCCTCTCTTCCGGCAGGATCGAGCGACCCTGAGGAACGCGTGGAAGGAACGATGTGCCATAGCTGGCTAGGTATGTCGAAGGAATGTAGCGAGCTATCGCGAGGGGCTGTCTTCGGAAGCAACGAAACAAGCAGAGGGCTCGAGTTTGCAGGGCTCGAAAACTGCGAAGACAAGTGAGGCAGATGGCGATCTGCTGGGAGTCGATGAGGTTCTTGTCCGTAGTTGCTTGAGCCCTCCTCCTCTTCAAGTCAAGGCCAAGATATACAAGGAAACCACTAATATAAAACATCCGCCCACTCTCAAATAATCCTCCTTGATCCTATTACGCTGTTCGTCGGGGAAAGCGAAACCCTACCCCGAAGCTAGCCTGGACCCACCCGATCCGCCCCCCTCTCTTCCCTTGCCTTAATAACCTAAATTAAGCAATATTCGCTTCAATGTATGGTCATAAGAGCTGCGCTTAGTGGGGTTTTAACAAGTCTAAGTCGCGGTGCCTAACCAGCACATACATTGCCAAGCTACAAAAAAAGTCGTTCGAATCTTTATTCTAATGAGTTCCCAAGCCGCCCCTGGGGCTCATGAGTTTTCCATATTTTGAACGTTGTTATTTTTTATATTTTTCTTTGGACAAGTGCAATTTTTGCGACTTTTTGACGAGCACAATTAAGCGAAGTGAAGCTTTCCACCGTACAATTTTCTTCCCATCAAGGTTTCTCAAACCTGCACATCCTCCTTACCAGGTGTCGCAATTACGGTGTGCATTCCATTCAACGTCGCAAAGCCATCCTCAGTAATATATTGGCTATCCAGGTTGCCAATCCATGGGCTTCTACAAGTTCGTCGACGAAAATCCGTCCTTCATTTCTTTTTGTTGGGAGCCAGTGCCGCCAGGATTCCCATAAAATGCCAGAGCAGAGGTACTCATTCGTCTCAACAGCAAGCAAGTCCAGGCTGTGAAATTGGGAATCTCGAAAGGATCTCATCTAAGTCCTGGCCCATTCCTCGGAATGGAATCTGCAAAAACACGATCAAAACAGCAGCATATCTGTCAATTTTGCACATGTTAGTTTCACCTTTACTTGTACAAATAAGGGCCACCCACTCCACAGTTGCAGCCAGATTCTCAAAGAGTTTGGCCACGGTCATAAAAGAAACCATGTTTAAAAACACCACGACAAAAACGTAAGGATGGCTAACCTCGTCACATTATTACTAACTATAGCCAGAATCCAGAGAGGCGTTATTATCATCATTAGGCCCAAGCCCGTAACTGTAAAAGATATAAATCTGCCAATCCGTTGATCCGAAGCGTAGTGAATATTCTCGTCCACTATAACAGAGGATTTCCTCCAGAGACGTGCTAGGCGGAAATGGGAAGACCATGCCAACACTTTTCTTAAAAACGTTTTCGTCTTCGGGACTATGGCAAAGAGATCTTCTGGATAGTTGATGAAATCAACTTCCTCTTCCAAGATTGTGTTCTGGTTATTGCTGAATTAGAATGCAAGGCTAGCCGTGTCTTTCTCCGGCACTCGTGGCCGAGCTCGCAGATCAGAAAGTGTCCTAAAAGTGTCAGAGCCGCATCCAACATATTCACAGATTAGGGTGCTTATGAAGAGATAAGCAATGGGATTCGCCGTGATAATCAATTCCCTACCACTTTTTCCAAACAATTCACCAATATAGGATGGAAGGACTCACCATGGAGCATGTGTTAAGTGGAGTTTATTCTATATCTAAAGCAGACCCTCCCTATTCGAGCCCCCGGACTAGAAATGTTATAAGGGCTATGCCAGGACATCCACGCGAAAATGAAATGGAAGAGGGCGAGGCACATGGAAGCGCAAATATTGATGGGGTAGCAAAGAAAACTCTTGAGACACGCCCCATGAACATCAGATTTCACCAGCAGCCCCTTAGTACTATTATTATTCTAATGTTCTTTTATCTCATCCATAGCAACTGGGTCACGCAGATCTACAGTATTACTACTCATTTATTCCTGCATCACTAATCAGACTTATCTCGAAGTGTTTCCCTAGAGACCAAATACTTGGTCAGTAAGCCCTTCCAATTATTATACAGCTATTTGGATATGAATGGAAATTTGTTGGCATAAACAAAGAAGTTTCAAGATTGTATTTGAAGAATTCCAGATGGGTTGCACGGCTATCAAGGCTTTCAGCGAATACCCTCGCTGTACTCAAAATATAATTGCAAGGTACAGACAAGAGTCTTGAAGAATTTTCTCGTATAATACCTTAGGAAGCCTGTCATTAAGCCTCAATCGTGATGTTCAGAGGTCCTCTTGCATGCGAGTTAAACTGCCTCCACCCTTTTCGTTTATCTTGGCGTCCAGGTTTCTCCGGCTTCTCAATGGCCTCTTCTCCTTATTATGTTTTCGAATTACCAGAACAATGTCATCCACACAATATCAGTCCAGTGTAATGCCAGGAAAACCCCCCTCCCCGGCCCTGAGAGTGAACATCTCTTCCCACCTTTGAATCCACGCAAATGGGAAGTCGTCATGAGTACGAAGATCACGGCATAAAGTGACGGGACTACAGGGCATTTAGACTCGCTTGGGGCGCTCAGTGGACTACAGCGTGCAAATTGAGGGGTTAAGCCCGCTATAAGGCCTTATAACTCCAGGCCTCGTGCCCTGAAGTAGAGTGTAAGACATTTGCAGGGCTGTCGGAAGGTGCTCAGGGGTTATAGCGCTGCTGGCGGAGCAACTATAGCGCTCGGACGCTGTGAGGGGGTAATTATAGGGTACCTTAGCGAACCTTCCCCTGTAAGTACAGGGATACGCCTTAAAAAGGTGTGGTACCCCTTGCTTGCGGTTTATAGCGTTCGTTCAGGGCAGTGGCCTGGAAATATAGGGGGCTTTAGTGGTTGAATCCAGCAGAAAGTGGCCTGAAAGTGGACTTGTAGTTCAAATGCCCTGTAGTCCCGTCACTTTATGCCGTGATCTTCGTATAGAAGGAGTGCCTAGTACTCATATCTCCTCCAGTGCACTCCGCTTAAGTGCCTCTAACTGCAATGCCTCGAAGGCTTCCTCCCTGAAGTTGCTCCTGAGTCTTGAGGCACTTAACCAATCTCACAAACCGAAGATTCGGCGCAACTCTCACATTTCCGAGCCCTCTGGCCATTTCCATCACCAACTGTTCCATCACCTCCGGTTCTCTATGCATGGGGAGAGCACGGCTCTTGCTTTTGACGCCTGGTATTGACACGTTTGTAACCCATAAGTTGCTCGGATGGATCACTTCGAAGAGGATTTCCTTCTTGCATGTCAAGCGGGTATCAACAATCTCCTCTGTATTCTCGAGACCCCACTTCCGATCGCCGGCCTCCTCCATCTCTGTCAACACGATGAACACCAGCTCCAAGCCACCATAATTCTTGAAGTCCTTGACGAAAGCCGAGAAGTTTGGGCGTGCGACTGAGAGTGCGATGCTCTTGACCTTCTGTAGAGACTTGGTTGCAATAAGCCTTGCTCTGAACGCTTGAGGAGTTACCTTTTCCGCCCCTGCCTTGTTGATGAATATCATATCGGCACTAGGAAGATAAATCAACCCTCGAGCGTCTCTTTGTAGGAACTTCAATTCGATGTAATCGTGGAATGGGGTGCCTTTTGCTCTGAATTGCTTGCTGACCTGGAGGATCGGAGGAACGGTCCGTAATTCATGAGTAGAAAAACGAGTGTCTGGCTGCCGCATATTTCCCATCTCTTGGTCCCTCGCGAATCGGAGTTGGAGGCGGCGTGGTTGGCTTGTCGTGAGATATTGAGTGACCAGTGCTTGTACTTCGGGTGGCAGCTGAGGGAAGAGGGTGAAGCGCGATTTCTTGTTGACAAGCAGGTTCTGAGGTCTTATCAGCGATGCCAAGGGCGACTAGAACAAGGGCCGAAACTACTCACCAGCTTGAAGAAACGCCCTCTATATCCCATGTTCGAGTCGTTTCTAGTCAAACATGTAGTCAGCAAGTGCGCCATTTGAGATTTTGACACTAGTGCTAATATCAATGAAAATTGCACGATTGTTTGAGCACGTACACTTCATCGTAGCGCAGAAGCGTATCCAAATGGTACTGGGATGCAGGAGAAAATGGCATAAGATTTACCTTTACCAAATCGCCATCATGCTTGATCTCCTGTTCTGGTATCAGAGGGGTCAAGAATAAGATAACAGATCGACTCACGAAGGTGGACATGTAGTCAGTCGACATCTTGAGCAAAAACTCCCGGAGAATCTTTCTCCGACCATATCCAAAGGAACGACATTGATGGTTGATAGCGTCCAAATCTAACTGGCGCAGGGATTGGGTACCAAGGTCAAGAGACTCGTGACATCGGAGACCACCGCTGAGAGGCGTTTCGACGGCCCAATGATTCTGTATATCGAATGCCATTTTGAAAGAGGGATCGGCAAGTCCTAGGTATCCAAGTCGAGAGTCGATCACTTTCCGGAAATGAGAGGACGCGCCTTGCGGGTTTTGAGTTACCAAGGTGTGATACCACAAGTTGAGGTAGTTCAAATGCGGCGCGTATGGCTCCCAGTGGTGATACCAGCGGTGACCAAAATTAGCCGGCACCAGAGCAAGCTCGCCTGTCGGCGGAGTAAGAATTATTTGTGGCAGTGGTGATGGCCGCTGCGGTGGTGGTCGTGGAGGCGATGGTAGTCGTTGTTGCATGAGTCTGTAGTAGTCCCAGTCGTCCCTCAAGCTTGCCCTTAGATTAGGTGCCATGCCAGCCATTGTGTGTTTTCGTTATTGGTATCGTTGTTGTTGCTGCTGCTGCGGTTGCCGTTGTTGGTTGAATGCAAGGTAGCGAGGTTTAATAGCGGATAAACAGGCGCTGACCGGCCATGAGCCATAAATAAGCCCGAGTGCTGATTTATTTAGATTCGCTTAAATTTTGATACGTAAGTAAAAGCCAGATGATAGGAACTTGTTAGAAAAGTAGATGATACGCTTTAATAACTTCTTGTTCCTTCCCGCACTCAGATTTCCCCCCTCCATATTCCCATTCCCGGTCCATCCTCTTAGTCTTATAAATGCAAACCTTTCCAATCTTTCCAGTGATCCATCACAGAGGAAGGACCAATTTGCCAAAAGTATAAACTTTATCCCCGTTTGTTGGCGAGGATTTTTGGATTCACTGTTGTTTACTATTCTCACGAGACATTGCCACCTGGAGACAATCTATTTTTATTTTTATTTTTATTACAAAACAAACACACATCTTGCATCTGGGCGAATAATTGTGGGAAGCCGGTAGTAACTCTGCTTATATCTTCAATTATTTCAACGCAGCTGACCCATACTCAGAATCAACCCTGCGCTTTGCTAAGTAGTAGGTATAATGACTTTCTCAACCAATGCTCCCTGGAGATTTGGTTATTGAACAGGCCAAATAGTTTCCAAAGAGAAACAAAGTTTCATTCAATTGACTCCACAAACTTTGGGTTGCTGCGAAGAAAATGTGACGATGAAATAGTGCTGAAAATTGCCTCCGAAAGCTAACCAAACAAGCCAATTAGCGTCCGCGGAATAGCGCCACAGTCCTATCCCAAAGCTTGAGTACGTCTGGGAGATCATTCAATATGAAATAATGCAAGGCTTTCTTAACATACATGTAGTTTACCGAATGCGTAGGGCATCACCCGAGAAATATTTATACTTGAATGAATTTGACTTCAAAACGCTCGATCCGTAAAAGTTTCACACGCGCGTCTGGCTAATGCACCGCACGCCAAAAAGTCCATCTGCTCTTGATCTAGGATCTTTCGTTGAAATAAATCCAAAGAAGGTTTAAGTAAGCTTCTATGTTGACTATCACGTGCTTAATCTCCTCATTGGTGCCCCCTGTCGCTCACGTGCCAGATTGCGGGGTACACTAATTTTCATAGCGGAGCCATTTTCTTCTCTTCAGACAACATCAATATCGACAACTTCCACAATCCTTCGGTGTCCATATCTCAATGGTCAGATCGCAAAGGGGATCGATGGTGGTTGATGAGGCGGTGAGGGAACATTTCGCAAGTGTGACCAATTCCTAGCAGCGCGACCATGTCGGACGATGCCAGTGAGTTCTACTCTGCATGTGACTGCTGCAGGACCAGAAAGTATAAGGTATTCCTTAACACTCTTTCATGGGCTTATGTTAAGGGATTTTAACATCATATCTTAGTGCACCAAGGAGAAACCGACGTGCGCTCCTTGCTTGCAGCTTGATTTGGAATGCAACTACAGTCGGAAAGCTTCTCGCACGCCATTGACGCGGAATAACCTGACGGCTGCTGAAGATCGAGTTCGAGATCTAGAGACCACGATCAAGGCCCTGTTTCCCGGTGTGGATATTGAGACGGTTTTATCGTCGACTATCCGGCCGTCAGAGAATGCTTCTGTGAAGACCAATGTTGCGGCTTCACCGAGCAGCAAATTGTCACCCTCATCAAGAGAAGCCAGTCACGAAGCCGAGGCAACTTCCGAAAGTTTACCACAGGCAGCTGATGGCTTCGATTGGACAGAGAATGCTGTCAGTCTGAATGAGCTAGCTGATGGAATGGCAGCCCTATCAGTCAATCCTGAAGGTGCAGGGTATCTAGGTAAGTCTCGGAAGGCAATGGAAGACGAGGTGCTGACAAGAGCGGAAAGGGGCTACTTCGAGCGTTGTTCCTCTACGAGCTCTACTCAGTCGAGAGCGAGACGGAGATCAACAAGCTTTCAGTTCTCCCAGCTGGCATTCCCAATCCATGTTTTCAGATCTATTCCCCATGAGTTTGCCCTTCTCGAATATTTCAGAAAATACCTTCGTGGATGCATACTTCAGATACTATCACACCACATATCCCTTCCTTCACGAGCCACTGTTCCGTGCTCAGCTTCAAGGCAAGAGTCCTCGGCCTGAAGGAAATTCGTGGACAATCCTGTACAACGCTGTTCTTGCACTCGGAGCATGGTGCATTGGCGACGATGAATCTGTCATGGATGACTTCTTCTACCGAAAGGTGGCCCGAATCTCAGAAGAGAGTTCAATCTTTGAGAGTGGCAATCTAGCCATGGTCCAGGCACTGCTCCTGCTGAGCAACTACGCTCAAAAACGAAACCGGCCAAATACAGGCTGGAACTACCTTGGACTTGCGGTACGAATGGCTCTCAGCCTTGGTCTGCACAAAGAATTTCCGAATTGGGAAATCACACATCTCCAGCGAGAGATGCGACGAAGAGTCTGGTGGGGATTGTTCGTATTCGATAGCGGGGCATCAATCACCTTCGGTCGCCCTGTTTTGTTACCAGAGAGAGGTATCATGGACGCCAGCCCAGTTCTAAATATTCACGAAGAGGTATATTTCCAACGTATTTATCCTTGCCAACTGCTGATTGCTTTAAGTCTTTAACGTCACATACAAACATACTACCCGATGAGCTTCCGTATCCCACAGCCTACACAGGTCTAATATCACAGTCTCTGTTTCACCTCGAAACCAACAGTCTCCACCACCGACTAATTTCAACCCCTTACCCACTACCTGAGGAGCTCTTGAGTCTCAACCAGATCATCGAAACTTGGGAGAACTCAATCCCGCCGTACTTCCAGCTCGACTCTCCTATCATACACGCCAGCGAAGCATTTCTCTTTGCTCGCTATCGTCTGGATTGGCGAAGCTGGAACCTCCAAATCATCCTCTTCCGTCCCGTGGTCCTCCAACTGGCAGGCCGGAGAAAGCAAGCCGAGCTGAGCGCCGTCCCTGAGACAAGCGAAGAGCTCGCATGCCGCGAAAAGTGCATCCAGAGTGCGAGAGCAACCATAAACTCCATCTCTGACTTCGTCGCCACCGGCATGGTCTCAAGACTGAGTACTTGGTACATGCTCTACTTCCTCTTCCAAGCCGGACTCGTGCCTATCATCTGTCTCCTCACCGACCCAACACATCCCGATTCGATCCTTTGGCTGAACGACATCCGCACCACCAGGGATCTACTCAGTCGCACAGCCCTTACAAATCGACTAGCTGAACGCTGTCTCAGCGTCTTCAATCGTCTTTCGCCTGCGCTGGATAGTGGTCTGTCTGAGGATTTGGGTCTCGGAATGTGGGAGGGGAATTTCGCTGATGAGTTTCTGAATGATCAATTTGGTGGGGACATGGGAGCTTGGGATTGGGAAAATGGAGAGATTAACTGGACGATGTAATGAAAATTCTATATTGTAAGATTAGAATATTGGTTCGTACCTTTCCCTGATGAAGAAACGCTCATGCTTCGAAATTTTGATAATGAATTTACGTAGTTCTAGCAGGAGACTATTCTCTGATCGGCCATAATTCATTATTCTTCGCTATCACCCCAAACGTATCCGAGGCTATCAACACCCAAAATCCCCAGCGAGATCTATGATAATTCCGTCTTTTCTCCCTTGATCTCCTTGTTTCGTTTCCACGCCTCGCTCTCCAATCACTCAGTATGCTCAACCACCATCCCCTTCTCCGGATCCGTCCCATCAATCTGCACACCCCTTAGCTGCGCCTCAATCTGCCTAATCCTCTCCTGCTCCTCATGCGCTGCTGTATCGCCGAAAACGAGATCCATGTCCTCCAACGTCTTTCCCCTCGTCTCAGGGACAAAGAAATACGTAAACCCTCCGGCCAACAAACAGAACGCAGCGAAGAAGATATACGTGCCCCATTTGATCTGGGCAAGCATGTCTGGAGTGACCAGGCCGATGATGAAATTGCACATCCACGTCGTGGAAGTCGTGATTGAGATTGCCTTTGAGCGGATCGCGAGATTGAAGATCTCGGAGGGGAGGACCCAGCCGATTGGTGCTGTTCGTCTGTCAGTACAGAACTCCTTTTTAATATCCGTCCTTAGGATGCGACTTACCGAATGAGTAGGAGAAATTCACATCATAGATGTAGATAAACGCAATCCCCACCCAGCCCGCTGCCTTGTGCGCCCCGAGCCCATCGCCATAAGCACCAACAATCGCACCTACAATTACGAGCGAGATGCAAGTACCTGCCGCACCGCACATGAGCAATGGTCGTCTTCCAACTTTGTCAATGAGGAGAATGGCAGGGATTGTGCTAAGACAGTTGACGATTCCGTACACGCCCGTTGCCAGCAGAGAGGTTGTGTTTCCTGAAAGACCGAGAGACGCGAACATCGTTGGAGCGTAGTAGATCATAGCATTACACCCCATAAACTGCTGGAAGAACATGACGCAGCAGCCGATAGCAAGGCGGCGGAACCGGGACTTGTTTGTGAAGAGGGACAGGTACTGTGTTTATCGTCAGCTCTTACTCCTTACGAATCTAATGGGGCAGAGGAGCGCGGGCTTACTTGAGAAACATGTAGCTTCAATCCCGAGGCGCCATTATAGTTGTCCCTGACATATGTATTCTCCAAGAGAATGGAGGCTTTGATGTCAAGCGCTTCGGAGACGATGCTTGGGTGATCGGCGGGGAAGCGTCTGAGTTTGGAGAGAGCTCTGAAGGCTTCCTCGTCGCGCTCTTGGAGGAGGAGCCATCTGGGAGTGTCAGGGTAGAAGATCATGCCGATGCCGAGGATGAGTGCAGGTAGGATTTGGAGAGCTAAGGGGATTCTCCAAGCAGCGGTGCTTTGGCCTGTGCAACCGTTTGGTCCAACGTCGGTATAAGGGTCAAATGATGGCGAGGACGCTGTTCCGCCAGTGTAGGGGACGGATGGTGAGCAGCGGGTGCCACCGATGTAATGTGTTCCGTAATCGATCCAGAAGCTTGCGAGGATACCGATTGTAATGGATACTGTTGACTTTCAGCACGTCCCTTCCAAGGGAAGGAACTTGACCCAACTCACGTTGTTGCAGCACCACAAGACCTCCACGGATATCAGATGAAGAAACCTCGGAGATATACAGCGGGATAACCATCGTCAACATCCCCACCGCCAATCCCGCAATTGCTCGTCCTTTGCCACGTCAGATAACAAACTCCCAAACTTCATACCGTGAAACTCACCAACAAACAACATCCCAATGCTCACGGCACCAGCCTGAATAGCAGACCCAACGACAAAGATAACAACCGCAATAATCATGTTCATCTTCCTCCCGAATTTATCAGCGACGGGACCATTGACAAGAGATCCAAACCAAGCAGCTTGTCGTCGTCAGCCACCCCTCTCATCTTAGTTCATAGAAGGGGAAACGCACTCAACAAAATCGTCGACACCCACCACCCCTTGAACCCAGCATCAGCGTAGATCTTTGGGAATGCGGCGCCAAAGGACTCCATTGTTAGAACACCAGAGACAACGCCTTGATCATAGCCGAAGAGGAAACCGCCGAGGGAGGCGAACTATCTTTCTATTAGACATTTTGGGTGGAGTTTTGAGAGAGATAGACGGACCAGTGCGACGCCGAGGAGATAGGGGTTGTCGAGGAGGCTGGCCTTGACGGGCTTGGTCGGAGGCTCGAACTCTTGCGGGCTCATGTTGGGTTCTTGATTCGCCATATTGAATGTGGTATTGATTACCGTTGTCCTTGGATAGACTTTGGGTGCTCTGTCTTGTTGAAAGGGCGGAGAGTCGCTCTTATATCTTCACTCGCCAACCCGGCACTCCACCTTTATCATCCCATTGCGGGGAAAACAAGCTTCCCCTTCTCCCCAGCTCTCCCTTGTTTCCAATGCGGGTTCAGGGGTTTATTTGTTTCCATTGGTGGACGACTGCTGACCGGCGATCTTGTCCCACTGTTCATGTCCTGGAAATGGTAGGAATTGTTGTTAGCGACGGAATGTTGCTGCCCGACCAATGAGATGGGGCTGTTGCCGGCGGAGGAGTGTTGTCCGGCGAATGGGGGGAGGGGTTATGGGCCGAGATGCACAAGGGTGGATGGAATGCCGTCTGTTACCGATGGAAGAACTTGACTTTGAGGAAGTCACGTGTGTCTTACTACAAATGCAAGGATTTCACGTTAGAAATAATTGTACATGATTCTAAGGGGATTGAGGAATTATAGGAACTGAGTGTGGACACTGTTACTTGTATCATAATGGCCTCCGTATGAAGGATGGCTTTGGAGGGGACACCCGCTGGTGTGACTTCTCGCTTATGTCACTCAGGAGACTGAACATTTCGAGACATCAGACAACACAACTAGGTTATAACTAAAACAAGAGGCGTGTATACGTTTAAAACCGATAGATTGTTTGATCCCACTTAAGACGAAAGAATTCTGCTTGCGGAAGGTGCTGAACAAGTGAGTGTTGGGAGTGATCGAAACATGTATTCTGCACTCTGGCCGATTGCGATATCTTAAAGATGCTTTTGTTAGCCCGCGATTCTATTAATGTAGGCGACTGTGCAGATGATATCAAAGATGGGTAAGACTCTGAAATCAATCTTGCGCTTGTTGTTGTGTCAACTGATTTTCACCAAGAGGTATTTCTCAAAGTTGGAAATACAAGGTCCGTTTCGCAAACTTCGAGTCCTTCGTCTCCTCATTTGACGCCGGTTCGCTGTTCTCTCTCTGATCTCTCTGTCTTTCCACAGATTTGTCTTCGAGATCCGTTGTCGACAGTGTATGTGATTCATCTCTGGCCGTAGAGTCGAGAACCATCTTGCTCCTTGACAGTTCTTTCTTTCGAGTTCTTATTATGCGAAAATTTGCCGCTTAAAGCAGGGTGTCTAGCAGTGAGTAATTATCAAGAGAAGGGAGTACTGAGACCTCATCATTTCGACTTTTTGACTGAGCAAGCCACCGACGAGGGGATGGGTTTGATCCGAAACTAATGATGAGTTATGGGAATGTCGAGGACCCTAAGATCTTCTCGAAAGTGTCACATATTGGTCTTGAACTAGACTGCCGAGACAACAGACCCTGACAAGCGTCGCTTGTATTCGACGGTACGATTTAGTTGAGGGACTTGTTCTCGCTTAGTAAGGAGGCCTCTCTCAAGTGACATCTCCTCGATCGCATCACCTCATCATCACGTTCGTACTCCCCACAAACACAACCTGAACACTCGCAAACCTGTTTAGCCTTGTCAGCACTTTCACCTACATTCTTATCCCATTTATAAAAGGAAGGAACTTACGCAGCAGTTGCCGCAAAATTCTCCACCCGCTTTGCCTCCGTCACCAAGCTCAAGCAAACACTGAATATTGCCGTAAAGGCACACACAGCACCCAGTCTCGCGGTCATATCCCTCACAAATGAAAGCACTATAATTGCTGCTATAGGTATCAAGGAAGACACCAGCGTGCCGAGGATTGTAGCAACGCGATGAAAGTGTGTGTCGCGGTAAAGGAATATGTTGGCTTCGATATCGAAAGATGATTCGTCTGAGGTACTTTCTGTGCTGGGCCGGAGTGTTGGCGAGTTATCTAATGAGGTAGTTGATGTGACTGAGACGTCTTGACAGGACTTGCGATCTTCCTCGGTGCCGGAGGTGGATTCTGGTTGGGGTGACGGTCCGCAGTTTCGATGGCTTTCTGGTTTCTGCCACAATCAGTATATGTGTTCTTTTGAATCTTTCTTACGGCTATGGGACACCTTTATCCATTCACCGCAGATTCTGTGCAGAGGGTGGACAACTCCCCAGTGGTAAAGATTTGGCAGCACGTTGAGAAGCAGTCTTGTCATCGCATCAACTTGTCCCCCTCCTGCAGCCAACGTCCCAAGCCCCGCGGGCTTATCGTACACGTCGCAGTCTGCGCCGATGAATGCAGAGTTCCCTAAGCTAGGACGCTCGAGCCATTTCTGGAGGAAGTCGAGGTCGTATTTGCGTGGTGCTGGAAGCCCAGTGATCATCATGTGGTGCGCAATTGCTTTATCTATGTGCGTTAGATTGTAACTGATAATCCTTGAAGAAATTCTTACAGTATTCCTTGAGTTTCCGGCGAAGCTCGAGCCATTTCTCATATTGGATACTATCCGTTGAGGAGCTGAGCGTTTCCCAGTCGACGGCAAAATCTTTCCTCTCTGGATTCTCAGAGTCAATCTGAGCTATCTTGTCGATGCTTTCCTTGAGATTGGTGATTTCAGCTTGAAGGTAGAGTAAGTTTTGCGCGCTAATTGACTCAAACTTTTGGAATATCAGGAAGTGTCCATCCGTGCGGGCATCACCCATGAGGCTTGCGAGCTTGCTGTACCCTTCCATCTTGGTCGAACACTCTAGGAGATATTTCAAATAAATGTTGAAGATGCATGACAGGAGAAAGGGCTAAATTGAGAGCAATTGACTTGTATCGAGGTTGACAATGAGGTAGTGCTGGCAAGGCGTTTCGCAGCCTCGTTGGGCTGCCCATAACCCCAGTCACCATCCACACCCTTCAGGCAGCAATATGACTTGCTTCCTGGAGCCTTTCGATGGAGAGAATTGGCGAATGGGGAATTCTAGACGCTAGATCTTTCTTGTAGTATTCCACCTCAGGTTCTTTATGTTCAATTGGCAGGCTCACTGTGCTGGCGATCCACCTCGGCCCAAAGCAGGTGCCTGGGAAGAGTCAATTGACGGAAACACGTAGAACAAATCGTGCAGTTGGTAGAGCACATCTCGGAAAAGCTAAAGACCATGCATGGAGAAGTGTTATGTATCTTCTTGATAAGACAAAAGGACGAAGATACTATGGAATCTGCTTTATTGAACTTTGCAATTTGCTTATATTGTCCTTCCAACTCACTCGAAGAGGTTGTGAAGCGTTGTCCAGACACAGAGTTGCAGGACTGAGACATGCCAATGAGGACAACTGCAGGAATGGAATTGGTTGTATTTGGTGTCATGAGGGATTTTGTGGGGAGACTGGCATTGGCCCTGGTCTCCCTATGAATAGGATCGACCCCTGGTGACAGGAGAACGAGCAGGGGTGCTAATCGGTGACGATCTGGTGGATGTCACTCCAGATCCTCATTTCTTACTCGATACACCCTCCCAATCCGACGTTATCAGCCTTGTTTCAAGCTTCAGCCAATACGAGGAATTTGAGCCTCTCATCTCCCGTTTCCAATGATAGAACCTACCTCCCAGTCACTATCTGGGACACCGCGGCCTGCAACTCACCACTTCCCCACCAACGCCCTCGAAACGCAGTCGGCTGGCGCCCTATCCTCATCGTACAGCCGTCCGCCTCACTTTTGATATCCTTCCTAGGGCATCAGATCTCTGGCCACGATGCGACCGACCAGGTAACAACCCTACTATGTCGAGTAGCTCGAGAAAGCGCGATCCTGGGCGAAGGAGGACAAAGGCTGCAGATCCGGATGAGGAGTCAGGCGGGGAAGGGCCGCAGCCCCGCGCATCACACCACCCGAAGATGCCGCAGAAACCGCCGACATCCATTATCAAAGGAGATGTTCATATCAAAAGCGTCAAGGGCAATGTTTATCTAGTTCAGGGCAGCAGAGATGACGAGCTACCTCAACGTTCCCCTACCCCGACTCGGAATCGGAATCCAGCTCGTCGTCAGCAGCCAACGAGAACGATAAAACGATCGACAGCGCAATGCGATTCTCCCAGCGCCTCCGAGGAAGACGAAACAAGTGCTTCCGATGATACGGAGCCCGAATATGTTGCTCCTAGGCGACCAGCGAAATCGATGATGCCTCCAGAGCGGCCGCGCATGCGCTCGGAGAAGAAGAAACGCGATCAAGCAGATGAGGGGTACCACACAAGCGGCACAGTATCATATACAGCGCAGGTATTAGGAAAGGTAAAGGGAAAAGGGAAGGGGAGGGAAAGTTCAGTCTCGTCTATTGGAGGCGCGTCAAGCCGCCCGCGCCGCGACAGTAAGATGTCAAAGGAAATTGGATGCGAAACGGACACGAGTAGCTGCCATGCAGACGGAGACAATGGAGATGAAGTATCTGCTGAGGAAGAGGAGGATCAAACCGAACAAAACGCCCCTCATGAGGAGGATGAAGCGTCAGATGATGTATGTGCTTGCGCGTTCAGCTAGACGATTTTACTCACCGATCCAGGACTTCCTGAAGCTCCCCATACACATCGGCAACCCCAACAATCTAGACACTCCGGCAATAGGCGAAAAGGCAATACTAGACACAGGGACAAAGGGAGACTGGATATCGCAAACATTCTACAATGAACTCCGAGACATGGGAGTCCGATCCACAAAACTAAGTACAGAGGAGCTCGATGTGCAATACCGTGACTTCAACGGCAAGAAGTTCCAAGCCACTGCAAAAGTTGATCTTACGATTCAGACAGAGGAGTTCAAAGGATTTATGAAATGCAGAACAATGAGGTTTTTGGTCGCAAGCAAAGCAACCTTCACCATCCTCTTTGGAAGAGATACAATTCGAAAGCATGGATTCTTTACCAGATCAAAGCGCGACACAGATGGAGAAGAAGTTTTGATAGGTGTCCACGATGAACTCAATGAAGGTATGTCCCCCTTGAGTTCATGCCTCCGGCATTTATTCTGACTTAAATTTTGTAGCACAAAAAGCGGAGATGAGAAGGAAAAAGGAGGAGCAGAGGAAGCTCTCCTCGGACAGGAAAAAGGCGCGGGACAGCAAGACAGAGAAGGCCGCCAGGGAGAAAGAGAACGCGTCTGCAGCAGCAGCCTCGTCTTCGAAAGACGCACACCTCGCCACCACAGAACCGCGAAGGAGCAAGACTCGGCCGTCATCGAAGGAGTCTGCGCGAAAGTCGAGCTCGTCGATGGAGGACTGTACATGGTAGCCTTTGTGACATTGATCTTTGGGTGTAGGAACTTGTAAATTGGGCGTTGGGTCGGACCGGGCCGGAATATACATTAGGGATAGAGGGTTGGGCCACGGTGTTTGGATCGGGACGGTGCATAAGCAAGACGGATTTGCTTGGGCGCACAACGGAACCATACATCGGCACCTGAGATACCTCTTTGTTTGCTTTCGGGAGCTTTCCCTTCCTTGTATGCTACTCCTTCGAGTGGATTTCTCGGTGGTTTTGTGTGATAGATTTTAACGGAGGCGATTTGTGCAAGGGCGGGCGCTTGCCAGGTCAACAAAAGAAAGAAATGAAGAGCTTTAATGATTTGAGATTAACGCATTCTTCAGATTCATATGATGCCCATCAACAAGATTCCGCAACAGATTTTTTGTGACTCTGAATGAGTCAAATATTAGTGTACGTGTGGAGGGGAGCAGATGCAGAGAATTTATGGGGCACCTCTAAGCGAGGAATTCTGAACCACTTGTCTTAGTCCCTAGATTACAGCTGCTATTATCGAAAGATGTAAATCACATTAAGAGGAACTCTACTCAGATATACTAAGAAATGTGTAATCACTTTCTCACGCTCGCGATTTATTCTCCAAGATATTTTCAGAAACAGGACTTCTCTCGCTTCCCCGCCACCTTTTCTATGTAAATGGGCGGGGGAGATATTCTTCGATGAAGTGGAAGTCTTACACCTGGCAATGCCCTTAATTTGAAGAAAGTTGTGGAATGAACTCGACATCGAAGTCAAACTCGTCATACAGGCCCTCAACCATAAAGCGCGTTGATTTGAGATGGGGTTGCTCAGGGACAGCCCACCTGGAGCTCTATGCAATTGAGCGTAAACTCCAGGGTATATTTGCGGTAGCAAAATAATCGAATTACACATCACGACTTCTTTAAACTTATGGCTGGTAACCCCACCTCTGCATCTACAGGGAATGCTTCATGTACCCCATTCCATCTACGGAGAATTTATCCCGATCTGTAAGGATTAGATGCAGGGCATGTTCATCTCCCGACCCGAACGGCAGTTCAGAGTGGTGCAACCCCTGAATCGCCTAATTTTTAGTGAAGCTTGCCTCGCTTAGCCCTATCCCGGGCTGGGTTCCCCGCTCGCAACACTTCAACAAACCCAGCGACGAGGTGGACTTGAACTGAAATTGAGGAACGACAATGAAATTGAGAGCCATTGGATTTCCCATGGGAATAGAGTAGAATGAACCAGAGTCGGAGAGTATGTTATAGTTTTCGAAGTGTTGGGGGTGAGGAGCATAAGATAACTGAAGCTGCATGTCTAGTCTGGATAAGAAATTAAGAGAATACAAATCGCAGGTTAGAGCGCAGAAGAATACTTCCCATAGCCGACCTTCAAAGATATGCATCTTGTTGTAGTCTATTGTAAATCACGCATCTTCAGACCGTAGCAAACCACCTGATTTAGGCCCTCGTCTCGGCCCCTAGGCTAAACAGACAAAGTGTTAAATAATGATGGGTAAAACAACATTCCAGCATTCGAGAATAATTTACTCTATCGCGGAGCTTGGTGAAATTTACCCCCTCCCGCCTGATCACCGCCAAGAATTAGCCAACGATAAACTTAGAATGAAAGCGTGGAGATGAATGAGTAAAAATATCCGCAAAATCTGTCCACCATATAAACGTGCCTTCCCCGACTGACAATGCCGCGTTTTCACCTCATCTTTGAAACTTAATCAATTGCTGTCAAGACCATAATTCAAGATGTTGGCCTCTTCCGTTCTTTTGTTCGCGTTTGCCGCGATTGGCATGGCTCAGGCTCCTGTTGGCTACAAGGCGGTATACCTCACCTCGAAGGTGGATGCCAAGTTAACAATTGTACCAGAAACAGCAGCTGCCGGCAGCAATATCCGAGTGTTCGTCCCGCTACCCACAATCATTGAAGATGCCATACCCACTTTGTCGAAATCTAGTCAGACTCTCGCTAACACAGCAGCACAACAATGGTATCTCAAGGATGGGAACAGCTCCATCCGGCTGCCAGGTTCCACGCTCTGCATGGATGGAGGTGCTAAGAGTGAGGATCACCCAGTATTCTTGCAATTTTACGAGTCTAGTTTCAGTGGTTAGCGAACTGGAAAGATATGAGCAGCGTCAAGGTGGAAACCTGTGATGCTACCTCCGCTTCTCAGATCTGGAAGGTTATGACTGGTGGACGAATTGCTCTCCAAGCTCCAAGCCTTGCAAGTGTCAATAAACAGCATAATAAAGTATAGCAGAGCTGATACCCGAAATAGAAGAGTATCTTGGCCTTCAGTATATGACAGGCAAAGCTGGCACAACTGTTGGTCTGTATGCTTGCGCTGGGTTAGCGAAGGGACAAAGGCATCAACTGGCCACAAGCCAATGCCACCACCACTGTGTCAGCCCTCACTCTTATCTCAGAAGCTGGGAAATAAGAGGGCTCTCATTCCGCGGTGTATAGTTGCGAAGTGGAAAGTTATGAAGGGCTTATTATTCAACTTTGGTTCTGCAAAGAAAGAAAGAAGACCGCCAATGTATATATCAACAAACTTGATCCACGTACTTCTCTGGAGACTTGCTTCAATTAATCTTCCTTCCAAATTGCATCCCAGTATTGCCGCAGCTATGTTTAGAAGATTGTTGGACTAGAGATAATGCAAATGTGAGGGTGGGCCCAGAGGACTACACCGAGCTGCGATTCAAGACTGGTGACAAGGATTTGCATCATGTCCGTACCAAGTGTTCTCCCAACATACTTAGGGGAGTTATTGGGCACGCTTCAACCAATGGCTGGATAAACTTGACAGAAAGCCCACTTGTCAAGCATGCCAAATACACCTCTGTGCTGTTTATTTCATTGCTCTGAGTCATGGACGTGGCTTTGATTCTTCGCTTACTGGTGTAAAAGTCTTTCCAATAGTCTTGGATGATTGTAGGAATAGAAGGCTGTTGATGAATCAAATCTTCGCTGATCATGTGGGCTGAATGATGTTTCAGAGCCGTTTGTAACCTCAACATTGCTTTTTCGACAGCTGAATGCTGCAGCTCACAAATGCCTCATAGGAGTAAACCATCACACTGTGCACGAAACGAGCTTGAAATGTGTTAAGCGCCACTCTTCTGAGCGATCTAACATTTGGACACCTTGAATGCTTGTTGTTCTCCAGTCTTTGGTCAGCCTTCCGGCCCTTGCTCAAGGGGAGTATTAGTGCATCACCATGGACCCCTTTACTCTCACAGGAGGGCAATTTGGCTACATAGTCATCAGTGGCTATATCGCGATAAGAGACTTTGCAAGGAATCCCGTTTTCCTTGTGCGACATTATGGACTCGGCGGAGTGGTATTATGGATATTCGGGAGTGGTGCAATCTGGCGGATGGAAAAGCAGGTATTAGAGAGTGATGAGGATAAAGTAGCAATGGACTTCAAGGTATCGATCCAAAATGAAAGTAACATGATAGCTGTGGCTGTAAGAAGTTCCCTCGAGGCCTTCTGTGTTAAAGACCTAACTGAATAACTTCAACCAGGGCTCCATCCTTGCTCAAATCGCCATAACCGCCCTTTCTTTATCAAATCTTAGTCAAGTGCATTGGGTGGCACGAGCCTTCTTCACGTTCAGCTTGGTCTCGGCCATTATTGCAGTATACTATGCAAGCGATCAGTATCGAATCTTGGGACGGCATTTGAATTGCGAGGACGTAAAGGCCTGGATCAGAAACGATAGACTGGCTGGGTATGGCATAGATCAATATGGGGAGTTCATGCCTTCACCCGCTGCTGTGTTGACCGTCTCAGCGCCAAATATGCTTCTGTCAGCGTCGCTAAACTCCTTCCTCCTTGGACTTGGAACATATCTGGCTTATGTCTGGACTAGGCATCTCGACACAACAGCTAGTACAAACGATAGCCGAGCAATTTTCATTACATACGTGGTTAGCCTCACAGTCTGTTACGGCATCTATGAGCTTTCAGGACTTGTCCTCGTGCGGCGAAGCTACAGTACTGAAAATCCTGTCAATGCACTGAGACGAAGCAGACGAGATGAGAAGAGCTCGAACTTTCAACCAGCTTCAGCTCGGGTTCGTGGCTCCACAGACGGACCTGGTATGTCCAGAGAGCATACAGTTAAAGACGAACTTATCCAAGAATTGCACATCGCAACTCAACTACGTAGAGAATCCGCTGCTTCCGACGAACGCATTGCTGAACTGCTCGAACGTCTTGGTCAATAGTAATGGGGGAAAGATTGGACCTATGAGCTTAAAGGATGGCAATAATGGAGAACAGGGCCAAAGAAATGAGCACTTCTGGAAGACCATCCACCTTCTTTCGTGTTCTGCGGGTAAAATAGGTATCTGGTAGGCGAAGCAAAATAGTAACCCTGGTGAACCATTTCCCAGCCATCCACTCCCCACGCACATCAATCACTGCGAGTCAAAGGTCCTTCCCCATCCCACTAATCTCCTTAACCACCTCCAACTCCCCCAGAAGCCCCTCAACCTTCCCCTTAATCATCTTCCACGCCGTCGCACCCAACGGAAGGCGAAGCGGGACCTTTTCGCCCCTGGCCGCAATCATGAAAAGCGTCTCCGCCAGCGCAGACGGCTCGATAAGGAGACCACCACCACCGGCTTTAATGCCAGCATTGACGTAGAACTCGAGTCTGCGCGCTGGCATGGAGGGATCTTGATACGCGGGGTGCGGCGCCGTGTGCGCTTTTGAGTGGCCTTCGAAGTTGGTTTTTACGCCGCTGGGCTCGACAATGCAGAAGTTGACTGAGTGAAGTACAAGTTAGCCGCAAGCGTTTCATTACACGTATTGATTTGTTGAATTTCGATTTTGAAGAGGAATGCGAGGGATTGCTATAATGGAAGGAGGGCAATGGAGGAAAGGGGGAAAGGGGAAACCCACCATTCCAATCCGGATGCATCTCCCTCGCCACAGACTCAGACCAGCCCTCGACAGCGAATTTGCCCGCGTGGTAAAACGAGTGTCCGGGTAAGCCGACGATTCCCGCCAGCGAGGAGATGTTGAACACGATGCCGCCGCGATGGACGCCGTCATCGGTCTTATCTTGTCGCATGACAGCAATAGCACGCGTCGTCACGCGCACTGTGCCAAAGAATAGAGTCTCCATCTCCTGGTGCATCTCCTCTTCCGTGGCAGACTCGGTGTCACCCGAGAGAGAGTACCCGGCATTGTTCACCACGACGTCGAGGTGGAAATCTTTGCCAAAGTCTGCGAAAGGGGGCAGTCAGCAGTTGCTCGATATAGATTTCCCAGGGACAAACTGGGGATATGTATTATTTCGGGAGGAAATTATATCATGAGATAGTGAGAAATAGGAAATGGATACTCTAAGGAAATCGAGACTTACGCTCAGCAGCAGCCGTGAAAGCAGCGTCGACCGAAGCAGCCGACGTCACGTCCAAGGCAAGCTTGAGGATGTTGGCATTCCCATCAGGGAGGTAGGAGAGGTCTGCTGGCTTGCGAGCCGTGGCTATAAGGCGCTGGGTCGGCTTGCTAGCGATCAATTCAGCTATCGCACGGCCGATGCCTGATGAGCAGCCGGTGACTTTCAGGTGTTAACAAGCCGCCAATCTTCAGTTTTTGTTCCCCAGACGTTAGCTTAGAAATGTGAATAGAGACTCACTCAACCAGGTTGCATTCGACGGGAGTGCGTAAGGCTTGGTGTTGATAGGATTCATCCTGACACGGATTGAGTTGGGTGTTCAATTAGCTCTGATAAACGTGCTGTGGTTGGTGACCTCTGCTCTGCCTGAGATCAATACATCAATGTTTGCAATGCCTTGTTTGCCATAGACCAGTTGTGGGTTTTATGATTTTCCTTGGCTCGTTGCGACGTTAATTTATCGCACGTAAAACTTACGATTGGAGGACGGCGGGGCGTGAGTCATGCGGCGTATGTGGGGTAAGGGGCCGTCGTACAGGGTGCCAGTCCAAGACCGGAAAGGGGTAGCGAATTTCACTTACTGGACCGTAGGATGAGCTAATGCGGTGCGAGGTTTGACATAAGCACTGATTCCGGAACATGATGTCAAAAGCTACAACTCGTGGCTTTTGCTGAGAGGGTTACTGTGGGATGATCTTTCTATTTCGGGACCTCGCTTCTTGCACCAGTTGCTTCTCGAAGGGCTAATGAGGAACGGTTTGCCCACGGTCACGAGAGATTCTGCTGCATCTTCATCTTGGCTCTAACCTCGGTCATGACTGGATGGAAATATATCTCTCGGTCTCACCGTCCAAGATACTTCCTCTGATTTCAGCAGAGGGACAAAACATCAAAGAAAAACGCCTGAACTACAGGTCGCCGGCAAAGGCGTCCCAAACGAACGCCTCCCGCATCTCCGTGTGTTACAACAGGTCTTCACGACGTGCAACAAAAGCCCTCACGTTACACAACCTCCAAAAGACAGGAGCAAACTTTTCCTTCCGTTTCCCTGATGTATATAACACATTGGAAATATTTCCAAACATCCGGCCAGGAATTTTATATACCACAAGCTTTCAGATCTGTCTCTTTCTTTTCGTAAACTCACAGCTCATCATGCCCAACCTCCCACTTCCCACCACTCAAATCTGGCATCCCCATGATCTTGACCACGAGACTCGTCCAGCCCGTGAAATGCTGCGTCCTTTGCCCCTTGCCCGTTTCAGGGTTATACTGCTCCCATGCAAAGCCTGTCTCTTGCCATGAATCAAAGACTGTTCTGATGAGGTTCAATCTCAGTCTTGAGTAGAGATCTTTGGATTTTTCTTGGTAGGGGCCGGGAGTTTGTGCGTATTTCTATTTTCGTTAGTTGGATGGTTGGGGAAGAGGAAGAGAGGGGAAGGGAAGTGAGCCTACGAGTAACTGCGCAACAGCAAGATAGTTCATATTCATCCACACAGGACCCCTCCAATAATTCTCCGCCGTCCCATAAAACTCATCCTTCTTGCTCAAACTCCTCAACCCAAACTCACTCCACAGCTCCTCTTCATCACCCAATAAAGTAAGTATATGGCCCAACTTCTCGCTCTTTGGTTCAAGTAGTCCCGTTAAGAAAGGGAAGAGAGAAATGTAGCCCTTGTGGCAGACGAGGGCGTTCTCTTCGAAGTCGTCGATTGTGGCGTCGCAGTAGCACTTTTCTTTCTCGCTCCAGTGCAGGTCGTCGATGTTGCGCAGGATGGCGGTCTCAATGGTAGTTAGCTCGGCGACGTCGTCATCCATCTGGAGGAGGGTGGCAATGTTCTTGAGGGATTTGGTCATCATGCCCATCCAGGACATGAGGTCGACGTGCAGCTCTCCCGGATGAGGGGGTTGAGGACGCGGATAGTCGTCGAGACCAGAGGTCAGAATGTGCTGGGGGGTTCGTCCACGCCATCTGTATCCTTCCTTGGAGCTGAAAGCATCGCGGTCGTAGGATTTCAGGTCTCCAGCTTGAGTTCGGCGGAACCAATGATAGTGTGCCTTCAGCTTGGGATAAAGTTCTCGGAGGTAGTGAAGCGCTAAATCTGGATTTTTCAGATGCACAGGAGTTGGCTTCTGGCCCAAGGATTCCTTTACTGGAGGAGTGGTTCCATTCAACGCACCAATCTTGGTGATCAAGGCGTCGATGATGAAGAATAGAGTAGGCGGGTTGGCGTAGTGAGGATACTGCGTCTGGAATTCTTGCGGCACCTTGCTGCGTGCTTCGGCACCAAGAATCTGTTCACGTCCAATCCATCCATCCGCATCCATAAGATTGAACCAACTTTTGACAACTTCGAGCGCAAGATCCATGTCCCAATCAGCAATTGGAATGAGGTGGAATCCTTCATCCCAATAGAAACCTCGAGGAAAGAACGATCTCGACGGGATGGTGGTAAAGAGCTCGGAAGGGCCTTCCAACTGCTCCTGGTGCTTCTCCCTAGCGGCCTGTGTCTCTTCCCAGAATCCTTCATTCTCCTCATCATACTCCGGAGCATATGATCGATCAACCACTGAATCACCATAGAAATATCCCAAACCTCCAAGCAGATTCGAAAACAGGTTCGTGCCAAATCTCTGCAGCTTCTCGACGTCAAACGGAGGCTTTGGATCAAATGTAGCAATAAAGCGTTCGAAGAATCCCTTGGAGGTATTCTCAATGAACTTGCTCACATCTGAACTGAAGTACTCCTTTCCAGAAGATCCACTATTGAAGATGACATCGAATTCGAAGTTTCCCTCGAACACTTTCTGGATCATGTGGATATTTCCAGGTCCAGGATTGTGGTTAATGGTGTACACCTGGGAAGGTGGAGGTACATTCTCTTCCCCATACTTCTCAACATACTTGTCGACCGATTCCTTCAACATCTTGAACAGAATTGGCTTCGTCTGCCAAAGGATCTGATCCGGCGCCGTGAGGGAGTTCACAAACGTCCGATCCAGCGGTTTCTCCTCATACGCCGCATGTGAGTTCTTAGGATGGTAGCCTCTTCCCCCTGTAACCACCAACTTATACTCTCCCAGCCCATCACTTTCCCCCTTCAACGTAACATCGCCCTCATATCCCACAGGCTCCACATTCTCGACCTCCAGAGCTCCCAACCCCTCCAACGAAGCGTAAAACACAACGGTAGTCTTCAAATCCGGCGGCGCATCTTTCCTCGCCGTACCCCTTATTCGCGCAGCCCAGCTACCTCCGTTACTTCCACCAGGGATCTTAACGAACATGGTCCTGACATCGATGCCATTGCCCTCGTCGTAGATAGTCTGCACCCCGCCGCTCCTGGCATCGAATTCGTCCCAACCATAGCCTTTCATGCCATCCCCTTGTTCACAAGTATGTCTGAAATCTACCGCCAATTAGCCCTTTCTTGGTCGCAAGTTTACAAGCGCTTCCCCTGCCCTTAACCCTCCCCAATTGACTCAAAAAGAGAACAAGAAGACCTACTATTCTGCACATCCTGGAAATTCTCCACCTTCGACCACATGAGGCCACCCATCAAGCTCTTAGGAATCCTCGGCCGGACGCCAAAATACAGATTCGGGCGATATGGGCCCCAAAGCAAGCTCTGGTTCGCATTTCTCGCAATCTCCTTGTACAGAATCGCTGTGTCGTCAGCCGCGGCGACTACCGCCAGCACCGCCGCGAGCCCTCCGAGAAACTTCATTGCGGAGGAGAAATTAGAGGGGGAATGAATGGAAGGAAGGTTGGGAAGAACCAGAGCTCCAGAATGAGTGTGTGGGAGCTCGAGGTTGTGGGCGGAGTGGGGTTGAGATGGAACTGAGGAGGCTTGAGAACACCGTTACAAGTTCAGGGCGCAATCAGCCTGCGGCGCGAGGCTGCCGGGAAGGCTCGCGCTAGTCGTTTTAGGAGCCTTTGATGGTCACGGTGGGTGAGACACCCTGTTCTGGACTAGATGTGGACGGGATGTTTTATTGCGTTTCTCGTTTATTATGCTTAAAAAGCCCATAGGCATGGCAATGTTTGTTTATGTCGTGACGACCCGAAGTCCCCATGGGACAGACTTCAATTCTTCGTAGAAGTCCACCAGGAACACATACCAGAAACCCATGGTACTTGGGTCTTCATCTCAATTCCGCATCGAACCAACATAACTCTCCGAGAAGGTCCAGCAGAAGGTCTTTCACAAAGTCTCCAATAACTCTCAATGCCCACACTTCATGATTCCCTCGTCGGACTAAGCGGCCTATTGAACCCACCAACCCGATTCATATACTGCCGATACTCCGTCTTCTTCTCCTTCCTGACCGCATAAATCTCATTTCCTGCGACCTTCTGCTGATGCGTCGTGCCAAAGCCCCCAAAGCCCATCATAGCCTGCATATCCGCCAGCGCATCATCATCAACCATGATATCCTCATCGTCTTCCGGTGGGGGAGACTTCGCTTTGCCCTTCTTTCCCTTCCTCTTGTCCTTCTTCTCCGTTCCGGATTCGACATCCATCCGATCATGATCCTGTCCTTGTCCTTGGTCTCCAGTTCCACCAGTGGCTTTCTCACCAACCTTAAAACTCACAGGTGGCGTCGCGGTGCGGCTCTTCGTGAATTCTTCCTCGGCCAGCACCTTCCCCTCTACCTTCAACTTCTCAAGCTCTCGTTCGCGTCTCGGGCTCCTACTCCTCTCCCTCTCGCGCACACCATCCCGTCCTCGGTCTTGCAAAGAAGTGTTAGACCTACTCCTAACAACCAGATTGGCTTGTCCTGGTGTGACTGGATACTCACCTCTCTCGCGTCTCGGACTCCTACTCCTCTCCCTCTCTCGTACACCATCTCGTTCTCGTTCTTGCAAAGAAGTGTTAGACCTACTCCTAACAACCAGGTCCACCCTCCCCAGTATAGACTCACCTCTATCCCGTCTTGCACCGCCACCTCTATCCTCACCCCGCCGTCCACCTCTCTCATCATCCCTCTCGTCTCTGCCTCTTCCACCACCTCGCGTATCTCTACCGCCTCTCCGGTCTCTATCCCTCTCATCCCTTCTCGGACTCCGACTGCGATATCGCCTATTCCGATCCCTCTCTCTATCCCGATCATCCCGCCTATCATCGCGTCGTTCCCTCTCTCTCGGCGCAGGCTCGTCGCGCTCGCGGGACTGAATGGGCGCGCGGCGGTCGGAGTCATCCCACATCTGCTTGCTGTCTGGGCGGCGGGCGCGCTTGTGTGGTGGTTCTGCCATGTTAGCAAGGTTGCGAAGGGGTTCGAAGTCGTGGGTGGGACTTGGGGAGCGAGGAATAATTTGATGGAGGAAGTTGGTTGTTGGTGGAAGCAGCTGGGTTGGAGCTCAAGATATATTGGCAAGGCTGGGAAAACAAATCGCCAGAAAATTTAAGACCGTGGCTACGGTCACGTGATCACATCTCAATAACTCGAATGTTTAATCCATTCAGATTTCTGCTTCTTGGTTATGGAGACACTGGGGTTTAACATTGCGAATGCTGAATGATAAGGATGCGACGGTGCAGGTTGTGATCTGCGAATACTTCACCTGTTGCATTTTCGAACCCCTTTTTCCAATCCCGGACTCCTCACCGTGACAGTTCGTTTCACACAGGAAAGTAGCCAAATCCCACATTTCCAAAACCCATCCTCGTGTTCCAAGATTAATGGGATCCGTCAGAGCAATCCCCCTATTCTCCCAGGCTACAATCCAGTGCCCCGCGTCAATCTCACTCTCCAGTCTCCACTCGCCATCCTTTTAATGTTCCACCTCAGAAGATAATCTACATTCAAATCAGTGTAGCATTTGCATGATCAGCGCATCGTCGTTGAATCGTTGTTCTTACCATCATACCTAAAATATATTCAACGGCAGATCGGCTAAAAAAAAACTTACCTCATGCACCAGAGTCACAGCGGAGGAAGCTAGACTCGCCAGCCTGAAGGCTTGCAGAGATGGGCTCCATGAGGAGGCCCCCCGAATGAGATTGTGATGCTGAACAGCTTAACCCATTCTTTTCTGTTGTGTAGATCCTTTCATATCATGCAGAGCTGAGTATATCATAAAAGCTACACAAGAAAGGTGAAACGACAAACCTACACAACGTACCTCATACAATCTAATCATTTGAAGTCCAAGGCATTCCTCCGAAGTCCACGGGCTGAGTAAGGCTCCTGTTCCAGGGTACGGGCATCCATTCGTCACAAGCATCACTCGGAACCTTTTTGGTGTGGCAGAGCCATCTGGTAAAATTTCCGGTATCTAATCTTTACAAAAAAACGAAGGGGTATCATCAGACAAAAACAGAAAAAAATCCAGGGTATCGTTTTGGCCAAACTCCAGAGAACAGACAACAAGAGAAAAGAAAGAAAAACATATTTAGAAAAGGATAGGATGGTACGAAAAAGACTTAGGCAGCCTTGGCAGGGTTCTCATCCGATGCCGCAGCCTTTTCGTCTTCTCCTTCTCCTTCTCCTTCTCTCTCAATCCAAGTCTCCTGGAACGTATGCTCAAGATATTCGTCGAATTCACCGCGACCTCGAACAACTCTCGCAGCCAAACCCTGTCCAAGGTAGTCCGGGTCATGGTACCCACTGCGGCCATTGCTGATGAAATCATTAACGGCTTGGCGAAGCGCATCCGGAGAGAGGCCTTGAAGGTGGTCATACATGGGCAATCCTTCGAGGGTCTTCACGGCAGTCGGGTGCTGAAGAATGGCCTACCAAAATGATAAGCCTTTGTTTTGCGATGTTGTGAGTTAGTACTTACAGTGACATCGACATCATCATACAGTGGCGAATTACCATCTGCAAGGACTGCCTCGGCATCATCGTACATACGGTCCTTTTTGTTGCCACGGCCATTGAGAATAACCTTCGACTTCTTCGCGGCTGGGGTAATCGGACTACCAGCAAATCGCTTTGGGCCTCCTCCTCTGAGGCGAGTTGAAGGGATACCGTTGGGTGAGCGTTGTCGGGGGTTGCGTGCGATTGGGCTATTGTATGGAGTTGGGATGTAGGAACGGCGGGAGCATGAGGACAACCTCATATCTTCATTTGGCTCATCATGATCTCCATTGCCGACCGGAACAGCGGGGTTGGGATCCTTGCAGTTGTTAGTTGACGCCTTTTGGGCTATCTGGATATAAAGCAAGTGCGAAGAAAGGGGAGATAACGGAGGATTGGTTGTGGAACAACTGACTAGCAAAGGCGACGGATGCCCGTCCTGGCTGAGAACAGAAAAACGGAAAGGGGGCACAGGGGAAAAAAGACAAAGTACATTTAGAAGGCACTGTCTGTCTATGATATATGAGGGCAGGGTTTCAAGTGAAAGATTGTGAAATCTTTGTGCGCTAACAAAAGTGCGCTGAATGTGAATTGAGATGAAGGAAAAGGGGCAGAGCGGTAAACGACACGAAATCGAGATAAAGGAAAATGGGCGGGTGAGCGGCAAACAACGCGCTTGCGACAAGAAGGGAACATATAGATATATATCATATGAGCGATTTGGGGACTTACAGAAGTAGTTTGATGACCATTCTGCTCGTTCCCTTCAGTCGTGTCATCACCAGGGTCATTGGAGTTAACACGGTCGGGTTGTGAGGCTTCCATAGGAGATGGAGGAGCTTGAATCGGCGACGACGTCTCAACCAGAGGGAGATTGGGATCAGCCCTTGAGGGAGCCTCAGCAATCCTCTCAATGCGACCGAAGGTGGGAGTTGATGGGCGGGTAGGAGGAAGTTGATGCTCGAATGTTGGAGTTGAGGGTCGGGTCGGCGGTACGCGAATGGGTGCCCCCATGATCGGCAACAGGCGTGGGAGAGCGTTGAAAGCAGGTGTGTGGGTAGTGTACAAAGAAGTACAAAGTCAGGGGGTGAGGAGGAAGTCGATCACAACACCTTGTACCAGAACAAGAAGTTACGGTGATAGATGTAGAGTGTTGTGGTTGATGTTGCAAGGAAGAAGGTTGGAGTTGAAGGTTGGATGGAAATTTAAGAAGGAAGAAAGATCGAAATGTTGATTTTGTTTGTGGAAAGTTGCGAGCCTCGCGATTGACGCCTGACGAGCTCCCCGGGTTCCGGCGGGGGTGCCTAGCGTCGGAGCGCAAGAACATTCTCCCGAGCCTCGTCCCATGTTGATTTGCTGAAGCCGGGCTGTGAATAGAACAGCTATGCCTCTTCCAAAGCTTTCCCCTGAAGCCCCCAACCTTCGTTGAACAAAGACCATCAATCTCTTTGAAGTCCCTGGGCTCCTGTGTGACCGGGGGGTGCAGACCATTTCAAAACTCCAGATTGCGACAGATCATGGTCCACATGCTGTCTTGAGCTTTCCAAGTCCTCACGGTTCTGTCCTGTTTCCAGAGAGAGCTGCAGATCTAGAGAGTCAAGATGATCAAGTCAACTCAAATAGCCCGGCTGGATGGTGAGTATTAGGAGAACCGAGTACCCCATCATGGCCAGGGACTGACTTAATTTCTCTAGGCCTCATGCTCTGCGCGTCCGTCGATGATGAACATGTACGGAGGAGCATCCCTGCTGCTGAATTGATAGGCTGACTTGCAGTTCGAATAGGCCGAATCGGACCTCTCTGAGATCAAGTCTCAAGTCAAGCTGGTCCTCCGTCGACTCACTCGAAATTCCGAATCACAAGCCAGCATCGAAAGCGGCCAATACACACTCCAGTACGTTCCAATGTCTGATTGAGTCCTCGAATTTAGAGGGAGACCGTATCATAATGAACGGGGAAGAAATGTAGTGACGTTTGGGTCCCATGCAGTCAGTGCGAAGCTGCACTAGTCTGCTCAGTGGCTCGTTGAATCAATTAAGAGAAGAAGGCGCTGCCGGCAATATTCTGGAAACAGAAACCCGGACTTTGGTGCTTGGTTCAAGTGAACTCCTATATGTCTGTATACTTTGGCATTCCTCATTGTCAGTAAGTTCTAGGTTTATATGGAGAAGGAGCCAGTATAGGGAAAGCAATCTCACCATTGTTGGCCTATCCTCCAAAGGAACGCCTTCTCGTTCCCCACTTCACTCCTCTGCAGTTATCCCCTCGAGCACCGAAGGTAGCAATGGGAAGGAACGAATCACAATCTCAACACATTCCCTCAAATCAATTACCTTCTCTTCACAACCCATCCCATCCCAGAATCCACCAGCTAACACCCACCAGCTACCTCATCTCCCAAGACATAGTCTACATGTGCATCAGCGAGCGCTCCTACCCGCGCAAGCTCGCCTTCACCTACCTCTCCGACCTCTCTACCGAATTCAGCACCACCTATCCCTTGCAGCAAGTCCTCTCCTCCACCATGCGCCCCTACGCCTTCATGGAGTTCGACACCTTCATCTCGCGCACCAAAGCCACCTACTCCGACTCGCGCGCCACGCAGAACCTCGACAAGCTGAACGACGAGCTGCGCGACGTAACCAAGGTTATGACCAAGAATATCGAGGATCTGTTGTATAGGGGAGATAGTCTGGAGCGCATGGGACAGGTGAGCAGTAGGTTGAGAGAGGATAGTGCCAAGTATAGGCGTGCGGCGGTGAGAATTAATTGGGAACTGCTGCTCAGCCAGTACGGACCGTTTGCTGGTGTTGGTCTCTTCATTTTAATTTTCATTTGGTGGCGATTCTTTTGAATCTCGTCTGCTGCCATTTGACTACACAAATGAGAAAAGACACACTATAGCTTTGTACAACATAGGATGATGGATCGAGGAAATGGCTTGTATACCACACTCGTGGCTAAGATATACGGCTTTTTCACCATGCGATATGGCATAGGCACGGAAACGAAGAGAAGCCAGGGACCCAGTTCTCTGCAAATGATTCCCCAAGAAGCTTTGCTTTCCGCTTTTTTCACCAGGCATTCTTGTGCTGATAACCCCTGGCTCAAGTCTCCACCCACCAATTCATCCACCAAGCGGTGTTTCTTTTCATCACCCCAACCAGCCTTGATCTCACTGAGCCATTCAATCGGTAGTTCCGTACTCTCCTGGTGCCTCCATCTCCAACACCACGCACATCCATCCGTTTGATCCATGTTGCTACTCTCCCTGGGTGTATTCTTCTTCTCCCACCTCTCCCCCCGTTAGTTGCAACTTCACTCAAAACCCGAAGAGGAGTATTTCCAATGCTATATCCTCGCTGTTGTCCACTTTTCTGTTGCGGATTTTGCTCCTAGCTCGGTGTCTCGGCCGCCGTTTTCAGCAAAACGGCAGACTCGCCCAGCTCAGGTGTCAAATACGAACCAAGGAGTCTAATATCCATGCCAGTGCTTTGGTGATACGCGTGATGAAAGTGAAGGAAGGTGAAAGCCCTTCCCTCATTGACAGCTAAACCAAGTCCCCAGCATCATAAAACCATCGACAGCCGAACCCCGACTATTGAGGCGCCGGCCACGTGAGGTCAATCTGTCGTTCCGTGCTGTCGTTGTGTGCTGTCGATCATAACAAGCCATTGTTCAGGACTCGGCGGGAATATCTTGGATGCTGAGTTCTGTTCTCCCGAGCAAGATTTCTACCCTGTTAGTAATGGCTTGCTTGACTTAGACCACGGTTCTCATCTTCTGAGAAGAAGCTTTCGTCATCCGACTTTTGGGGAAGTTTTTGGCGGAAAGAATGTTTTGGCAAGTTGCTAGAGACAAAGCTTTCAAGAAGAAGAGCAAAGAAATTTGCACTGTATGTGTTCACATCGCAGCTTGACGACGAGAAGTTATTGTTTGGGCTTCATCCCATGTTTCAAATCGAGCTGGCTTCGCTCTGATCTTGCCGTTGCTTCGTTCCCATTTTCCTTTCTTTTTCTTCAGATGACGACAAGTTGTCAATTGAGCGTCATCCCATGTTTCAAATCGAGTTGGCTTCGATCTGATATTTCACGAAAATTGCTGCTCGCTTCGCTCTGATGTCTTGACAAAGAATCACATCCTCTTGTTATTCTTTAGATGACGCGAAGTCTTTATCTGATGAGGCATGTGAGGTCCAGGTACACCACACCCTTTCCATTGCCACCATGGCTGTTGACAGGTTGGATTGTGTAGTATCGCTGGCCACTGGCTGCAGGGTGAGGGATACTCAAGAAGCTTTTGGCCACTGTGATTCCCAACTAGTGTTGGTGTATTCCTTGGTCTCTTGGCAATTACCTGGTATGCAAACCCATTTGATTTACCCTCGGCAGAAACAATCCTCCTTGGGCTCAGCTCTTGTTTGCCTCTGGTTCAAAGAATAAATAGCTCTTCAGCTCTCGAAGAAGCTTCACCGATGAATCCAAATTAACCGCCAAAGGAGGACCCGCCGTAAAAGATAATTGGTTCTGCCAAATGCCGGGTTTCTCCGTCGACTCTTATCACTTCCGAGACGGGTCTGCTGAGTTGTTGTTGGTGGAGATGGTGCAAGTGTTGACTTGGTCTATACCCTTGGAACCAAGGGCTTAAGCCATACTTGGTAATGTGTTCATTAACAGACAGCTTTGTGATGCGTGGAGAGGATAATCTTCCCCAGCGAGAGTTTCCGGGGTGTAACCTCGAGTTTCCTAAGAGCATTGAGCTTCTCCTAATGCTCCCTCTGCATCTCGGCAAGGCCACCGTCCAAACCAGAGATGATCCGTTGCATTGTCAACCAGATTCGCACCAGATACGTTTGTTCCTCTCGCCGGTTATAGCCACTGGATTGACCATATTCCATTCCGATCATCGCCACGTCAACGGCCCTCGCTCTGTCCAACCACGTGTACATCTTTCTTTGCTTCTCCATGAATGCGTCATGGATCTCCATCGCCTCGTCCTACAGCGTCGAAGCTCGGTGGGGATATGGATAGGGAGCTCATTCCCTGTAACGAGAGATTAGGAAGACTTATCAGTAGCTTCTTCAGCGTCCTTCGTGTCTTCGTCCTCCGCTTCAGACTGGGCATCAGCATTGTCGTCAACCTCGGCATCACCGTCGCCTTCAGCTTCCTCCTCAACTTCCTCGACCTTAGCTTCTTCTTGCCCCTGGCTCAAGCATGAGTCTTTGGGCCACCGGCGGATGCCTTCTTCGGAGCAGTTGTCTTGCCGACACGCAGCCTTCTTTGCGGCCCCCAAGCGGTGCTTGATGTAGTGGCATTTCCTTCAGAGCTTGCTTTCCATCGGCCAACCAAAATCTCACAGTTCTTGTACCAGAATCCTCCCCGTAACCAGTCTGGGGTTGGCGAAATGCTTCGATTTCTCTGGTATCCTTTTGCTTCCAATGGCGCGTCTTGGACGGCATCTGAAAAATGCTCCAGTCTGTCGAATACATTCTCGTCTCCGATGGTTGTTTGCCCGTTCTCGGAGTATTCGGCAAGAATTCGATGGATTTCAGACTACTTGCCTGTGCCTCTGGCTGGAGAGCAACACAATAAATCAGATCGAAGTCATATAAGCTAGCAAAGTCCATGCATGCGTTACCCATATCTTGCGTCTTGGTCTTCTCTTGAGGGGGTTCGTTTGCCGAGGGAGACCATGCTCGAAAGAGCCTTCATCGGAGGAGAGGAACATTGGACCAGTGCCGTTGAACTTTCTGTTCCTCTATGATGAGTTTGCAAATCTCTCAGCCGGAGCCGGTCCCTACTCACTTCCATTGTCTTATCCACATTGCCATAGAAGTATCTATAGAGATCCTGACTCTATATCGACGAGACAAGGGCAACGAATCAGATCGAAGCGGGAATTGTCTTCAGGATCTGAAATGCTCACGTCCGGGACGGAGAAATGGTTCTCTTGGAGGAAAGGAGTCAACCCACCACGTAACCCAGCGCAAATATCTCTTTTCAAACCACCACAGTGTGTGGCGTATCACGGCAGATGATTCGGCCTGGTTGATTTAGCTCTATGGTAGATTACAGAGGGAAAGGAGGATGGAATCTAAGTCCACGAGACTTCACTGCGGACAAAAGCTACCTGGCTCTGATTGCATCGGTACCAAGCCATCAGCATCCATTTGTTCGACACTTGGGTCTTGTGCTGGCCGAGGCACTGGAGGTGGAGATCTTGGGTTTTTCAAAGTCTGTTTCAAGACTCGCTGTTCTGCTTTGAAATTGGCCAAACTTGTCGATATTGTCCCAGTAATGGTCGTAGTAATGGGGGATATTCTGAACTTGGAGGTGCTGCCCCTTTTTCGTCTACGCTCGGCTGCCTGAGAGCAGAGGATAGAGACCGACCAAAGTTGGAAGAGAAAATGCTTCGAGGTGTTCTCGGGCGGCTTGGAAGAAGAGCTTCACGAGTAGCCTGCGAAGGGTCCTGTTCCAGCATGGACGTGCTCTGCGGGAGTCTTGATATGTACCCTTCAAGGCTTGCATACATATTTTTGGGGAAGGTCGTACAGTGTTCTGTACCGTATGCCTCAGCAGCTTTCTTGATCTCACCAGCACCAGGCTTGACCGCATCAAAAGCGTTCTTCTCTCTCTCTTGAACACCCTTCGGCTCGACTTCGGTCTTCTCAGCACTGGCATCCTCACTCGCTGGCAGGGTCAAGCCATGAAGCTTGGCTCACGAAGTTGCCCACCTGTTCATTTGCCACCACTAAGTTCCCTTTCTCATCGATCTCGATACTCTCGCGGATCTCATGCTCATGGGCCTCCTCAGTAGCCGTGGTCGCGGCCTGGCCTTTTTCCCAAAGTGCTCTCCGAAATGCGACGAGATGGGTGTCCGGTTCAGAGGGCCGAATCCGCTTGCAGATGGGCGGTCCGCCACACGTCAGTTCAATGCATCGCACGTCCCGCAGAGTAACATACACCCCGCAAGAGGAGGGTGACGTCCACCGGTGACGTCCAGGGGGCCGATACTCGTGAGATCTCTCTTTGCTAGGGGTAGCATGCGCGACCGGGTTGAAAGGACCTTAGACTTGCACTCAAGCATCTTTAAAATGGGCCTGGCCATCAGTCAGTCATCCACAGACTCCTTGCTTGCTTGTTCTCGACTCTCAGTGACCTCCCTCGACTTAGCTTTACCGTCCTCGGCATTGCAATCGGCTTGCTCGTCAGAGTCATCATTAATTTGCTTGACAACATTCTTGTCCTCTTCAACTCAACAACTCTGTTTATGCTCTCCCCAATGGCCCTCTGTGCCTTTTTCTTCTACGCATGGTACGAAAGTCAAGGAAGAAGCGAGTCTAACATGCGGTATCAAGAATCCAGACTGCGAATGAACACCACTTTATTTCGAGGCTTGTCAGGAGTGTAGAGAGCGGATCCAGACAATCGCCTCGGGGATGGCAATAACGCGTGGGGAGGGTTGATCCGTCAAGCTACTTGCTGTTTGGTTCCCAAATTTACTCTCGCCGTACTGCCGGATTGTGGGGTCGATGGATGGTCTGGGCCAACTCTGCACCGAGAGTCAAGTGCTGAACACTGACTGGAAATTTACAAGCGATTTACGCTTCCGAGACGTGTTCAGTTCACCATCTTCCTCCTCGGCGTCCTCATAATCGGTCTCTTCCTTCGTATCATACCGAAGTAGAATGCAGTAAGCGTTGAATTGTTCACCCACTAGGCCTCTTGGTGAACGAGCTGCGGTGCAATCAGCAAGCTCTGAGCCTGGCTAGACATCTGGCTCTGAGGATCCCTTCGTATCAAAAGTCTCACGGCCATCTTCTTTGTATGGATCGGGCTCGGTGGCCGCTCCAGGATCGTTCATCTCCTTCTCTCTGTTCTTTGAAGGACTTTGATAGGTGGAAATCAACAAGATCGGAGTGGGGTTTCTTCCAATTGCAGAAAGAAGTGGGAAGATCAGTGGAGAAGTTGCGGGTGAAATACACAGGCAAAGTCCGAACTCTTGGTGGGTCGAGTCGACGGGCTCACATCAGACCTGGAGAAAATGTCTTGTGAAAGCCATCATCTCGTCATCGTTCAGTTGAAGGTAAAGTCCCGGGTGTCACTGAGTAAACCCTTGGCAATGGTGACAGAAGAACACCACTGGCTCCTGAGTGACGGTCGTAGTTGCCCTGGGAAGTTCGAGAGCAGCCCCTATTTTGATAGTCGTCTCTCTTGAATTCGGGATAGCTAGGCATATTCTTATCATGTTGCTGCTCGACTCGTAGATCAACGATCATAGGGAGCTTGCAGAAAATGACTTGCTCCAGGACGCTGTTGATAGGCTTGCGCGAATGCTCCAAGCTCGGTATCAAATCTCATCAAGTGATGGAGACAGACTCCCACCTTTTCTAGTTCTCGTCTTCCTGAACCGGTCCACGGGAAGGAGGTGGATTCCCAATCGCTTGTCGATGGTCAGTGCCTCTTTGCGATGGCTTCCATCGGTGATCTCCCCGGCACCGAAGCCAGTAATTCCAGCTTGATGATGATGCGTATCTATTTTCTTCCACGACTTCGCTGTTGCTCACAGGCAAGGCTGATATCTCCTTCTAGGTCTTTTCAACAGTTGAGCTGAACAGACTCCCTGCAAGAGCGATTCCTGCTGCTTTTATCTTCGTCTATGCTTTCGAACTTTCTCGGTATGCTTTCTAGGGTGGTTTTTGTCGTCTGGGGGAAATCCATGCTGCGGCCAAGTGGTCCAGTCCTTTCTTGGGCTCGTTAAGAAGATACCGCTCACTTCACGTAACCCAGCCGCAGCAGTCATTCCCGGCATTCCATCGGACTTCGAGACGTATTAGGAAGAGAAATTCCCTGAAGTTGGGGACACTTACCATTCATTTGCCACTGTCTTCTGATAATCACCTCACATTCATCTTGTTGGGGATGCGCGCCGTAGCGGCCTTCAGAGAAGTTCTTTTATTCCTTTCCTCTATGTTTAATTTTTGCTGATCTTGTCTCCACCCCCAACATCTTCTCCAAACACTCTCCGCCACTGTTCCTGAAGCCGGACCAAGCTGGCAAAGCAGTACCACCATGAATGGCAGCTGGCAAGCCGTGACCGAAGCCGAATGAACCTCGTCACTATCATAAGCCTCGTAGCCATCTTCCTCGTATGGGCTAGGATCGCCAACGTCGTTCATCTCCTTCTTATTCTTTGGTAGACCTTGCTGCTATCATAAGTAGCATTTAGCAAGTAATAATTCTGCTTCAAGTTAGCAATCACTTTTATCCCGAGCAGTGGCAGTCAACGAGTAGTCAGCAACAACTGAAGTGACGGCCTGGAAACTCGCCACAGGTTTTCACAACATCTTTCCATTTGGGAGTTCGGGCGAGAGTAATTACTTACGAATTTCATCAAGTCCAGGAAAACAGGTGAGTCAAAATGACGATTCAAGTTGAGCAAATGTTGAGTTTTATAGTACCCAAGCATCGAAAATTGATGAACAATTCAAAGCAAGTTCTGCTTTCTCTTTCTTAGAGGGACTATCAGCTCAAGCTGGAGGCTTTCCTCCGATGCTAGAGATTGTTAGTTGTCTGATACTATTTTGAATAATCGATTGGAACCAGCGAGAGGCGTTAACACTAACCTGGGTGGCATCGTTCAGATCATGGCGACTTGGGCGAGAAACGCGAAAGCCCGGGACGCGGCGTGCTTTGGCCTTCCTCAAGACCGAGATTGATTGCATGTAGCAAGATCGGCGCTAGAGAGCACCACCTACAACAAGCAGAACTCGCTGTGTCAGGTTAGGCGCCTCTTGGTCCCTTGAGAGTCCCAGCCTGGTTCCTCTGGGACTGTGAGCTTATGTCCATTCTACGGAAGTGAGACAAAGGTGACTTACGGCGCTTGGGATCATGGGCTCGGGGCCACCTCGGGGTGCAGGATCAACTTGATGAGTGGCCGTTAGGATTATCAATCCTTCTAGGACTTGGCCGCGGTGTATCTTGGTCATTTCCGACATCTCATCCGCACGAATCAGACGATTTTGTGGCATTGTCAACTGAGTTCAGAGCATCGATATTGGAAGGTATGCTCAATTAGACGCGCATTCAGGCCGCGCGCCCCTACAATGCCATACTCGGCGCACATCAATAGTCTCTCGGTCTCGTTCGGAGGGTATGCAGCGCTGAGGAATTGAAAGTTGCGGCTGCAGTGCGGTGGAGACGGGGGTTTTATTAAGCAGGTTTGGCTCTCCGAGCAAACAGCACCTGGAAAGCGTGAAATTTGGTACTTCCTTAAGGTCTGAGGAAAGCTGGACAATATGGAGAGACTTACTTCATTCTACCGATAACATGTTGATGATTGGACCCGTGTTCGAGAAGCTGTGAAGCATGTTCGCAGCTAAAGGAGCAGTTGGCCAGGCGGATGCGCGATGGGTCTGCAGTCACCTCGCATGGTCGCTGAGGAGCATTCTTCAGGTCCGAGATCGATTCTTGAGTAGTGGTTAGCGATCCAGTCGTTGTACACAGGATGGAGTACAGCTGAAAGCTGGTGAGGAGCCCGGGCGGATGGCTTTGACTTCCCCTGCTCGAAGACCAGCGGAACTCCAGAGAAACGCGACTAGGAACGAGAATGACTTACTGCTGAGGATTTGGATCTCTCTTTCATCAAGGGGGAGAAGATTGCGGAGCTATTCTGATGTTGTGTTGGTGGAGAGGATGGTGGATGGTAGAGGGTTGAAGAGATCGCGAAGAAGGAGCTGTCTCGAATGGCAATTGTTGTGGGCACTAGTGGCCTTCCAGGCGAGGATCGGAGCTCTGGAGGTCATCTGACTTCTCTGTTGAAGCTCTGCTAGCGCTAATATTTATATTAAATATGGGGCCATGCCCAAAAGGGTATCTTCTGGTTTCGTAAGGTCGCAGGAGCGGCTGCAGGATTCGAAGTTAGGATACTAGGAGTATAAAAGCGATTTTATCACTAAGATATAGGTTGGAATGCTTTTTGAGGGCATTTAGGAAATGTTGTGGACATTATGATTTGGTTCGAAACTATTAGTAGGTTCAAATTACTTCTTCTCACCTGTTTGGACTTTCAATTCCAGGTCTTCGAAGTCTTTAGTGAGCCGAATATAACCTGTGAGTTGACCGCATAAAATAGTAGCAAGTCCATGCTTCAGTGCAGATATTCTAAGCGTCTAAATCTACAGGGACTCAACCTTTCATTGTGATACCTTAGGCAAACAAGACACTTCGTGCTCCTGCTAACCTGGAAGTCTAGCGTGCAGGTTCTACCCTCACCCTTTATTAGCGCTTTGAATTTTTGAGAGATTCATTCTATTTAAGGCCGCTTTTAGGCAACACTAATGTTTTACCGCCTCCAGTACAATAGAAAGTGCGTTTGGGTCTGGGTATTCCTGCTTCTCTCTGTCGCTTGGTCACAACGGCTTGGACAACAACGAACAGCGCATCGAATCCATTTGCTTTACCGATCTAAGTTGGGCCCTACTAAACCTCCTTTCTTCTTGGGACATTATCAAGCTTGAAATCAGGCCTGTCTTTGTCAACGTCAATGTCTCAAGGCTTCAGAACGCTTGCTCCTTCTGAGTGCACCATCTCAAATTTTATGCGCGCTAGGTGGTGGCAGCTAACTATTTGCAGCAGCACAGTTGAGTTTTGTATAGCTCTATACTATGTATTCTAATACGAGATTATGCATTCGTTCTTTTTTTCTGAGTTATGTGAAATCGTCCATGATATTTGAGATCCTTCAAACTCGCGTCACCCGTTTTCTAGGAAAGTTGTCCTAAAAATATTTCATCTTCATACCACCGACACTTTTCTCCACATAACACAAACTCAAGTTATCCGTGTGCATATTCAATTTTCTCCCTTCCTTTCTTAGAAATATTTTAAGGACTCATTCTCGGTATTGTTGACATGTCTGGGTCGGTTAATTTCGGTTAAAAGGGGGTAGCAAATAAATCGTCCCTGTGGCAATTCCTGCTAAAGTCACTTGATAAGATGAACGAACAACTGGCAACGGGAAAGGCTAGTCTCTATGATTTGATACAACAATTCCTATCAAATATATGAAACCCAACACTGTCAATTTCTTGCGAGATACAGAAAGGAAGTGGACTTGGGAGCAGCCGGCTCGGAACTCCGTTTCTTCTGATCAATCATCGGTGCCTTTTGGCAATGGCTCCGGGTCCATCGCCGAGGCGCAGGATGCTAAGTACACAAGAGGCCATCTGTAAACCCATGTCGTTATTCCATCGCCGACAATGACGAACGTATTCCTCGAATTTAGAAACTTTCACCACCAGTAGAAAATTACCCTCGTCGCCTCGAAGTTGAAGTTCGGGGATGACAAAGCCGTAAACAGGATCAGCTCTACGTGGCGTCAAGACTTCTGGATATTCAAATCCTTGCCTCATTATCTCGATCAAATTTTTTATCATAGATATAATTGCATCGAATGCTTCCCGTATCATTTCCTCCAAAGTTTGGTATGGAAAACTCCTTCGTGAACCCGCTCATGTTGTTCGGTGCGACAGCAAAGCTTTTGGTAGTAGGGTGATAATGAGGTATTCGGGTTGAGACATTGTGCAAGCCGGCCAACGGGAGCCTGGGGACATTTGGCGCTATACTGGAATTGACAGGACGTTGTCCTTCAAGTGGAGATGTAAGGAATCCGTCTGAAACTCAGATGAATCTGGACTGAACGCGTCTACATGCTCGACTGCCGACGGCGGTACATTCCCCATAGGAGTGTTGATCTCGATATCAGAGTTATCCTGCACTGCCGCTGGAGGAAGAGATGAGGGCGTTGAGCCTGGCATAACGTATGTGATATTTGCCAGAGTTTCTCGGTCTTGTATCAACTTGCTGTGATTTGGAAGCGGCGAAGACTACACACCTGCACTAGGGGATGCTGAATCGGCTTCTTTTGTTGCCTTTCGTCTCTTAAAAAGCTCGAGTCTCTCGGGGTCAATTTGGATCCCTATTTTAAAGAGGATCTCCTTGCCTTCTTCTCTTGCTCGCTTCTCTGCCTTGGCAACGAGGATTCTCATCTGTGCGGCTGGACATAATTGTGCGTCGGGACTTGCACCAAAGCCCCTACGTCCCTGCGGGAAAGGAAAGAGCCAAAAACACGTGACCTTGACAAGTCACTTGACAAATTTAGTAAAGCATCACGTACATTGAATGAACACCCACAACATCATCGCAGCCGCACAACACATTGTACCTTCCATTTTCAATTCGCTTGAATGAACATCACCAAAAATGTGGTTTAAGCTGGCGTCCCTTCGCCAAGGCCTTGGCAGCCAGCATAGCCCCTTTTATACCGCTGCCTACCCCGCGTTTAGCGAATGACGAAAAGGTTCGGGCACAGCCTCTTTTTGTACCTCCCGTCACTTGACAACCTAACTTCTTGGAGTGAGGCACTGCTATATTGCTATCACAAGACGGCGAGAAATAAGGCCGAAGGAGGCTGTTCGTGAGGTACTTCAAGGAGCAACTTCCCTGAAGCCATTCCAACAAATCAAACAACATAAAATCGCGCAAGCTCTCACTCCTGTTGAAGGACAAAGATCCGAATCCGTAAGTCACACATGCTCCTCCAAGGTACTGCAAGAGAAGAAGTTAAATTATTCAAGCCTTCCCACCCACCATTAAGTCCACCATGATCCCCAAAATGAACTCCAAAAAACCCACCTCAAACATGCTCCCCTTTCGCGACACAGACAACAAAGCCATTGTCTACGGGGCCTCTCCAATCGCCCCAACCTCAGACACCGCCTCTGACGCCGAGTTGCTCGTTCCCCAGCAAGGGCTGGACGAAGATTCCATGGAGCACTTCACCGCGACCGGGCGTCGCGCTCCAAAATTCAAAGCGTCCGGACTGCAAAACCTAGGCGGCGACGGGTATACTCTTCCCCAACTGCTCCCAAAGCGATACACCGACGACTCGATCATCCCTGCTATTGTGACGGATGTTGTGCCTTCTGAGAAAACGATTCAGGAGGAGGCGGGAAAGAAGAAAGGGCTTTTGGGGAGGTTTAAAGGGAAGAAGGAGGAGGTGGTAGGTGGAAATGGGGAAAGGAAGGGCGTTACGAAGGTGGTTTATATGCCGAGAAGGGAGTACTTGAAGTTTTTTGCGAAGGATGAGAACGGGCAGTACATCGGGAGTGAGCCGCAGAAGAAGTGGACGGAGGAGGAGTTGGAGGCGGAATTTGCGAAGTATAAGCCGAAAGTTGGGAAGTAGTGGTGCCCGTGATAGGAAGGATGTTGCTACGAATACGAGACAATGGGAATGCCAGGCTATTAATAGATTAATGACAACCCATACCCGATATTATTTTTGTCAAGGTAAAATGGCGAGGAGAGATCCAGAATCATTGAGATATAATATGGCCAGCCTGCTAGTATCCTAGTATCCTAGATGCCATCCTTACACCACCATCTTAGAATGGAGGCTCTGCTTCAACACCCTCCCCGCGCATCCAACGAGACAGCGCGGGATCTTTTCGAGCCATTAGCTCGTAATGTGCTTCCTGAGGACCTGGCCATTGGTAGTCATTCGGAGTCAGTGAGGTAAACTGACCCAGTGATTCGCCATAACGACGGACTGCTTGGATGCAACGAAATGCCAGCTCCAGCGTGGATTGGTCTGCCGGTGAACCTTGCCTCCTGCAGTGTTGCGCATAGTCTCCGTATGCACAAGCTCGTTCAAAAGCATGACGTCGACTGTTGAACGGTTCAAGGCGAGGAGCAGCAAATCCAAAGACCAGGCTTGCGGCGTCGAACATCCACAACTCGGAGTAAGCAGCACCAAGTCTCATAAATTCAAGTAGGGACTCTTCCTTGCCGAAAATATTTACACCCTGACGGAGCGTTTGTAGCCTAGATACGCTGGCTTGTGCCCAGGCGAAAGTCCCATCTTGGTTCATCTTCGCATGGAGGACCTGAAGAGACTTCATGATCTCCCCGCATTCATCTGAGTAGAAGTGCTGCCGCGATTCAGAAAAAAAACTCCCGGTGCCTACACGATCTATTCTTGACATCCAGTCGGTAAAAACATTGAGCAGCATAAGGAGTGCTTCCCCGTCCCGGTTGATTTTCATGAGGAATTTGCCGAAGTGGTGCTGAACTTTGGGGGGCTTATCGTCAATCAGGTATTCTATCTTCGTAAAGGACTTGATAGCTTGACGATAGAAAGTCTCGGCTTCATCGTTCTCTCCTTTCGCTTCACAAATTTGAGCCAGTATGAAACTGTCAGACATGGACGGATCAAGTTTCAGCTGAAACAGTATGTCTAGCATCTCCAACGCTTTCAACAAAATTTCTGGTGGGCGCGGCGAAATCTGACACATTTCAAGTAGTGACAAGGTGGTTTCGTTTAACAATGTGTGACGATGTGTAGTATGGGGCAGAAAGGTTGACTGGTTGTTTGCTGCGGATACCTCGATGTCCTTGGGATCACCATTGAGCAAAGAGATCTTTTCTGACTCGTCTCGAAGAGAAAGATCAATACTAATCGAAAGTACTTCCTCTGCGATGTTTCTAGCAGTTTCGGGGTACCAATCAGGATACATGAGTTTAATTTCTTCTGGAGACCAAGAAATGCTTTTGCTAAAGTAATTGACGTAACCAGCAAGGGTGCTCAGTCTGGAAGGAAGGAGACTGGAATTGTCTGATATAGCGGCAGATACACCTTGAGGCCGTTGGGTTGAGGAGTTGGACATTGAAAGGAGTTCCTTGAAGGAATTGATAGACGGATAGCGATCCCGAAACTCATTTATCGTGATGACATTCCACATGGTGAAACCAGAACCCGGTCCCATTTTGCCGAAAGTACGTCCAGATATGTCTTCTAGGTTGTTCATGCAGGGTGTATAGTAAAAGACATTCGCTGGTGTTTCTACATGATCTCATTAGCAGTCGACACCTTGCACAAGGAGTGTGGATGGCACGACGTACGTTGACTTGGTGACGCCGCTGGCCCTTCTCTGAAAGCCTTCCGTTTTTTATAATAACCCAATGCGTTCAGGGGTAATTTGCGTCTTTCCGTGGAAGAACACCGTATCCTTGTGCTCTACTACGGCGCGTCGCTCCGCCTTTGCAACAAGAATCTTCATCGCGGCTGAAGATAGATATTTTTCAAAGCCCCACTCTTTCAACTTGAGTTTCCATTTTCGTTCACTAATCGAGGGGATTAGTCCTCCTCACTGATCAAAGATTGTGAATGATGGCGTGCACGGACCTTGCCTCAAGACCATACTTGTATTGAATCGCTTCCATAGTCGTTGCAAGGGTTTGGTCCTGATCAATATAGATGTGCTCTGTCTCTGTCTTGGCTGACTCCCATTCTTCATTGGTGACTCGGCTGCCCTTCGAGGAACTGTTATCCTGACTTCGGAGCGAGAACGAGGACTCCTCCTGCGGAAGAGTAAGGCTGGCCATTTTCAGAAGAAATCTCAGCCCTGAGGCACAGATTCAAGACTCGATATCGAGGAAGAAAGATCACCAGAGTCCTTTCGTATGCGAATCGGCACTCTGATAGAAGGAGAACCCACCATCCATGAGAGAGGCGCACCGAGGAAGAGATGATATTTGATGTTCTCGAGGATCGTGTCACTCCAAGCCTGGATGTGAAACGGACCACTCACAGTCACAGACAAAAGGGCATACTTCAGCCCCCTGCCAAAATTGCGCCTCTTTCTGCAAGCGACGTCGCGACCAGGCCGAGCAGCCATTCATAGCGGGATGCAAAAGTGCACGCTGAGCAAGGCTGAAATTCTCGTTCCTGTATGGACCGGGTGAGTTGTCCAGGCAGGCATGCGAGTACGAGCCTGAGAAGGAGACATCGATCGTCTAGGGTTTCTAAGAACTTGTGCATCGATGGAAATTTAGAAGTTGTAGCTCAATTTGATTAAGCGGATAAGTTGTGTGCTGGGCGACCAGATAACGTGCTTTGTGAACTTGCCTAACCGACTAATTGAAACGATGCGAAAAGTCGGCAGAAGAAGTCTCGTCTCGACATTGAAAGGGTATCCAAGAAGCTCCTTCACTTGAAGAGATACAACTCCATGGCTGGAGGGCAGTAAGCTCCAACTCGAAACATAAATCAGCTTTTGAAGCCCATTTGATGTAAAGAAGAGGAAGAGGAAGGCTAGTTCAATTTTGCTTTTGGGGGTGGTTGCTTACGAGTCTACCGACGTAAGTCTGTGTTTTGAGGTATTTCGCTTAGAAAGCAGCCCCCATAGCTATTTTGGACGCTTCAAATTTATATACAGAATTGGATTTAAAGGCTTTCAAAACTCAATCTGGCTTCTTATATTATACGCGCTTATGTTATATAAGATCTTAATTTATGGTTGATGAGAAAATGTGAAGTGAAGTGAGCGACTTTGGTTTTCCGGTGCCTGAAAATATCGCTAAAAACACGGACTTTTGTCTGTAGGCTACTCGTAATCTATTTTCGGCGCAGGGCGGTGACGGTGGTCTTTCCGCCATTCTTCGCTCTCAACTCCTCTTCCACAATTTCTGCAACTTCACCTCAACGACATCGATCGGAAGTTGGGGACTGGCATTGCATCTCTTGGTAAACTCCGGTTCCGAACCAGCTTACTGGAAATGACGAGCCGGAAGGGTCTCGGTTGCGCGGGAGGCTGTGCGGCCTCGTGTCTTTTCCTCCCGCATCTGGTGGTGGCAGAGGAAACCGAAGCTTCGCTTCCCAAACCGGACGATGGCTTCCAGAAAATGCCTTGAGGCTGCCAAGGTGAGTGAATATGGAATAGCTTCGTGACTCGCCGTTCTGCACCCTTTCATTCTACCCCACCAATCGCTTGTTTTGAGACATTGTCTCGCAGGTGTCCCGAAGGCGCACAACCTTTCCACTACTTTTGGCGCTTCGAGAGCTCTGGAACCTATTAGCAACCGATTCTCTTTCCATATCGGTGTTAAAACCCCGTCACGTGTTCAAGCAGTCGTCATTCATTTATTCGAAGCGCTTAGGTCTCGGTCTCCAAGGCAGGCTGAGCAGTCAGGAACCCCCTTTTCCACAGTGTTTCGAGAAGCTTTCCACCTATGAGCGGGCGAAGCTCCTGCCATGTCGTCGTTTCAACACTGTCGAAAAGGTACGCGAGCTTCCCGTCCCGCAAACAGGCACTCAAGCCATCATGCTTCCAAAGACTCGAAAGCTCGTGTTCTACGTTCATTCTAGAAGGCTGAGCAGTGAGGGAGCCTAACTATGTTTGAGCCCACGATGTTCTTTCTAAATACTTTGCTGCCAGCCAGGTATATAAAGGAGCCAAGAATCATGGTAGAGACAGATCAATACTACAAGCAATCACACAGATACACCAACACATTACAAGTCTGCATCCTAACTTCAGTCACTTCGGAAGTCAATTTCATACTCTTCTCTTCCTTCAAGATACCTCCATAAACATACTCATCGATCAAAAACCACCAAAATGGACGCAGCATCCTCAACATCCGCGGATCTCGCAACCACTGCCTACCTATCCGCCTCATCAACCCCAACACCCGATGCAGCCGTCATCGCATCCTCTTTCAGCTGGCTCTCAATCAAAGAGGTCTTCGTGATAGTAGTCCTCTACATGTGGTACATGTTTCTCTTCCTAGCCTGCGGTGTAGTCATCATCGGTGGCATCTACCTCGTGTGCATGGGTGTCTTGGTTCTCTTTGGAGTCGTATGCGAACACGGTCCCAAACTCTACTCGAAATCGAAAGAACGGCTGGAAAAGTATCGGAAGTCCTCGATGGAGACAGATATCGAGGGACAGAACGCTGGGGGAGTAACGAGTCAGAGCGATGACCCCCAAACGAGTGGCGTTGAAAATGGAGAGGGGAGTAAGGCCGAGGCGAAACTTGGAAGTGAATCTGTATAAAGTGGTGATGCGTCTGCTTTGATATTACTCTACAATTGTTTCTCTTTCATTTCTTTAAGTTTCTTTTCAACTTAACTCTAGCCTTGCTTCGAGCGAATCCAGCAACTGTACAATTAGCTTGCTCTTTCCTTCTCTTGTCTAGATACCTCTGCCGGAGCAGCGGTTTTCCATCCTGGCTAGGGAAGATGTGATTTCAGGAAACATAGACTATAGACGGAAGGCGTTTGGGAGAAGAGCGGATTTGCCATTTTGTAGTACAGTCCTCGGCATGGGGATCATAGAAGTATATGCCATAACTGGCTCAAACAAGAAAATATATCAGAGTTTGAGAAACTCGCTCCATCTCTTGTGCTCTTTCCTCCAAACACACGGTGCGTGCCAGCAACAGGAAGAAATTGTAAATCAACTTCTGCAGTGTAAACAAGCTTCCGTGACCAGCAAGTAACTCACTTCTCGCCTCTTTTCAAGGCTGTGGGTGTTGCGATACTGGACGGTATTGACAATCCTCATGTACGCTAAATTCGCAGTAATAAGGCACCGCTTGGTTGGGTGGAATCCGCGAATCCTTTTGTTTGTGAAGGCTTCACTGCGATTTTAACCCCTCGAGGAGGATTAATGGATCAGGACTCGATTAACAGAGTGCTCCATTTGGCTTAGGCTGCGATGTGTTTGCCAGATAATTGGGAGAGAGGGATAATTGGTGGTGTGCACGGAGTGATATGTACAGCTAGTGCTCCTCGCTGTGGAAGGCGCATCCACATAACGAAGGCGAGCGGCATTGAAATACGTCCAATATTCTTAGCGAGGGGGGCTATGCAAAAAGCACTGCAATTTTAGCGTCCTCGAGGAGGGTCGATCATGCCTGTCAAAAGTTTGCTCCATGGCACGTTATCCCTTCGTCTGGCGAGACATAGTCCACGCTAGCAAGGGGGCCTGCCCGGCCTAAACCAGGGGGTCCCGCACGGCTCACCTAGCATAATATTATGTACCTCTGCATATAAATTTATTAGTAATCTACATTGCTCGAATGAAATCGCGGCCAGCACTCCCCCTCCTTGCATAGATTTACCTTACAAAACACACACCCACCATATGATCTCTTTGCCTGAACCTTCTTATCTACTGCTTTCCCTAAGGCCTTTTGACACCTTAATTTATACGTACACCACGCACAAGTAGCCTTAGGGCGCTTCTCCCAATAGTGTAAGTGCGGGGCATCAGGAGCAAATACCCTTTTTCCTCCCAAACCCACTTGTAATCGCCGTACCTTTACTCTTGTAGAGTGCCCTAGAAGCTTACAATAAAGCTCTGTTCTAAATTGCAAGTGTGTAAGCAAACGTTTATGCCCTTCCATATGTAATTTATATAGCCTGTACCCATTTATACAGGCTACCTCAATTAACCAGTAAAACAATGGCCACCAATTTCTCAAGGTAGGTTTGTGACTCTCGTATACCTCCCTATATTGATTCGCAAGGTCCACTCCTCCCATATATTGATTATAATCATCAATAAAGCTAGGAATCTGAAGCTCCTTTATTGGCAAATCGCCAAAAACCTCCCGTACGATTCGCCCATTTGTAGACGTCTTTGCAGGACGCTTTCTCTCCTTCACCCGCCAGTCCTCTGCTTTATCCACGGTATGGATATTACTTAAAGCTAAGACAATACTATTATCTTGCCAAGCTAAGCAAAGCACGTCCTGAACCACTGCCGCAAGCAAGGTGTTCCATTCTAGCTTCGTGGCGAACCGATTTTTAATTGCCGATAATTCCGGTGGAAACAGCTTGTGTGGGCGAGTAGTACCCACTGCACCAAATTTACAGGCTCGTAGCTCTGAAAATAAGGGTATAGAGGTAAAGTAATTATCGAGGTATATTGTAAGGTAGCGGCGCGGGAGGGAAAGTGCCAGATTTCGTACGAGAGAACCGGTATTCGTAAGGGTTGGATGGAGAGTCATTTTTTGGAGCCCCTTCTCTCGCGAGCTCCAAGCCCAATTATATATGTATCCGTGATCCGCAAGTCCATAGATCTTATACCCTTGTTTAATTGGCTTTTTGGGCATCTTGTATGTATGTGAGGATCTAAAATAATTAGCGGGGTAGCGGGGTAAAAAAGGGGGGAATGTACCTGCCAAAGCACCGTACCATAAGTTCGTTAATACTCACATCAGAAGAAGGAGAGTAATATTGCTGAGAAGAGGCTTGTATAGACGAAGCAAGAGGTTCAAGCTTATACCACCAAAGCTTATTATTTGGGAGGTGATACCCCTTTTGTTCGTCACTCTCAGAGCAAGAGATATGGCAATATCGTTTGATTTGCTAGAAGCGGCGAAGGGATATATGGCTTGAAATTGTATGTATAGGACCTTTATTAAAGTCTGCATTCCAGTACATATCGCTTTGAGGCTCAATGTGGACTCCCATATATATAATTGTACCAAGAAACACATGTAGCTCCTCAATAAGCAAATCTGACCATTCTCGTATCCGTTCCTCTGCATTGTGTAGTCTCTGCAAGCTCGCATATCGATTGGTATTTGTAGTAATTATCTAGAAAAGCTCGGGAGTAAAGAACAGGCTAAAGTAATCGAACGGGTGTGGTTTTCGTACAAAATCGGGAGGTAAAATCGCTCTTGCTGGCTGTTTGGGTTCGGGTTGGAAGGGCTCATAGGAAACGTTCGTAATTGGTCCAAGTCGAAGGAGTATATCCTCAAGGGATTGGCCCTTTTTTAGCTTTTCTGGCTCTGGGGGTGGGCTGGAAGAATGGTCCATTGCTGGCTGGCTGCATGAGCGCGTACTGGAAAGGCATTATTGGACGCGATTTCATCCACGCGATGTACCTTACTAATAAATTTATATGCAGAGGTACATAATATTATGCTAGGTGAGCCGTGCGGGACCCCCTGGTTTAGGCCGGGCAGGCCCCCTTGCTAGCGTGGACTATGTCTCGCCAGACGAAGGGATACCGAGGCCTCTAACCCCTGTACTGCCAAAACCCCGATTTTTTATGACATTGCGCATTTGCACATTGCACATTGCGCATTCGCACATTGCACTTGGATTTTGAGATTTTTAAATAAAGTAATTATTTAAATTCCTATTAATATATTAAGTTCTTTATTAAATTCTCTATTAATTAATATAGGCTATTTTAAAAAATTCTTATATAAGTAATTAAATTTAATATTTTCTTAAATAAAGGCAAAGAAAAGTCGAGCGCATACTAGCCGGAGTACACGAGCCTTCGGGGTACACGAGCCACTGCGGCCGCTTTACGGCCGCTTCGCTTAAATCTTACTAGGGTCTCCCCAAAAATCTTTCTCTTATATATTAAGCTTATTAAAGCCCTTATTACTCTTATAATTATATAAATTATAATTAATATATATATATAAGAATTCGAATGGCTTTAAAAGGTTAAGAATTATAAAAGTTATACTTAAAGATCTCAAGAACTTAGAAAATAGCCTCAAATTTCTAAGCGAGAAAATAATATTAAAGGAAGAACTTCAAAATTTTACAAATAAAATAATTCTTATTAGAAGAATTCTGATTAATCTAAATTAAAGAGAATAATTAGAAAAGTATATAAGCTACTTGCAAGCTTATAAATATCTTATACTATAAGTAATTTATTATATAAAAAGGAAAAAGTAAGGAAAAAGTCGAGTGCAACATGCGCAAATGCATCATGCAATGTCATTTCGGGTTTTTGGCAGGAGCATCGCTATCGGCCTCGGTACGTTAGGCCATAACCGCTACCTAACCCGCAAAAAATACGTTGAGAGGAGCGAGACATGCCCCCCAAAACAGAATAAAACGGCCTAATTCCCAAGGTGACCGGCAAAGCAGAGACACTGATCCGAGCCTTCTCGAGGGGGTAAAATTGCAGTGCTGCTGGTCATGTTTTTCCGACACAAAAGGAGCTTGCACAGGTAATAGCGACAGTTAAAACAGCAACGGAGCACTCTTTTAGTTGGTGGTCGACCCTCCTCGAGAACGCTAAGATTGCAGTGCGTCAGGCTGGCTCAGAACAGGTAGGGGGGGCATAAGGTTGCATTGCTAGGGAGACGGAGGATCTGACTGTATACACCAATGCTTGAGGCCCCATTACGGGCTCTGGGACGTGAGGTTAGCGAAACACCAAATCGAAGTATGACCCCCACCCGCCTCCCTGGGTCGATTCCAGGGTCGATTGAGGGTCGATGGCAGAATCTCGATTTGGTAAAGCTTAGGGAGCCCACAGATGGTAAATGCCAAAGAACCCCCAAACTTATATTTTAGCCATGAAATCTCTAAATCTATAATATTAAACGTTTACATCCCGGGTAGGAAGTACAAATATTAGGGGCATTTTGAGCTTTATTAACGCGCACATATTAGTGGTATTTATATAGGATATATTCGCACAGCGACGGTGGAAACGCGATGGGGCGACGGGGTGGGAGTATACATTGATTTACATATGATTGGTGTGTAGAAAACGATGCATAGGTGCACCTGCTAACCGCCTGCCATTTCTAGTAAGTGCGGCGCCGGATCGACCCTGGAATCGACCCAGAGGAGGGTTCGTTTCCCAACGCCCCGTTGGACAACGCAAAGACTGTCGGCGTGGGGTGCCAAGGCTTTTGCAGCACTCTTCTGATTGGGGCATCGATACTCCTCGCGGACGCTAAAATTGCAGTGCTGTCGGGTGTCACGACGCGTTGCAGTCAGGCATCGTCGCATCGATCTTCCTCCCGGACGCTAAAATTGCAGTGAAAGTTGATCCGCAAATCACAACTCTCTTGATTGGAGCATCGATCCTCCTCGAGAACGCCAGTGCGCGTGTGCAAGTCTAATGTAGCTACCCGCAGGAGCTTGTGACATTGATGACAGCCCAAACAGGAATCGAGCCCCTTTCGGTGACTGGTCAATCCTGTTTGAGGGAGCTGAAACTGCAGCACACTTATATATGAAGCACTCCTTTGATTCGGGTACTACCAGATCAATCGCCTGAGGGCACTAAAAAATCAGGGTATTTAGCACGTTCCAGCCATGTTTGCGATTTAAAAGGACAGCTCTCCACCAACAAATTTAGGTTAGTAAAACTATTTAATCAATAATATGGCATTAGCCAATGGTTCAAGTCAAATTCTAATTGATGGTTTACTTTCAACATTTCGCATTCACCGGATGGCCTTTCGCTAAGTCTCCTTTTATGTCTTCCCATTTTCTACTTCTCCTTTTCGTTCCCACCCCCTTTTAGGAGGTCTTATTTTCTAACCCCTCTGCTTTGCGATCCCATGATTTTCATCTTCTTTATAACCTCTATTTGCCGGCCGCTACCCTGCGAATACATGATTTTGCGATACCCCTTCTCCTTTTTAGCGACAATTCCACCCTCTCTTCTTTCGAATCTCTATCCTTCACTACCCCACTTCTTTATAACCTCATTCCCGAATTGTGCTCTTATAATAGCAAGGAAACCTACGAGGCAGGAAGTTAGGAGGATCCTGAAATTACCTAGTTTTAGGGAGTGCTTTAGAGAGTATTAGTAAGTGATCCGAATAATTGGCCAAGAATCCCATTCCTCCCGAGGAAGCCGCTACGTGATCAAGCGGAGCGGAACTTGCGGACTTGAATCCTATTCTTTATAAATCCGATGCTTGCAATGCATGTCATCTCGTGTCAACTTTACTGTGGAGCTTCTGGCGCAACAAAAATTCCGACCAAATGTAAGGCGCGTGTATGTCATCTCGTGCCAACTTTACTGCCGCCAGTAGATCGTTTCTTACACAACAAAAATCCCGACCAAGCGTAGGACGCCGAGTCGGCCCTTTTTTTTTAACATTTGAAGAAAATGGGTACGGCAATTCGGGCTTTCAGTATTTTTAACTACGAAAGCCATATCAAACCAAACTGTATAACTCCAATAACCAGATCCACAACACCCGGAGGTTCACTGTCACGAGATACTCGGATTCTTACAGATCCGAAATAATGGGTGGCAATTCGAACTTTTAGTTTCTTAGACTCTGAAAGACATGTAAAAGTTTACAAACAGATCCACAACACCGTGAGATTTTCGGGTGCCCACAGATCCGAAAGTTCGGAATCGTCGAAGTTCCGGATTGGATACGCGATTCAATGAATGTTGGAGTTTTGTATTGGTTCACCGTCTATTGCTGAGAAGCTCAGCCTCGATGTTGCGAAATCTACGACGATTTAGGATTGTTCTTGACGATCTCTGTGAACACGAGAAGGCCAGTAAGAGAAGTGTAGTAATCATTGGAGATGACATCGTCGTTGCTTTGAAAGCTGAAGTTCGAAGTAGATATAAAGGGCCAAGGGAATACGTTGAGAAGAAAGTATTCAGAACAATCTTGTTTAATTTTACTGTTTATTCCTTCAAAATGCGATCATTTCTGTACTTTTCGACCCTTCTTGGCACAGCCGTAGCTGCGGGTTGCCCGTACATGAGCGGTGAACTTGGCGCTCGAGGTGAAGACTTGGGCAAGCGTCAAGTCGCGACTTCCATTGAAGAGACAACGATATCTACTCAAGAGTTCCTCGCACCATTTGAACTGAACGATACCGATGTCTATATGACAACCGACTCTGGGACACCAATTGACGAGGCGGTCAGTTTGAAGGCAGGCCTACGCGGGCCAACTTTACTGGAGGACTTCATCTTTAGGCAGAAGCTTCAGCGATTTGACCATGAACGTGTAAGGATACATCTCCCAGTCATACCGGGACTACAAATCAACCTAACCTATACTCACTATTATCACTAGATCCCTGAGCGTCCAGTACATGCACGAGGTGCTGGTAAGTCACTCATCTCACATCGCGGGCCAGCATTTGACTTGACACAGGAGCCTACGGTGTCTTCACAAGCTATGGCAATTTCAGCAACATTACAGCTGCATCATTCTTGTCCCAAGCAGGCAAACAAACGCCAATGTTCACTCGAATGTCCACAGTTATTGGTGAACGGGGTAGTACAGATTCCGCCAGAGATGTTCACGGTCTTGCGACCAGATTTTATACTGACGAAGGAAACTTTGGTGAGCAATATACCTAAATCTAAGAAACGCGAACTAACCCGTGATTTCAAGACATTGTTGGAATCAATGTTCCAATTTTCTTCATTAACGACGCCATACTTTTCCCTGACCTCATTCATGCTTTGAAGCCCCAGCCAAATAACCAAATCCCGCAGGCCGCTACAGCCCACGATACGGCCTACGATTTCTTCAGTCAAGAGACTAGCGCATTGAACTTGGTCATGATGGTCATGGCTGGCTATGGCATTCCTCGATCTTACCGCCACATGGATGGCTGGGGAGTGCATACGTATCGTCTCGTCACGAACGAGGGGGCTACAAAATTAGTCAAATGGAATTGGAAATCATTACAAGGAAAGGCAAGCTTCTTATGGGAAGAAGCTCAGGCTGTAGGTGGCAAGAATTCTGATTTCCATCGCCAAGACATGTGGAACGCGATTGAGGCAGGCATTTATCCGGAATGGGAGGTATGTTTCCGATTTGGAGTTATTCGGCAGGATGACTTGCTAATAGGCTTCAGCTCGGTGTTCAAATCTTTGATGAGGATCAGCAGCTTGCTTTTGGCTTCGATGTTCTAGATGACACTAAATTTATCCCGGAGGAGATTGTCCCAATTACTCCACTTGGGGTGATGACATTGAATGCGAATCCGCAGAATTACTTTGCTGAGACTGAGCAAATAGGGGTAAGTCAGGTCAACTCCTAGGGTGATTTTTCTTGTGCTAACGGGTTACACAGTTCCAACCTGGACACATTGTTCGCGGTATCGACTTCTCTGATGACCCAGTCCTTCAAGGACGTCTCTACTCGTACCTAGATGCCCAGCTTAACCGATATGGAGGTCCAAACTTTGAGCAGGCTCCCGTGAACAGGCCAAGAGTACCTATCCACAATAACAACCGTGATGGTAAGGCACAAGCGTACATCCCCACCAACATTGCGGCCTACTCGCCCAACACACTCAACTTCGGATCTCCTATGGAAGCGAATCAAACTACTGGAAAGGGGTTCTTCACTGCTCCCCGCTACGTATCTGGAGAACTCACTCGTGAGCTTTCTCCCACATTTGCAGACCACTGGACTCAGCCACGTTTGGTTTGGAACTCGCTTTCGCCAGCAGAACAACAAATTGCCGTCAACGCCCTCCGATTTGAAACATCGCACGTTGTATCCACGACGGTCAGACAGAATTTTATCAATCAATTGAATCTGATTGACAATGACTTGGCTGTGCGGGTGGCACAAGTCCTTGTCGACGTGACAGTCCCTCCACCAGACGCCACCTACTACCATAACAACAAGACCTCATACATCTCCATCTTCAACAACTCACTGCCGACTATACAAGGTCTCAATTTCGGTATCCTGGCATCAATTTACTCAAACCAATCCATGTCCCAAGCAGCAACACTTAGTCGGCAATTCGCCAACCTGGGCCTCTTCGTCAGCGTCGTAGCCGAAACCCTTGTCCCAGGTGTGAACCTCACATACTCCGCCGCCGACGCCATCGACTTCGACGGCCTTCTCGTCACTCCAGGCTCGGAAAGTATTTTCATCAACGGAACATCTCCGCTCTATCCACTTGGTCGTCCACTCCAGATCGTGCAAAATGCGTACGACTTTGGAAAGCCGGTGGGGGCTCTGGGCAGTGCCAGCACCGTCTTTCGAACCGCCAACATTCTCGAGGGTCCGGGAGTCTACTTCAATAATAGCACTGCCACGCTACTCACTGACTTCGAGGCTGGATTGAAGACGTTCAAGTTTCTTGGACGGTTCCCATTGGACCCTGGTTACTAACAGCTGAGAACGGTTACGACTATTTGGAGCGGGTGAGACGATGGCTCGGCCAATATTATGTATGATAGCGGTATTATAATTACATCATATATAGCCTTCAACTCTACCCGATTTTTTGCAACTTTTGCTGGGAGTATTCTGCCTCGTAATGTGTCCGACACCTCGGCGGTAGAGTTGATGAGGTCGGTGTCCTCAAGTATTCAATTGTCGATGACTTCGTCATTTGGTGTAGCGGATGGATTCGCTTGGCCATTTCCGGCGAAGTCGCGGCTGTAAATGCGATGATGTTCATGCACAGCTAGATACAGTCTCAATCAGATACAGGTGATGATCAGGGTCAGCCGTCGCGCCTGATCCCCAAAGCCCAATGGTACCGGTAAGGAACGAGTGCCAGAGATGACTTGCACGGGACTGCTTGCAGTAGACAGGATGTAGTCTAAAGGTAACACAGTAGATGAAGATTTCAAGACATCCAGCATTATCTCAGCTTCGACGATCCACTCGCTTTATCTCGCCTGTTGCGCCAATTTGATGAATTACATAGTTCTAATGTATTACTAAGCAGCCGAATGCCTAATTCAGCTAGACATTCGGATGAGGCGCAAAACGAGGCTGAGCGTGGCAGTCGGGCTGAATGTCAGTCGTAATATGATCAACTTCTCCCACCGACGTCGCGCTACGGCAGACTATTACGCACTATAAACTGGCTCAGCGGATACAAGCTATTATACAGCAATGGCATGCACCAAAGAGACGGTTGAATCCAGCGGCCTGAACATCTGGTCGAGCGAGGCTGCCACCGGCCCCGCGCCCGTAGTCGAGTAAGCTAAGCTTCCTCCGAGTCCACTAAGTCAAACCCCGCTGACCCCAATTAGCATCATCGCGGTCCAAGGTCTTGGCTCTCACGAGTTCTACACATGGGTAAAGAAGGTACCGTCCCAGAATGCCGACAAAGCCAGGAGATTCAGAGACAAGGCACAGTTTTGGAAGGGCAAGAAGCCGCAAGGTAAATACGGGGAAGATGGCCCTACAGAGGTCATGTGGGTCCGCGACTTGCTCGTGCCTATGTTCAAAGATGCGCGGATCGCCACCTATAGCTACAAATCAGACTGGAGGGATCGCACAGTCAAGACCAGCCTACGTCAGTGCGCTGAGCAGTTCCTGAACATCTTGTCCCAACACAGGCAGAAAACAGATGTAAGCTATGAGCGAAAGTAGCCAATCGACTTGATCACTAAAGAGTATAATTAGGAACGCAAAAGACCACTTGTGCTTATTGGACACAGCCTCGGAAGCATTGTCATCCAACAAGTATGCTCTTACTGGGTTGTATAGAGAATACATTTGCTAACTACTATAGGCGCTTGTAATTGCAGTCCATCAGCCAAAATTCACCGATCTACGCCTCTCTATCGCAGGCGTCCTCTTCCTCGGTGCTCCTTTCCAAGGAAGTGATGCAGCAGTATTTGGGAATTGGCTGGCTCGTTTGTCTCGGCTTGATACTACCTTATTGGAGATCTTGCGCAAGGGCAGTCCGGATTTATACGCATTACAAGAAGATTTCTGTGGCAGCTATACCGCTTGGGACCTTGTTTGTTTCTACGAGACGAGCGATACCAATTTCGGAGGCTTGTTAAGGACAAACGTTTGTTTTAATTCCGTATATCGAACTGCTCTTCCTTAAACTAACCTCGTATAGGTTGTGAACCCGCAATCAGCCAGTTTGCTTGGAAAGCGGAAGATATTCCTTAACACTGATCATTCTGGACTGAACAAGTTTAGCGGAGTAGATGATGAGAATTTTGCGTTAGTTCTCCCCGAGATTCGAAGAATATTTGAAGATGGGCCTTCGATTGTGGCTGAGCGTCATCGTGCGAAAGGTTAGTAGATCGAACCAATTATAGAGACTTGATGAAACTAAACTTCCCACTCTAGATACCGGCGCTACGAGCTATGGGAATCTACACTGGATGGTGCCCCGTCCTATGAATGATCTATTTACTGGACGTAGTGAACTTCTACTTCGAATACAGAAAGCTATCCACTGTGATCAGACTTCCTCCCCTATCAAGCAAAAGAGGTTTGTTATTACGGGGCTAGGAGGGCAGGGTAAGAGCGAGATCTGCCTAATGGTTGCAAGTCGAATGCGAGTAGAGTGCGTTTTTATTCTGCCTCTGAAAATTTCTCTGTTGAATAGCTAACAATAACAGTTTTTGGGGAGTATTCTGGGTCAACGTCGGCAATACCTCGACTGCTGAGAACGATTTTATCGCTATTGCAAAACTGCTTGGGCAACCTGTCGAGAGTCTTTGCGATGCTGTTCGAGTTCTCGCAAATGCTAAGCGACCCTGGCTCCTTATTCTTGACAACGCAGATGACCCAAACATCGACTACCAGGTATACTTTCCATCCGGAACTCATGGCGCCGTCCTTATGACATCTCGTATTCCTGATTGTAAACGGTATAGCCTAGACGCGAATGAAGCACTCGAGGGCCTTGTAGATAAGGATTCTAAAGAACTTCTACTCAAGGCAGCAGATATTCCTAAAGATTCATGGCCGTCTTACAACGACCAAGCCGAAAAGGTTGTCGATCTTTTAGGATCGCACACGCTCGCTCTAATCCAAGCTGGCGCATATATTGCCAAAGGCCACTGCCAATTATACGAATACCCCAAGGTCTATGAACGGCAACGGGAGCGGCTCTTAAAGTACCGACCAGAGCAGGCTCAGTCCAGGTATCACGACGTTTATACGACCTTCGAAGCATCAGCCGAGGTGCTCGAGCAGTCCAAAAGCGACGCTGCAAAAGATGCTCTATGCTTGCTCACAGTCCTTTCAATGTTAGACTCTGCCGTTATTCCTCTTGAGATCTTTCAGAGCGCATGGATTAGTGGCAGAAAAGTCCTTCGCTCTAACTGTGAAAAGACAAGTGCGATAGATGCTATGTCTCGAAGTTACGCTTTGCGATTACCTGGACTTCTGATAGAAGAGAGCGACGAATGGGATCCTTTTCGTCTAACTGAGGCCAGCTCAAAGCTAGTCTCACTTTCCTTGGCTACGCGACACGATATAAACGGTTCTATGGGATTATCAATGCACCCGTTAACTCACGCCTGGGCCAAAGACCGCCAAGATCTGGAGCAGCAAGACGCGGCTTGGATAGCTACTGGTTGCGTTCTTGCACTTTCTCGATCGAACTCTATAATGTGGCAAACTCAAGAGAGGCGTCTTCTACCACACTTACAGTCTTACCTAAACATCAAGATTGGAAGAATACTCTTATTTGAATCCAAAGCGCTAGTCATTCCAATTCTTCTCACATGTGGCTGGGCGTTATTAGACATGCGACAGGACTCGAGGCTTAGCCATCTCCTAGAAGACATGTTTACCGAGCTTAGAAAGAACCCCAAAGAGCCATTAGAAGAGCTTCTCCCGCTATATTTCCTCCAGGCAAGGAGTTTATTAAATACTGGAAAATACAAAATGGCCGTAGCATTACTCAAGCAAGTCGTTGAGATTGAGGGGAGGACGCTAGCAGAGACTCACCCGAGCCGGCTAGCCTCGCAGCATGCACTAGCTACTGCATATGAGGCAAACGGGCAAGTTAAGGAGGCTATAGCACTGCTCGAGCAAGTCGTTGAGATTAAGGGAAGAACGCTAGTAGAGACTCACCCAAGCCGGCTAGCCTCGCAGCATGCACTAGCTATTGCATATGAGGCAAACGGGCAGGTTAAGGAGGCTATAGCACTGCTCGAGCAAGTCGTTGAGGGAAGAATCACTTGATTGAGCTGGGACCGTGAAAGTGGGCAGGCCGGTTTCCGTCGCACTCTGGAAATCCCCTATTGCTTCGCTTTGAAGTGGTATCAGCACAGAAGTGCTTGATTTAAAATACTTTCTCTCACTCTATCAAATGGAGCCAGGAAGAATCGTGAAGCGGATGTCCGTATCTGCAACTCTCCCTCTCACATGCATTCAGAACTTGAAGATCCTCGCACATCATAGCTGATCAACACTTGCCGTTTTGGGTGGCGAATTTCTGTGTTTCGCTCCAGCTCAAAACTGAACCTACTTTAAATAACGCAAACAAAAAACAGGAGAGGGTTGAGATTGCATCAGCTAAGAATCACTTGATTCGCATGATGTGTGCTCTGGAATTATTTTATCTTGCGAAATGCATATGTACAAAGAGTTGAGCGCCTTCGGCACCGACACTTTCTATTCTCCGCGTCCTAAATCTTCTTCATATGGACACCACCACCCTCCGTCAAACTCACTTTCGCTTCGTAGCCCCTCCCTTCTTTGCACTGCCAGTGCTCTTGGCAGCAGCAACATCATCCGCCTTCCCCTCCTTGCCAACCTCCACTACATCCTTCCCCTCACTGGCCTCAATTGCTTTCACCTTATCCTTCTCAACAACCTCATCCTCCCCACCCCCCTGTCCAAACTCATTAACCCTCGTATAATCAACCTTATACTTATAACTCTGATACAAATAAACAAAGAAAATAACATCGTCTCTCAGGGTCGCCAGTCGATGCAGTGTTGGCATCTTAATCGTGAACGCAAACAGATCATCGATGAATGTGTTCAAGAATTTATACGTCATTGCTCGGGCGGGCATATGCGCCACACTCTTCAGCCTGTAATTGATATATAAGGACGGAACCATCATAAGGAATCCGTAAGCGTAGACGGAACCGACGAGCGTGGCGATGATGAATGAATACCACGATTTATGTGTCTCGTATTTGAGGGAGTAGGCGGCGTACGCCAAGAGGAGAGGGACGGCGATCATGTAGAGGTATTTGAATGCGACGGCGTCGTATTCTTTGGTTTTCTCTTCGGTTTCGGTGAGGACTTGCTTGTCTTCAAAGGCGATGCGGTAGGGGATTAGGGAGCCAGGGGCGGCAGCGCGGACGCGCACGTTCACGACGGTAGTGATTTTCCAGAGCTCGATGAAGATGCCCATTCCTTGGGAGAAAAGGATCATCCAGCCTGGTCGTGTTAGCAAGTAGGGCTCAGAGGGGTGAGTTGAGAGCTTACTTGTATTTTCGTTGTTGTCCAATAAGTAGAGGAAAATAACGGCTTGCATGAAGACATTTCCGAGGATGGAGCGAACCGAGATTCCAACATTATTTTTCTTGTTGCGATAATGGCTGATGTCTGACTTGAAGGCCAGCATCTCGAAGATCATGTGGAAGATACTGACAACAACGGTTGTGCCCAATAGATAGACGTTGGTATCGAGGAGAACTTCCTTGATCATTTCGAATTCGCTGCCATCGCCACCGCCAGGGACAGAACCACCTGAAGTCTTTAGTCACGTGAACCCCCTTTCCAATACAGAGACTAACCTTGAGCAGCCGTTCTGGCATTCTGCTTTGCTCCTTCGTCAAGACTAGCAAGCAGACTGAACTTCCAGTTGGCCAAATGATTCAGGTTGATATGAAGCGGAAGAGTTTTAACAGTCGAATTTAGGGTCGTCATATGAGTTCTGAGTTGCCAGAAAGTATTGACGAACAGAACTGGGTAGTACCATCCATTCTGTCCACTACCATCTCTTGCACCGCTGGATTCCATGTGGATATATTGTCTGACAGCAGGGTGGAGAGAAGGATAATGCATGACCCCAGAGTCCGGGATGAAAGACATGGTGAAGTTCGGATGATAGTGAGAATTGATAATTGGTCCGGCAGGAATTTCCTCCTCGGGCTATACTTCTGTCAACATCTTCCTCCAGGTCCCGCAAATGAAGACATACCACTTCAGTCTCATTTACAGCAGCAAGAAGATTCTTCGTCTTCTTGATCTTTTTTTGCGCAATATATTGAGTCAAGGGATGAATAAAATGGAACGCCCTCTCAGGATTATATCCTGGAGTCGAGGGATCCAATTTACTCCCTGTCAACCCAATATAAAAATGTGCCCACAGCGTGCCATTATTCTGAACCTCCTTCGGCACGGGAAACGTAGTATCAATGACCCTATTCTCTTTATAATCTCCAAGCTTGAAAGCCACCTCATCAGCCACAATCCTCTCCTTGGGAGTCTTGGCCAGCGGTTCAGAAACAAAGGTCGGGGAGACGACAATCGTGATATCCATGGGACTATCAAGCGGCCACAGGGGTGCTATTCTCTGCGCAAGAGGATTGTACAATGCGCCCTCATCCAAGTGGTCCGGACGCGCATAGTAAGGTGGGATCTCGCCGGTGTTCGCAGGCACCTTGACTACGGTGCCGGAAGCATCGGTCGTGGTTGTCGTCGTCGCTTTCCCCGAATTCATAAACTTGCCCATAACGAATTGGATGCCGAAGAACATAGCCAGGCCCTGGATGGCAGACTTGATCATCGGCTGAGGAGACGTATTAGATATATTTCTTTTCTTTCTGAACCTTGGGGTAGGAGCGTACACTCATGCCTTCATCCTGGCGCTGTGCGCCTGGAGCTACGGTGCCGGTGGGAGGAGGCATATTGGCGATGCGTGGATTCGGAATGCCTTGACGAGCTTGGGGTGAAAGTCGAAGGCCACGCAATTGACGAGACTCTCAATGGAAGAGAGGAGAAGCTTGCGATTTCTCCAGGGTCCGCTAAAATCGCATCGCCGAGCTCCGTTTAACCAATCATCATCCGCGTGTAGAAGCCGTGCCTTGCCGTGGCTGGAGGGGCCGCGGCTGCAAGCGGCGGCGCCAGAAACGTCACCGGATCCGGCAACAATATTTATCACAAGGCCCTTTCAAGCTTCCTCGAGTAACACCTGCCACTTTTCCAACTCTGATTTGTTGAACTTCCAACAAAGACTGTCTTTACGACCTCCGCACTGTATCAATCCATCTTTCTTTCAAATAGCCACCTTCAGGCCGATTTCAATTCCTGTTGACCGCGACTTTGAGTCATCGCCACGTACGAACGCCTCCTCGAGTACCTTGTTAAGCGAGAGCTCAGCTGCTCAACTACTTCAGCTTGTCCGACCTTCAATTGACGCTCAATTCCCTCTTCCAGAAAATCTACAACTCTCGACTCAATTAATTGAAGCAATCTTTCATTATGGCATCCGGCGGCGCCTCCCCCGCGATCTCAGTCCGCAGCCAGACGCCAGACATCCCAGGCTCAACCACCCCACACGGCCTCTCGAAACTGAACAACGTCCTCTCAAACAGCACCAATGCTCTGGCCTCCCAAACGTCCCGCTCGCCGAAGATAAAAATCTGCGTTTTCTGCGGTGCAAGCCCTGGCACTTCGCCCGCACATATGGTAGCCCTCCCTTCCCCAACCCACTCAATCGTTCGTTCTTTCTATATAATACTAACGCAGCCAAACAGGAAGCAGCCCGTTCCCTAGCCCACGTCTTTGCCGCCCACAATGTCTCCCTCGTCTACGGTGGCGGCACCGTTGGCCTGATGGGCGAAATAGCACGCACGCTCGTCTCCCTCTCCGGTCCCGACAGCGTGCATGGCATCATCCCAGCACCGCTCGTGAAATACGAGCGCGGCCCCGACTCCGACATCGCGCTCGATGGCGCAATACCCGAGTACAAAACCTATGGAAAGACAACAGTGGTGAAAGACATGCATACACGTAAGCAGATGATGGCGCAGGAAGTACTTGCAGGTGCGAGTGGGAGTGGGTTTGTGGCGTTGAGTGGTGGGTATGGCACGCTCGAGGAGTTGATGGAGGTCGTTACTTGGAATCAGTTGGGGATTCATAATAGAGGTGTGGTGGTGTATAATGTGGAGGGGTATTGGGACGGCTTGTTGAGCTGGGTGAAGGGGAGTGTGGAGGCAGGGTTTGTGGGGAAGGGGAACCAGGAGATTATTCAAGAGGCGAGGAGCGCGGAGGGGGCGGTGAGGGCGTTGAGGGAGTATCGGGTTGCGTCTGGACGGTTCAAGTTGGAGTGGGGTAATGAGTAAGAGCTTTGTGGGACCCGGGTGGGTGTTTGCTGTGAATTGGAAATTGACGCAGGCGTAAGGAGGTACTGACTGAAAATGGGTGCGCGACTCGACTCAGGATGGCGTTTGGTGGTTGCATGGATTCCTGTAGATCATACCCCCTCTAGCTTTGCCCGGTTTGTGAAGGTGTTTCGCGTAGATTGTCTGCTATACCTAGAGCTCAGGCACTGCAATAGACTTTGCATTCCCTCTATGATCTTATGCTTTTGATGTTGTACAAGCTCAGGAGCCACCCTGCCATATCATCTCTCATCCCACAACTTACGAATCAACCTCCATGCCCTCCGTTCCTTCAGCGGCCTCCATCCCATCAGCCACCAAATCAACCCACTGCCTAACCTCCGCCCCATCATAAAGCTTAAACGCCTCAATCCGCTTCATGCCCTCCTCCTTGATACCCACAACACCCACACTACAATTCTCAACAGTCAACTCTTTATCCTGCGCCAGACTCTCCTTCAACGCCCTCAATCCATGCTTAACCAACTCCTCCCGCCCACAACTCTCAAACGCATCCAAATTCCGCTCTAAATACGTCCTCGCCATCTGACTCCGCGCTCCAATCGCACAAGCAACCATCTCCTGCGTCATGCCTGAGGGTTGGAACTCGAATAGATGTGGACCGGTCTCGTCGACGCCCGCGACTAGGAGCCCGACGCCGTAGGGACGCTTGCCGTAGTGTTGCGTGTTGGTTTGCGCGCGGTCGCCGATGGAGGAGACGAGGCGTTCGAGGGGGATGGCGCGGCCGTAGGTCAGGCGAGAGGAGAGCGATTGTTGTTTCATGAAGTTGGAGAGGACCCGGGCGTCGGATGCGAGGCCGGCGAGGGAGAGACCAAGGTGCTCGTCGATGGCGATGATTTTCTTTTGGTAGGAGGAGAGCTCTTCTGCGTTGCGCTGGAGAAATACGCCCGTGTTAGCTAAAGGATGATTTATGTCGGAGGGGAGGGCGAAGGAAGAGACGGTACCTTCAAAGCAACAAGTACAGCATGTGTCTTGCTAACTATTCCTACAACCACACTCCCCTGCTTGACAGCCTCAGACGCATACTCGACCTGGAATATCCGTCCCTGGGGCGAGCTACTTCTCATCAGCTTCTATCCAACGCGCTGCCCGTTTGCAATTCAAGTAGAGTACTCACAAGGTAACGGAATCGTTATCATAATTATTCCTGAACATCGTGACGGGGGTGCAGCTTCAGCTGCGTGCGGACTCGTAATGTTGGTATCGTGAAAGGGGGATGGGGGCTGGGGAGTAGAGGTGATGTTGAAGGTATGGGGAAAGACGAGGCAGAGGCAGACACGCTGATGAAGCTCCAACGCAAAAATAAGGTTGCCGTAGTCGAAACGAGGGAAGGCGACAGGGGTAGGTCCTGCCTGCTGAGCCTCAGCCGAGCAACGTCAGCCATTTGGAACATCGCCAGAACAGCTTTCACTCTTCTTTACAACGAGCCTCACAATTCACCACCAGAAATCTCTCTGTTAGTTCTGGAGATTGATATTACTTCGGCATCAAGCGACGATCGAGACGTAACTAGGAAGGCAGACGACTGAAGCAGCGAAGCGCGAAAACCGCAGCCCGACCATATAACAACACCAGCAAAGTGCCTCTCTCACTCCCCAAAATGACCGCTGGTCTCAAGACCATTATTTCGCTCTCCTTTGTACGTCTCCTCTGCCTTGCACTAGCCCTCTCCCTTCTCCATCCCCAACCCCGCTCATTTGTCCCATCCCGTGCGAGCCTGTGATCATTCCTCCACCCCTCAACCTCCAAGCTAACCTCCAAACAGGTCCTAGCAATCGGCTTCCTCCTCGTAATCCTTTCCTGCGCCCTCTTCAAACAATACCTGCCACTCCTAGTCGTCGCCACCTACGTGCTCGCGCCGCTACCAAACTGGGTCTGCGGACGCTGCGCCAATCCCGATGATTTCGTAGAATCAAGCAGCAATGCTGTTGTGGATTTCGGGAGGTTCTGTACCGGGTTCTTGGTTTTGATGGGTGTTGGTATGTTTCCTGAGGGAAGAGGTATGTAAATGTGGACTAAATACTGATGTTTTTGGCAGCACTCCCGGCTTTACTAGCACACTCGGAGCTCATTCGCTGGGCAGCGGCGCTGATGTCTATCACGGGCGGGGCGCTGATCTACGGCACCATCATCGCGTTTGGGATGTTCTTTCAAGAGGAGTCAGAATTCTAAGTCCCTCTTCAGAACCTGGCCTGACGAAAGCAGGGAGGAGTAAGGGATACCGGATGGTGGGAAGGACGGGAGAGGGATGTATTGTACGTATAAAGCATATCAGCAAGCAAAGCGGAACTGAAGAATTTCAATGGGTTTGGGTTGGGGGTTTTGATGCAGTTGATAACTAGCGTGCAATGGATTTATTCAGAACGTTCATCTATTTTATTCTATATGCGGGGTTGTTGCGTCTTGCGAGTGGGGTATCGTTGAGTCTCCAACGCCTTGCCTTATATCCTGGAATACGTTGAGTATTCCTCCCCCCGAAATGCAAAAATGATGCAAAAACTCCTCCTTTCCCCTTAAAATCCAGACGTGAGTCTCCCAAAAGTTATCTAAAAAGGTCCAGCGTGCCAGCCAACTTCGTCTCCATCTCCTCCCTCTCCCCAACCGGCGTACTCAGCGCCGTGACCGCGCCTCCAGCGCCAACATGCCAGGTCTCCCTTTCCTCGCTCACCTTCCGGTCTTCTCCGGGACCAACTTCATCCTCGTCATCGAACTTAAACATACACCTAATCGTCACACTCCAATCCCCTCGTCCCCTGACATCCATATACCCCACAACCCCACTATACAGCCCTCTCTCTTCACCACCTTCAATATCCTGAAGGATCTCACAGCTGCGTTTTTTCGGTGCACCGGTCATGCTTCCTGGCGGTAAACTGGCTGCCAACACATCAATTCCGGTATATCTTTTCTGCTCCGCCTCGTCAATTTCCTCAGCGGACAGATATTTCTCCATCTCAACCGGATACGGAGGCGGTATCTGCCCATTCACGACAGAAATCATCTGAAACACACTCTTATACTCCTCCACAACCATCAGTCTCGGCACACTTACATTGCCGCTTCCACACACACCGTGCAAATCATGTCTCACCAAATCGACAATCATTAGATTTTCGGCTTTCTCTTTTGGGATGTCGAGGAGTAGTTTTGCGGCGGCGAGGGTGGATACGGCAGAGGACTTGCGGACCGTACCTTTCATGGGGCGGAGCTCACAGGAGCCGGTGGCGGTCCAGGAGAGGAAACGTTCTGGGGAGCAGGATACCAAAGTGGCAGATCCGAGACGGAGGTAGGAGGAGAAAGGCGCCGGTTGCCGGGTGCGAAGCGTTTTGTATAGTGCCCAGGAGGGGGAAGTAGAGGCGGGTTTGGAGAGATTGATGTGTGTTTGTGAGGTTAGACACAGCTCGTAGGAATCCCCAGATCGAATGGAGGATTGGCAAGCCAGGACTTTGGATTCGTAGACTGAGGGTTGAGGGGTCATGATTGAGATGACGGAGTGAGGAATTCGGGTCGTTGGGGGCGGGCAAGAGCTGTGTTCGACGGCTGCTTGCAGGTCAATTGTAAGGCTATCCATCCAAGTCTTGACAAAGTCATTATTTGCTCTCGGAGCAAGCTGTTGGAGATAGACCACGTTCTTTCCGTGATCGACGACGAGACTTCGTTCTACCCAGGCAAAACACAAATCTGGGCGGCAATGTTGGCGCCCCTTTCTGCTTTGAAGCTTGACATCGATGCCCTCGAGTCCCAGTTCGTACGTCGTGTAGCCCATGAAACCTCCCCAAAATGGTGAATCAGGGTTGCCGTCCACTACTTTTCTTGCATCCAAATATTGAGCAATAAAAGGCCATATCCCGCCAAAACTTCTTGTGTCGTCAGTAGAAATAGTCCCTTTCCGTGGATGAATTTGAGTGATCTTGTGGGTTCCTCTGGTGTATTCAAATCTCGTGCTCTCTGCAACATCCAAACCAATGATACTATATCTGCCTCGGACATCTACGGTCCCAACAGCTTTCTCATATGCATTTGAAGATTCCAAAATAATTTGATCTTGACGCATATCTTGGATAGCTTCAACGAGATCCGGAATCGAAATATCTGCTGCGAATTGTATGGTTCGAGAATGGCAGATGACTTCGGTACACTTGTCGGCTCTCCCAAAATTGTTTAAATATGCTGCAGGGGAACGGATACCAGGATCCTGGGTGAGCTTCTGCTCGAATTGACTTAACAAGCTTTCTCGAGTAGCATATTGGCCTTGGATTGTTCCCTTCTGAGATATTGGTGTCTGTCTTTGTATTCGGTTCCACAATTGAGCCTGCTTAAACCAGTTCCTGACCACCTGCTTGCTCTCTTTATTCGTGCATATCGACTCGGGATGGTATTGCAAGGCCCAAAAAGGTTTCGTCGCGTGCCGTACAGCAACCAGAACCATGTCGTCCTTGATCCCAGAGTCATCTTGAAACGAGTCTCTGCTCTCGGCCCAAGCCAATGGTACAAGATCTGGACAAGGGATCTCGGGCTCCCACCTTCTCATCTTAGTCTTGTCTTGACCAACATCCACACACAGACTCTGGTAAAGAGTGGCAGTGATCTCTCCAACCCCGCCAAAAATAGTTTGTTGCCCCCCCTTCCCATATTCTCCAACATGTCTGATCCTCCGAATAATTCCATGCTGTGGCCCCTTCAACCTCTTCACCTGTCCCCCAAACTCCAAGCATAAACTCTGAAATCCCAGGCAAATTCCCAACACTGGCAGCAACTGTTCTTCCTTCAGCCTCCAAATTCTCCTCATAATCCCGATATCTTCTTTCTTTCCCGGGTGTCCCGGACCAGGGCCACATACCACCGCAGCATAGTGCCTTAATTCGTTTTGTAAAGCTTCGTCAGTAGCTAGGGCAGGGTTGTCGATTTTGATCGTGCGGACGGAGACATTAAGTGTCGTTTCAAGAAGGCATATGATGTTGTTCGAGAAGCTGTCGTAGGCATCGATGAATAGGATCAAGGGTTTCGATATTCGCATTGTCACGCACGATTCCGAGGAAGTCCGGAGGTTTCTCGAGCTGGCGGGAGGTGATTCATGTCTTGAGGAATTTTGTCGTAATTTTGGTTATCAGCGGTGAAGGCGGTGGCAGAAATCGCTGTTTTGGGCTTAGTGCGGGCAGCCTGCATATCACTTCGTCGATCATGAAATCAGTTTCTACTTCATCAATAACAATTGCAACAGCTTAATATTGAGACCTGAGTCATAAGCATGACATCGCTGCGTTGGCTTGGCTTGGCCTCGCTGTGTCACCTCTGCTAATTCTCATGAAAGTCCACTGAGAGCGATTGTATCTCGAGTTGGCTCAGGATCGTCGGGCCTGAATCGAGATATCCGATCGGATATTTGTAGGTTTCCTCATACATTGCCGGAAAATGACGTCAAGACCAGAGAGATACAGACGTACATGTTACTAATGGCAATATTCCTCCAAGTGAGTTCTGTTTAGATCTAAAGACAGGAAAATTGAGTTTGCTCGTCAGTCATGCCTCCCGCAAGAAGCCCGCCGCCCTCGCACAATCCTTTCTATGACAGCGACGGCCAGAGAGCTCAAAGAATAGCAACTGAAACGTACAAAATAGAACAGAGGGGAAGATAATTAGCCCGGACTCCTTGCAGGTATTATAATCAGGCCTTCTGTGAGGATGGAGGTGATTATATTCTTTATGACAACACTTCAAATGGCATGGAACTGATTGTATTCTATTCTAGAGGGCTGTCTAAGGCTTCACGAATCTGTCGTGAGGATAATAATGGAACTTCGGCTGCATTTTAGACACGATCGGCGCTTGTAACTTGGAGATGAAGGCCGTGGACATAAAACCGATGAAGGTGAAGAATAAGCTGCGATTAATCGCGATGACTTCTCAAAATCCACAGGTAGACCCCAAGATTCTGTTCTAGTAACCTGCCAACTGACTTGAAACCGAGAACATTTCAATCAAGTAAGAGACCAAAATACCGCTACACAACAGTTCCATCAACAGCACCCGCAAAGCCCATAGCCGGTCAACTGAAGGGAGAGATTTTGTTCCCTAACCAATAATAAATTCCGCAGCAGGCATCACCCAGAGCGGACACTTGACGCCAATATTTTTAATGAAGAGACCGAACCCCGAATCATGTAGAGTCTATTTGGGACTGAAATAACACATTCCCACAGCCGATACTGGACGAAGGAAGAATTTGAATCTTCGAGAGTACCACGGCTTTTCAGCTTCTTCGAAGCCAACCAAATCGTTGCAAACCTAGAACTCGACGCACGATCCCCCGAAACACGCGTGGCGCGGCGAGGAAGAGGCAACGCATTCTACAGGATTTCATTCAAATGATTAGTTCTAGCGCCAAACTGGTGCGAGATTACTTCGAGAATCATCCAGGTGAAGTTGAGCCCCTTTTGCCAATGGCATTCCCGTCGGCCGACGGCCCAATGCTTAAGGAATTTGGATCTTTTCGGGGTTCATTTGCCCGCAGAATGCTTCCTGACGTTCGCGGCGGGCACGGTCAGCGAATAAATCAGCCTGGTTTTGCAGCCAGAGCATTGTTGTTGTCCTGGGCGGTGCGATTCTCGCCCGCAGAGTTCTCTCTACAATTCCTTCGCAGAATTAACCCAATTGGCGTGCTATGTGAACTTCCGAGTTGTCGGGGCATTTGTGGGTTGTTGGCAAGGATCTATACATGTACCGGCTATCTACCTCGTGGTACCGCGTTCCACGGTAAGTGTATATCTGTAACGCTATCAATCCGCCGATACGGATCGCAGCAAGCCTCGTTCATTTCAAACTCAGGAGTTGAGAGGAATGTATGACATTATCTTCGGAACTACGTCAAAAAAACTGCAGAAAACTATCCTTGATATCAGGAAACATGCCAGACATTATCTATACCGTGGTCAACGCATCTTGGCCATGAATAATGAGGTCTCTAATACAGGAGGAGCTCGATCCCTTGACAAGGAATTGGATCTATTTGCAGAACCAATCAAAAGTCTCCTCCACCTCTATATGTCAACGCCAGTCCCAGACACCATAGCGAAATACGAAAGCAGCAGCTCCAGTGCTACTATTGAAGAAGTTCTCTCTAAAGCGGATGCACCACCTCAGGTCCTGCTCTTCCACATTCAAGGCATTCTCATGTACCTACACCAGGATGATGAGTTCTATGAGGACTTTTCCTACTTCGGTGAGCGCATTCGGTATCTCAAATTATTGCTGCAAGAACAAAAGCATCGGACGATGAAGGAGCTGTTGCACAACTCGAGACAGGCTTCAATGGTGGACGTTCCGGCTCGTAGTGATCGTCAGTATTCCCAGCCTTGTTTTGCGTTAGGATCGCTGGTGACCAGTGTCTTTCAGACGTGAGCAGCGTATAAGGCACTGCCCTGACTTCACGAAACTTCTGGCTTATTTCGCGCTGATTTAACATTTGCCTTCGACAATGTCTGTTTAATGATCCTAAATTGTTTGTAGCAGCATTCCCTTTCTCTTTGTCAATCAAAATGCATCAACTCTCCAAGATCAAGGCCAATCCCGTCCCACTGCAGTGTTCGGTCGTTATTTCCATTCCACTCCCATATCTCGTCAAAGTTGCGACATGTGTGCAAGGTATTGAAGTCTGGCATAGGAAGTTTCCTCGATGGCAGCAAGACGTTGTCGAAGAACGTGATGGGCGTCACATCACTCGTGCACTTGATATATACCCGAAGCATATCAATGCAATGTTCTACACCATATATTAGAAATCTTACTCCCCTTGGCGAGGATATGACTTGCCATCATGAGCTCTGTTAGCCCTCTCACCACCATGCATTGCCCGTTCTTCGGCATAATATTCCTTGTCCATTGCCTTCCTCAACGAATTCAAGCAGTGCAATAGATGGAACACTTCAAGCATAGCCAAGTATCCACCACCAAACTCCTCGGGTATTCTATGGAGAGGCCTGTCAGGCGTGTCCGACTTATTCAATCGCTTTAGGTCATCGTCGTAGAGCCTGATTGCGGGCGTTCCGAGACCGATCTCCAACCATGCTGCATCAATTTCAGGGCTGGGCTTTCCGCGATATTTGTTTGTCTGCACAATTTCTGCATCAAGGTGCCTAGGCTTTTCGTACGTGATGATTGGTAACGCCGGAGCTGTGCAAGGTGTTAGCTGGAGGCCCCGAGAAGAAGTCTAGCGGTACCGACAATGTGTGGATAGTTTGTAATCACAAGTATGGCCCGATGGCTGTCTGCTTAATATATAGAATGCCCCTAGCGCGTAGATTCCAAAGATTATGATATGCAAAATCATGAGTTTTCTGGAGAAGTGTCTTTGGAGGAAATTTGGATTCCAAGCGTTTTCATGTTTCTCGTTTTCGGATGAAGCATCATCTTCAACCTGACCCAGCTGGTGGTAATCGACCATCCTTCGCGCAGACCTAGACACAGCCTCAAAACATCAATAAAGTAGTCAATGGCAGGAGAACACAAAGCGGAAGCAAGTCACTGATCAAGCTGCATGAGCGTATCTGGTTACCGCCGAAGGGACCCGACATAGAAGCACCTAGAAATCTCAGGAGTACACGATCTCATGGTGTCATTGACCTTGGTGTGGAGATAAGCTTAGTTAAAGTGCCACCGACGTGCTTTTCGATAGCCAAAAGATGTGTGCTGCGCCATGTGGTAGCTGTGTGGAGTTGTCCTGCCGCACAGCTACCCCAACCTCTGATCCACTTCCCCCACCTTCCTAAAGAGGGGTGGAATTAGTTCCTACCTTCCATATCGCAATCTTACTTGAACCCCCGCTCAAACTGTCTCTTCAAGCTTCGAATCAGTGTTCTTAGCTCGCAGTTTGCGGCCGACGTGCCCGGTAAGCGCGACGCATTGTAATCCGGAAAAGTAGAAAAGTTTACCCAGACGAAGTAGTCGGAATCGAGTACAGTTTGCATTCAACTGACTTCGTGTCACACTAACCCGCAGATCGAGGCTTGGGCTTCGCCGTGGTTGATCTCTTAGGTTGCTATCGGATCATTATCTTCACACTATTAGAAAGCTATCTTCTTAACACGTCCACCATCTAAACCTGCAAAATGCTCTTTCTCTAGCGAATTAAAGATTATTTCGTTCCTCGCTCTTGGTAATATTATTCATCCGGAAATTGGCCACCATGATGGGGGACAACAGATGTTCTTCATCGTGCCTGGAGGCTACTCAACTGCCCGATAGATCGAGCTGCATCCTTTCCCTCGTCGACAGGCTTGGTGTGTGGTAAGCATACTCAATCCGGCCAGTGCTTCTCTTATCTCAAGTGGATCTACTTTATTTATCCCAGCAATGATGATCTTATCAGACTGTTGACGTAAGGATGTGTTGAATTGGTACTAGCTTACTAGTCCTTCCAGTACCAGGTTCAACTACTAATATTAGCTTCGCCACTCTCATTTATAATGGTTTACTATGGAAGCCTATGGAATAGCTCACTATGGAAGCTCAGGGAACGCTCACTAATATATATGAGTCATCTGATTTATAATATACTGGAGGAAATCGCCACCCACTAGTGGGTATATAAGAACTGTACTTTAGATTCCCTCCTCTCCTTTTTTACTCTTCACTCTCCTGTATCTAGTCATTCTACAGATTGTCAACCTCCAATATATCGATTTTCCATCAATAAATCGATCACTTTCCAATAGGATGCTCTCTGAAAAGGGCAGGTCATCTGGAACTTCTCTACCAAAGCAGAGACTGAATTTGCCTGAGAGATTACAGTCAGAATTTGAAGCTAGCTCCGTATTGCGGCGAAGTTTTTATAACTGCGGGAGCTTCGAGCTAATCCACAATTTCTTGCGGGAATTCCACCGAAGCACTTTTAAAAAGAGTAGATTTCGCCAGTGTTTTCATACTCCCGATCTAGCTTGCCTAAGCTTTAAGCTAGGCTAGGAGTAGGATAAGAGTGCCTAGAAAAGTCAGAGCGAGCTTTAGGAAGGTTACCACGTATTTCGGCTAGGAGCAGGGAGGCTAGCAAGGTTCTAATTAGCCACTATATAAAAATATTCTCTCGCTGTCGCCTACAAAGCTATATGTCCGAATCGAGTGATTATAAAGCTAAGAAAAACTCGATTCTCAAGGGCCTCCAGCTATAAACGTGGGACACGAGGAATTCAAAGGGATAACATACCGGCAGGACTAGTAGTGTGTTTTTCGAGGGTTTCCGAATTCCGACAGGGAGCCTATCCGTTGCGCTGCGGCCGCGGACGCATTTCCATAATGAAATATACCGCAAAATTCTACTCTCAGAAGCAAATTAGTTATCTTAGAGTCAAGAATCTAATGACCTAATTAGCTGATCTAGCTCGCCTAGAGGGACACGGTCCAGTGCTTCCGTCACTGCAGCGTAACGGATAGCCAATAATTCGTAGTCAAGACAGTGTCTTAGTTCTCTTAAGAGAGTCCTAAGTAGTCCTTTTATACGTTACTAGCATTACAAAAGGCACCTCGTATCACGCTAATTTCCGACTCAGACGCGTCCACCATCCATACTGCTTCCTTATTAGGATGTTACCTAACAAAACCCCGACTAAAATACCCACCAAAAATCCACTACCAACCTAGCTTGCCTAAGTTTTAGGTTAGGAAGGCTAGGCGACGAATCAAGGCTAGGAGCAAGAAGGATCGATCCTTCCTTAGGTCGGGAGCAGTGAGGTCGGGAGAATGAAAACACTGGATTTCGGGTTTCACTTGCACAATTTCTGTCTTAGTTCTTTTATCTCTAGCCAATATAGTCCTGATCGTCGGATTCGCCAGTCCTGGGTGTAGTTTCCAAGGAAAGTGGCCTGGCGTATGAATCCTGACCGCTCTACCGCCAGCAAATAGGTTCAACTCCCTCGTTTATGCACTGCGAGGACTCAGGAGCAGTATAAAGACACCTGCCCTACCCAGTTTAAAAATTTCCAGCCTTGGGTCACGCAATCATTCGAATCCAAAGAAGATATCCCTTCCGCATCAAACCTCCCACTCAATCTTTTTACCCCCAATCACCAATCACCAAGTATCAACATGAAGTTCTCCATCATTACCGCTATTGCCCTTCAGGCTGTTATTTCCGTGGCTGCTCCAGTGGCTGTTGCCGCTCCAGCTGAGCTCGTCAAAGATGCCGTGAGTTGAGACGTCGTTCAGATAGAGAAGTTGTACTGATGGATTGTGGAAGACCCCCAACCCTGCTCTTCCTCCCTCTCCCGATTATTGCGTCTTTGGTTGCTAGATGACACGAGACAACCATCAAGTGATAATGATGGAGTGACCCGTGTCCGGTATACCTCGCAGGAGTTCCCCAATAATTTGTTGTCTGTGGAGGAGATTAGTTGGATGTTGTATAGCCGGAAGCCGGTCTTTTTATACGGTTGATATGGGAGCGGTTCTTAAACTGTGGGGCTAATTCTCGTGGCCAATTTGAGTGTCGTTAGTGTTGGAGTTTCCATCTCAACTGCTATGACCTGCTTCCTGGAGAGTTGCGTGCCCCCTAAGCTACGATTTACCATACTTTGGTTTGGCTTTTGAAGTATTTCACTGCACTGCATCTTTAGAAAAAACACCACTGGCCACAGGATATAAAGTTGCGGACCCCTGCTCATCATAAGCAATGGCATCAAAGCTGCCAAATAATACTTGCAAGCCCCTCAATAACCTACGCCGCTGATTTCCTTTCCTGCCTTCTCCTCGACGTCACGGGCGTTTCACCTATTGTGACACAATCCAGCCCAGTATCCAGCAGTCCTGACTTTATCATCCTTTAAAGATATGTTTTCGACGTTCTTTGATTTTGTTTTAAAATTTTCGAGCCATTATCAGCGCGAAGAATGGGTCGACCCTTTGATGTGCGTGATAACAAGATATGTACCGGGTGAGAAGGTTTGGAAAGATGTTTGAAGGGTTGGATGCTAGGAACGCAGAGATGATGATGAAAGCTTCAGAGGAGTTGCACCCTTATATATCCATCTGCGCCAACATCCAGACTCTCGATGAAGGAAACCGACCACCCTTGGATGCACCTGAAGCCCGCGGTTACAGCATGATTTGGCGTCTTGAATGATCATTCATCATGCAGCAATGTGGAGGAAGCAACGCATTGATAGGAGTATTGTCCACTAATATCGTATTCTTTCAGCAATTCAAGAACAACTGATCCAAGATTCTCACCAGTGTGTTCGCCGTACACACGTCGTATACCCAAAACGGTAGCTCGTCGCTGGCCGGTAGCATCAATCCACATAGCGATGACGCCTAGAATAGCGTAGGGGTTTGGCGAAGTCCAGAGATCAAAGGAGATAGAGATTCTACTTCGTGAGAGCCGGAGGTCCTCCCTAAGCTGTTGTTTCTTTGATATAAAGGTATTCATTACCCAGCTTCGAATAGTTTTCGCGGCTTTTGGAAGGTGATTGAGAAGCGCCGGATTCAAAAGTGAGAGTAATTCTCGGAAATACGGATTTTCTAATTGAAAGAAAGCAATATGGCAATACACAATCCAACGAACTAGAAGCTCTCTGAACTTCTCAATTGAGTCTTTCCAGAAGAAGGTATTGGTAGCAGCCGCGCCGTTCTGCTGTTCGAGCACAGACTTTCGAGTCGAACTATGTCGCCAGTGTCAAGGAGGGAGATTGCCTGATCTCTGCCACCTACGAGGAAGGCGTATTGAAGGATGAGATGGTGAAGGAGGTAATGACGGCCGTTCTCGCAAGGATCAAACTCTTGATTTGACTACTCAGTCATGAGCAGGGGGATTTCAGGACTTAGATTTATTATTCTAGGGACTGCTGTGAGTTTCAATCTTGTGTTCAGTTGCAGACGGGTCGTCAGTCGAGTTATTGAAAAACACAAACTGGAAATATCCCATTCCGGTGGAAACTGGAGAACTGACCAGTTGTGTTGCCCTGGACACGGCCTTCTGCCCTTTGGTCGGCTGCATCCATCTGTCGTCTTTGCCCTCGAACTGATTGGCCGCCCTCAGCCACCGCCCTCGACGTCAGCCCTCACAATCCCACAGCCAGCCTTACCCTCACGCGGTCCGCAAAATCTCCCTCGAGGGCAGATAGAATTTTATTTGATATGTCGCGCGAGGTTGCCATCTTCAATATATGGATCAACTGCATCAATTCTTGCAAACAACGTTTAGCTGCCAAACGCTTGCACGGCTGAGCAGAAATGGATGCTGATTGGTCTAGCCTTTCGGGTATCGACCCGAGAGCTCTTGAGCTCGCTCACGATGTCTCTCCTGCTACTGAGGAATCCCCTCGTCTCCAGACATCGCAGATAGACCTCTTAAACGCTACGAGCTCTGATCGCAATCACTGGTCGGACGGACCGGCTTTACGGAGAAGCTTTGTGCCAATAGGTCCCCTCAGCCAGTGTTTCGAAACGGGCGCCTTCGATATTGATAAGCCAGCTCTCGATGGGATCCTCCAGAAGTATGGCACCGTGGCAGGATCATGTATGTAACTGGGTAACAAATGCTCACGAGAAACGAACACTGACAGTGAGCTTAGATAACGATGATCCGGTATCTCGACCTATGTGCTCTGTGCTGGACTTGTGCCCAGACGAGGAATCTCAACTATTCGATGAAGAGTTTCCTGATGCCGTAATCGATCAATTTTCAACAAAAGACGGCTTCCGACAAGCACACACTGTAACCAGTTCAGTGTCAACCTCGAAAGGGTTTCTAGCTCAAATGGCCAAACGATTCATAGATGGCCCTGTTAGGCCTCCCGGAAACCTACTATCAAGGTCAATGACCTTACAAACGGGGGCTTCTCTGGCAATTTCCTTGCCACAGAATAGAGTCACAGTCTCTCCTGATATCCTCCATTGCAAAAGGCAAAAGAGAGAGGTGACAGACGACCCTTCGAAAGTGTTCCCGACTCGGTTCACCGGCCACATAGATGCATCGAGGACACACACAGCCAAGTTTCAAGAAGCCATTGCCTTGGTTCAAGAGTCAATCAAGTCCTTCTCCCCTTTCTCTCGACGCAAGGCTGCGGATCTGATACATCAGGTGGCAGAATTGGTCAACCAGCTGAACCAGCTAGTCATCGAAGAAGCGAAATACGGAAACTCGTCATCTGATGGCGATATTATAAGACAGTCAGGCGCTACTTCTTTATCCCAGGATTCTAAATCCACCTCCAATCTTGTCGATGTGAAAGACGAGATGGGGAACACCTCGGTTTCCTCAACACCTCGCCAGCCAGTCCAAGAGACTGAAGAGCTCGCGTCTCTGGACGATTACCAGCATATATCAGTACATCCTCCCTGTTCGCAGTGCGGGATTAAGAGCCTGTACTACTGTACCAGAGAAGACTGTATATACACTACACACTCCTTGGCTGAATGGAAGCGACACGAGGAAAGCCAGAAACATTCACAGCAGGAACGTTTTATCTGTCTAGCATGTCCTACATCGCCGCCCCCTGTCGACTCCAACGGAGATTCCGTCTGCGAATTCTGCCGTAAATCATTCCCTGTGTCGGGGGCAATTTTGAGAGCACACTACCTTCAATGCCAACGTGCTCAACGATCTTGTAAAACATATGGAAGGAAGGATCGTCTCATTACGCATCTTCGCAGTCATCCTGGCGTAAGCAATGTGAGCCATCTTGCAGCTGCTGGTAAGTATACAGTCAACAGCAAATGGCCTAGGCAATGTGGATTCTGTGGGGTGCTCTTCAAAACTTGGGACGAGAGGATGGACCATATCCCAGGCCATTTTCAAGATGGCCTAGATCTGTCCTCATGGAAACTTTCGTTGTTAGGACCCGAAGATTTTTGTCAACGGTCCAAACAGGAGGCCGAGGTCTCATCTTCTATCGATCCCTCCCCTGATGTTGCAAAAAAGAAGCCAGAACTGAAGAGGGCCTCTCTCAAACGAATACGCTCCAATATTGACTTTGAGTTGGAGCAAGAAACAGATCGACTGGGGCCTGACGACAAGGAGTATGGCAATCCGGACCAGGACAGAATTCAGTCTGGAATTGGTCTTCCTCCACTCGAAAAATTTGAGACTTCCGACTTAAAACGCTCTGGACAAAGACTACCATCTACAATCAACCCTTGCAAAACTCAAAACAGCAGGCAAACAGGTACTTCTTGTTCGCCAGATGTGAAGATAGAAAATGCCGCTGTTTCAAAGCCTGATTCTTGGTATGCTCCGTATACTTCAACGAACGAATTTGTCACATCTCCAGCTGCAAGTTTATACAATTGGTCGTCCGACTACTTCCAGCAGAGTGGGTCCTGCTTTGATTCCTCTGCCCCAGCGAACGAATTCATGACCTCTCATCCATACGATTGTTCATCTTTCCAGCAGACCGATACTATGAGGCACACACCAAATAGTCTAGAATGGGGTACGAAGGGCATCGACTTCGTGAGATTGTACAAATTTATCGTGCCAAAGGGCAAACAGCCATACTTCCAGCTCCTGGATGAGTGGACTCCAACATATGAGACTCCGCTTAAAGTATATCTGGATGAGGCAAAGTGAGTTTTAGCACTAACAATAGGCTTACAAATTGTTCACACTTGATTAGGATTCATAACAAGAACCACTTCCCTTGCCAATACCCCGGGTGTAGTGGAAAGCAGACACTTTTCAGCCGGCCAGCTGACCTTGAACGCCATTATAAGAACGTACACTCCAATGTAAAGGATTCATTCCCTTGCGACTATCGTAAGTGTCTTCGATCCCAAGACCCCTTTACGCGGAAAGACCACTATAGAGATCACCTTCGAGACTATCATAAGGAGGATATTGGTTGCGCTAAAGGTGAGAAGTCATCAAGGAACAAGGACAAACAGAAGTGGCAGAGAGCACAGAAGATCTGGCTTGCCGAGCGTTATATCAGCCACAAGCATTGGCGCTGCAATCGCTGTCTCGTCAAGAACTATGTCACCCAAGGATGGGAATGCTCATCATGCAAAAATCCGTGCGAAGAAGACCGCATCAGGGCTCGCAAGCAAGTCATGGGAGATCCAGCCGAGACGACTATGGAAGATCCTGCAGAGACATCTACTGAGGATGGATATGCAGCTGCCGCCCCTAGCTGTGGGGCGTGTAATGGCGGCACATGGATAGAAAACGAACACGGTGGTTACGCGTCATGCCCTGTCTGCCAGTTTACTACTGCTGAGTCGTTTCCACTTGAAAACAATGTGGCATACTATTAGCATCGGCGACTGTTGGTGGATAACCTGTCAGGCTGATATGCTAAATTGAGATGGCCTGGTGGCTTTGATGTGAGATATTAGGATTGGATCGTCAAGAAGAGGCATGATTCAGAGAGAGACGGTCGAAACAGACGGCTAGGTGTGGACCCAAGGGGAGAAGGGAAGAGGGAAGAACAATAATGGACGGGAAACCCCAGAGACGGGAAACAGGGTTGAAATTGCCAGTCAAACCATCCTGTAAAGAGACAAGAACGTTCGGTCCGGACGTGGCAAGAATCCAGTGACGGACGAACCGTTCTCTATTCCTCGATCTTTGTGCTATCGGGGTTGTTTATTTTCTTGCATACTGTATCCATCCAGCGAAGCTCCCAATCTCTCCCTCTATTTGCGCATCCTTTCCTTTTCCACCATCTGATACTCGAGGCTGCGGTGTGACGTAGCGTAGTTTTGTTTGAAAGCTCAGTCTCTTCAAGAAGATTACAGCTAATTTCCCCTCTATTTTAAGCATTTCTTATGGAAAATCAGTTCAGCCACCGATCTTTTGCTCTCGAATGATTGGATCCACTTGAGAACACCACGACACATTGCTGAGCATTGTCAGTACACACTTCTGGTTCTTAAATGCAGCGGCATCGCGCCATATTGCAATACCTCTCCATATTCCTTCATTTCAAACCTCTTGAAGAATATATCACGTTCAACTTCCGCAGCTACCACAGCGAGTTGAACGAATCAAGCAAGGTGAGCACTCATGGTCCTGGTAGAAAGTGTCAATGGAATTATCTATAACTCTATATGATCTATTTTCTATTTTCCAAGCTCTCTGCAAAAGTATGTACCGTGCACAACGAGCCATCACGATATCGGACTGCCAAGTATGGCAAGGGCTAGCTCCACAGGAATAAGCACCGTTCAAGAGTCAATACACCCGTTTCGTTTCCCCTCTTTCCACTTTCGGGTCATCGATTGAAGCTCGTCGTATGATGGCTCGGACTTCCAAGAAGGAGTAAAATCGAAGAACATTCTATAAAGCCGATCTCGAGTCGTCTCCGTCTTAATCCTTTGTAAGCGCACTTCCCGCACCCTGATGCTTTGAACCACAATATCCTCAGAGTCATCACCCTTGTCCCCTTGATTAAATATGTTCAGTTTCCGATCGAGGTATCCCAGCATTTCATTCGTCTGGAAAAAATTTTACTGGGCACAGGTGAAGCACATCTCGAGCAGCTTCTCGTTCCGTTTCTCCTTCTCAGTGAAAAAGAGTTCCGCCAAGATGCCCAATTCTTTGTCGCGTAGAGCTTCTACGTAGGTGAACTAGGTGATTTGACAGGTGATGATCGACAGGTAAGGTAGCATAAATAAGTAAAACAGGTTGCAAAAGAGGTCGATTTTGGAGATAGAACTATCCTCATTGAATATTTATTCGAAGAAAATGAGGAAAGCCATGCTGAATTTGGATTCGATATCATCTGGAATTGATTGTTTGATTATATGATCCTGCTTAGAGAAGAAAGGGAATCCTTAAATAAATGGGGATTTATGTGTGCGTGGGGTATTCTGAGTTGGAGAGCAGCAGATACTTCAGTTCTGGTTCAAATCCGATATACTTGGTGCTTGTCGGGAACCCGCTGGCGCCGAATCTCCCGGCACCCGAAAAACTCTATGTGCCGAAAAAAAAAATAGGGGGTACTTTGACTTTAAGCATCTCAACTCTATGCACACATCGATATCTTGAATATTTTGGGTATAAGTCGTGTTCTGTAGCTACTCCTAAACACTTTGAACCCCTCCTGCTAGAAATTTATATTCGCGTCGTCGCTATCACGCCTGATTTGCGAAGAGTTCCCTTTTATAGCGTAATCAAGTTCCTTCACCACCAGGCTGTAGAATAAGTCAGCGGCTGTCGGTCAGCGCTTAATTAATTTTTGGTATATCAGTAATCAGTCAATCAGTTGAGGATATAAAATCGACTAAGTCGGTCAGCTAGTAATAAGCCCAACTAATAAGCGCTTATCAGTTGAAGCCCTGTAATTTGACGATTTTGGAGTACCTTCGGAGGGTCTTTTAGCCGGTATTATACGTGATTTATACACCTAATACATACCCTATTATGCAACTTGAGCCTAAATAGCCTTATATTTCAGGGCTTACATACCATAATTATTATGAAAACTCTGCATCTATTGACTTAAATCATTACCACTAGGCCTGCGACGATTCAGCACTTCCACGCAGTGCAGGCTGGAAACCAAGGGCTTCTCATGCTCTTGGGCTAAGACTGAATCAATGGTGTTTTGACGCACTGAGAGCGTATCCAACGCGTTAATTAATACCCCTCAGGATAGTACATCATCGACTCGCCCTCAAGATCCAAATACAACTGTACAAGCACGAAGTAATTAATCTACAAGCGTGGTTAGGCTCTGGACAAGAACTAGAACTCACGGATACGAGTAGAAGCGATTACAGAAGTAGTAGGCCTTACCTATATAGACAAAACGTATCCACAACGAGTTAATGAATATATATACTGATTTGAGACTAGAGGACCTTTTCTCTAGATACGCTTACGAATTTATTCCCTCTTAATACGCGCGAGCTATATATTATATTAGGTCGAGAATATAATCCGCAAGTAGTCCTTGATTATAAGGCAGATTAAAATATAATATTCAAGTTAAGAGAATTGCCAGATAGGGGCTTTGGAATTTCCGGTAATGGTAATAGAATAATAAAGAGGGGCCTGGGTAATATAAACAGGAGTATGGGAAGGAATAGGTCTTTATAACCGGAATCTGGTATATTTCTTGGGTAACTATAGGTATAATTAATATATATAGGGCAAAGGGGCCCTGATTATAACTATATATAAAGTAATAGATCTTTGCAAACGGCTAGTTAGTCCCTAGTTACGAGCTTAGTAAAGAATACCCTCTCTTACTCTATCGGAAGACATAATAAAGGTATGTGAAATACGTTAAATAGACGAAGAAATTGGGAGGCCTGAACTAAGCTATATTAGAGGATAGTGTCTATAGACGTATATAGAAGAGATTAAATTTAAGGAGTATGGCTAGTTATATTTGGGCCGGTCCGCCGGCCGTAATTCTGTTATAGTATAATTATTAAAGGAACAGAATAGGAGGGATAAGTACTGAGCTTTTACTATATATAGGAGCCCTCTCAAGAGCTGTATTCTGAGGAGTAAGACTTGCTTAAAGGAAGCCTGTATATAGTACGTCTATATAGCGCTTCTGGTAGCTAAATAACTATAGAACAAAAAAAAATTCATTACTATTATTAATATGGCACCTTCTAATATTAATTTGACTTTCTCTAAACTATTTATATAATCTATATAATTAATCTCTACTACTATGGCTTAATTATTATCTCTTCCGAATGCCTTCGATTATATAGTAGAAAAAGAGAAAGGCCCTTCTATAGTTCTTTATAATACCTGTTTATACCCAATACCGGAATATAATACAAATTCCATATATTATTCCGTATAAGGATCTGCCTAGTAAATATAGTCCTTATATCTTTAAGGAGCCTTTATTTAATAATTGACCTATATATATTACTCAATTACTAAGGAAGTATATACTTGCTCTATTAGTAAAGAAGATATAAATATTATAGGTTTGGCCTCTTGAATATATAATTATTAATTCATTTTGGCCTTAAAAGCCTGTATTAGTATACTATTATAAGCTTTATAAATATTGAGGTTTTTATATATTTTTAACTAATTTTAAATAGGCTATTATAATTCTAGGTTTAGTTAAGATAAGAAGTATACCCTTGTTATAAATACTCTTAAAAATGCCAAATAGTATTTATTAAGGTATTATTACTTGAATAAAGGAGGGGATATATAGAGAGTTTATTATAATAAAGGCAGAATATAAGTATCTAATATTATTAATAAAAACTATAAATATATAATATCTTTCTATTAATAAGAATTCAAGAATACCTTCTTAAAATGAGTTATATTAGATAATATTAAGTACCGGAAAGCAGTATTAAAATTATAACGGCTGGTATTATATGGTTGGTTTTAGCCAAAGGGGTTGGTTTCAGCTAAGGTTCCAAGCTATGATTCAAACCAAGCTCGCTTCCAAAGCTCGGTATTTCAGTGGTCTTGGCTATACCTACTTATCTATTGCCATACCTCACTCCTGTCCTCCTTAGCTTTAAATTCTCAAGATATAGGAAATCATTAATCTTTGAGCCTCGTTCTATTACTCTGTTCCTGCCATTATAAAAACAATTAAAGTAAGTATTTAAAATTACTAATATTTAAGCTATAAGTTCAATTTCATATTATTTATTAATTACTAACTAAATATATAAGTTATTTGAATATTTTAAGTCTAATATTATTAATGAAATTAGTAATACCTGGTCTAAGATTTCTATTACTTTTGTAATAGTACTGGCTAGAGGCTATATAGGAGTGGCTATTATATAACTAGTTTTATCTAGCTAGCCGGCGTTTCAGTAGTTTTAGCTAGTATTCCCCTTCTTTTATCTTCTTTCCTTCTCTCTCTCTCTCTCTCTCTCTCTCTCTATAAGGTATTTATTAGTAGGCAATAAGACAATAGAATGAATTAGTGTATTGTGAAACTATAGTATTAAATTTAGTATAGAACTAATCTCTGTCCTTCCTATAAGGTCCAGGGAAGCCCCCTCTAAATAGGAGGCCCCGATAGCATATATATAATTAGTAATTTATAAGCCTAATACATATAATATAAATAGTAGTTAGTTGGGATATTGAAGGGCTACCGAACTCCCTAATTAATATCTGCAATATCCGAGGTTCGTTATATGCCCTTAAGTTACATACGACCCTGTATATATTATAACTATACCCCTCTCCTAGGATCTTATTCCCAAGATCCATTAATCTATCCTAGTAAATATTTAATTAATTATTTATTTAATTAATATAAACTTCCAGTATCTTGGGAGGTAGTTTTACTAATATA